TTCGGTGATTTTTTGACGGACAGGCGTTGGTTTTTGCCGGACATGCTGGGTGCTTGGCTGCATGGGTGGCTCCTGAACCCATCTCCCAGCCCAGCCCCATCCCCAACGTATGCCATTGAATCCATTGTTGCTGTGACGCCGTTTGCAATTTGTATGAATTTCAAATTTCTTCAACATTGAATAAGAAAAAAAGCCCAAGTGAAACGGCAGCTACAGCAATTAAATTGCAGTTGGAGAAGATGGAGATACTCTTTGCAGAAAAAGAGCAACAATTATGGTTATATTTTGGGTTAAGGTGCTGAATAATTTGAATAAATACTCTGCTAAACAGATCGATTCCATTGATGCCAAATCAAGAATAAGTTCACTCTGTATCTACCGGATATGTTTGATTTCTTTTGCACTGAAAAGTGGCGGTCTATAGCCTAGATACCCCTCTGCTTCTGTTGTACAAAGGGTATAAAAACAAAACTAAGTGAAACGCCAGTGGCAGTGGCTCCAGAGGCAGCCAGCAACAGCAACAGCAGCAGCAGCAGACGCAGTCAAGCAGTTTGAATGAATAATTTCCGCAGTCGTCGGTCGTCGTAACGTTCGTCTTCCGTTTGTGTATGACTCTGTCCTCTATAAAGATTCTGCCCATACAGCTGCTGCTGCTGTTGCTGTTTATCGGCTGTTGGGTTCGCTTTTGATTTTGCGTTCTCTTGCGCCAAATGAAAATGAACACGTGCGTCCGGTTGCTGTGTGGCTGCCACTGCCACAGTCTGCCTTTGCCTTTGCTTTTGCCTCTGCTTCTGCCTCAGCTGCTGCTACTATTGAGTGCGACTCTTCTCAGTATATACATATATTTATGTGTGTGTATACGATTATATATGTGGTTCCTGTGTGGCATATTGCCCCTGTGCAACAGCCATAGCCGACAAAAATTTCACTTCATTGATGAGTACTGCTGCACTTGAATTGGAACTCTCTGTATTCTGTATCTGTGTGGCACACAGCTAAGCAAACACAGAGCTCTATGCGTGTGTGTGTGTGTGTGTGTGTGTGCAACGCTTGGTCGCACAATGAGGCGTATGAGCGATTTGCCAGCCGAAAACAGCTGTTTTTCCACACACACACACCTGGAGAAATCGAGAGTCGACCCCCACAGACCCCAATCGGCGTGCCCCAGACGCTGGTTTGCCTTGTGCGTTTAGATATATTATACATACTTACATATGTACGTATATACATATGTACATATATTCGTTAGTATTTGAATGCTAAAATGCAATTGGAGATGACATTCAAATTGCAGTAAAATAAAATGAAACCAAGTTAAGTGCAGCTCATCCATATGAAACGCTTTGATCACAATAAAATGAAATAAAATTCCAAGCCAAACCTGAGCTAAACTTGCACCAAGTCATTGGCCAATTAAATCTAACCTTAGCGACCTTTAGAAATCCCAACCTGTCCCAACTTATCGATGAATATATGTATGCACGAACCTAACCCAACACAAATCAAGTTAGCCAGATGGCAAATCAGGAAAACACTATTAAAATCACTTGAAACCCCTATTAGTTGAATAACACTTGAGACTTAGGAAGGGAGCACATATAATACGAAATAAATGGCAACAGTTCCGCTTTAAAGGTCGATTAGCCGTCTCTAAGTCATTTAAACCAAAAAAATAAACACCCTGACAGCCCACTAAACCGAATCGACAACTAAAACAGAAACTAAAAAAAGAAACAACACTCTTCCATGATACTTAAGGGGGAGTTCTGCAAATTAATTTATACCCAAAGTCATAGCCATTTGGTCTCATGCATATGCAGACATTGTCGAGTATTCCAACATACACACACACACAAACACACACATGGGAGCCAAACAGTGGCAACCAACAAACTGTGCAACTCCCCACAATATTCAACCATCCATTCATTCATTTATTCATTCATTCAGTCATTGTCTCGCAAAAACAACAACAACAACCACACACACGATCAAGAGCAGCGCAACACTTGGCCACACACAACATCTGATCTGTAGGAAGTCGCTTTATATTGCAAGAGCCCACACAACACTCCCCTCCGCCCCCCATTTACGAGTAGGATGATGATGATGACTGCTCCACTGCGCTGCCCAACGAAGCCCATCTGGAGCGAAATGACCCAAAGTGCGATGGCAAAACATGGCACCCAGCGAGAAAAACCCAGGAGCGAGACGTGGAGCCAAACGGAGTGGAGTGTCGTCACGGCCTCAACCTTGCATTTGATGGTTCAAAGATTAGCAATCCAATTCAACACATTTATTGTGGCCAAATTGCTATATCAATTAAAGAGGAAATTCAAGCTAGAAAATGCTTTAAGAGGTTTAGGGATTTCTCATAATTTAATGTAAAGATTAGCTACACAAAAAAAGTCATTTTGTGGAACATTTCTTCAGCAATATCTACAGCACTTGTGAATTCTTCCAAAATCATATCATACAGCTATTTATCAACCGTTGGATTCGGAAATTTCCATCTGGATATTACTATAAAAGTACCATTTTAGCACTCGTTAGTCCAATAACTCATTTGTCAGAAAACTTGATAAAGATTCGGAAAAGCTTGGGAAATCTAATAATAATCACATTAAACACACAAAGCCCTGTCCCTGCCATGCAGATACAAATAAAAATCAAAGATACTGCCACAATTGTATAACAAGAGGCACAGCATCAGCCCTAGCCCTTCAGCTCTTCAGTTGTGCGATTGGAGCAATCTGTTTCAGGTGCAGATCGAGATGGATGGGCAATGAATGGGGTGGTCTGGGGTGGGTAAGCTGCTATTTGCCGGAACTAAGCGACTTCCGCTCTCTGGCTGAAGAGGAGCCATTGCAACACGAACCACCGAACCCCTTTACCAGGCACCGCCAGCTGCAGCTGTGGGATGTGATGGGATTGAATAGAGAATCCCCATGTGGAGGAGCGCATCGCATTGACAAACAACACGTGTGAGCGACTGACTGACTGACTGACTGACTGAGCGATTGCACGAGTGTGGGGCCAATGGCAATCAAGGAAATGTTTATGCCGACACCGGTGCTCCACAACCAGATTCGGTTCCAGCTACCAGAACCAGTCGTCAGACAGTCACCCAGTCAGCCACAAATTGCTTTCAATTATGTTGCATGTGGCTGCTCCCGTTTTTATGCCTCATTGTTGACGTGTCTCCCCATTGGCAGAGTAGGCTCTTCCCTCCACTCCACTCCTCATTGTCGTTGTCGTTGCCTGTTGTCTGGCCCCATCTGGGCCATGTTCCGTGTTCTGTGATCAACTTGACTGATCAACTTGGGTATTTATCTTGCAACTGTGGCAACTGCACTCTCGACAGCAAATGCTGCGAAACATCATTGTCTGCCCCCACCCAACTCCCTGCCCCTTTCATGGGTGTACAATGGCAACGAGGGGCAGCAAAAGTGATAAAATTGTGGAGTTTTCTTACAGATTGAGAGACTTTGAGAGTTTTATTCCTCAGTAAAATTGTTCCCAGAACTCACTGGAGTTTCCCTGAATTCTTCTGCTCCACTGTGCCGCGCAGTTCTTTTTCTTTATGGCTTTGATTTTAAGCATCGGTTTCAGCATTAAATTGTTCCATTATAAGACCACCCCACCAGTCCCCTTTGCATCACCCTACCCACCCCTCAGTCAAGAACTGCAGCAAATTAGTTGCGGAAGTGTGCCACGCCCACAAAAGTGAATGTTTGAATGCGAAAGGAGAAGGAGATGGATCCACAGACAGAGAGAGAGAAGGAGTCGTCCATGTGGAAATTTCGATTGAGTTACTCAACGTATCGTCATCGGGATCGTCATCGTAATTGGGGAGGGGAGGTAATCATTATCATTATCTCTTTTGGTCGTGATTGGCGTTGCCGTTGATATCATTCAGCTGCGTGCAAATTTCTGCTCTTAAAAACAAACTAAAGTGAAAATTATGTCAAACCTGTTGACCAGCCGGTGGATCGGTCGGTCGGTCGGTCGGTGGATCCGTCTGTGTTCGACGGATCTTGATATTCTTGCCACATCTGGCTAGAATTGAGTAATTTGTTGCAGAGACAATTAGATGCAACAGATTACTGACTAAGTGACTGAAACGTTTACAGTTGAGGGTTGTCCGAGATTCCGAGTCACAGATTCCGAGATTTGAGAGTCGAGAGAGATTGCAGCAGTCGGAGTGGAAGGAAGGCAGGCGAGGCAGCCAAACCCATTTTGTGAGCCATGAAGATATCGTTTTGCCCTCAGGGCACGGGGGTAACCACTTGGTTCCAAGTGCTGGCAACCAGAGTGGGAAAGGGGAAGAGAAGTAGGAAACAGGCAAGAGTTCAAATAAGTTCAGTAGGCAACTAATGAAGATGCAACCACAACCACCAGCTGGGAGGGAGGGGAGACAGGAAAGGAGTAGTCGACAGCGACAGAGTTGGGAGCCGTCGTAGCATTTCATAATTTTCAGCCAATTATGCGAAAATTGCCAGCCAAAAACAAAAAGAAACAAACAGACCTTGGACCGAGTTAATGACATCGAATGGGGTCAGACCCCAGAGTCCCGACCTAAGCACCGGCTACGGCAATGGCAATGGCAAGAGCAACAGCAACCAGAACGGGGCAAAAACTGTGGCAGCAACGACTACGAATCGGTGGGGAGGAGGGGGGTAAAGATTGCTGACAGCAATCAACAGTTGTGGACTTGACTCTTCTCCATCATGTGAGTGTCACTATTCTCTCTCTGGGCGACCCGATTAAATATCAAGGATCAGCGATGGATGATATACACTTTTAGATTAAATTGCGCTTAGAAATTGCATGGAAATTACCATGATCATCTTTTATTTTGCCAATCGGCTTTGATTTAGAAAGAATCTGAAAATTATTAGCTCGAAAGTTACCTTAATTATCTTAAAAAAATATTATATTATTTTATTTCCGCATTGATCTTTTAAATAGTTCCCCACCATCACATCCTTTTCCGCTAGCTATAGAAGATCGTGCCCCATACAATGCCACACTAATTGGCCGCTGATCAAATTGGAGATCAACCCGCTTCGGGTTAGAGATCGCTCTCTCTCTCTGCCGCCGTTTGCAGCTCCATCTCCCAACACGTGCACATCAAAATCTACGCTTTATAATTGGTTTGTCGAGCTGCCAGCAACAGGCTCAAGCTCACATCTCTGTCTACGCCACAGCCCCGCCACAGCCAGGCCGAAGACATGGCCAAAACCAACGTCAGCGATGCTAAGTGAATTAAAATAATGCTGCTGCCGCCACTGATGATGATGATGTGGATGTGGATAGAGTTGGCCCTCCCATCCGCTGCCCCCAGCTGCTAGCTGATGCTGATGATTCTATTTATTACATGGTAAGCAATTTGCGATTCCGCTTTTACGCTTCCCCTCCGCCCCTCCTGTCTTTTGCTGCGTTTTAATTATTTACCATGCCCGTTAGTTTTAATAAAGTTGCTAACTGTGAAAAGACGTGACTGGAAAAGCTCCTCTCAGCGTTCAGCGAAAATGAGCATTTAATTCACAGCGAAAGTGTCGGTCGGGTCCGTCCGCACACACACATGGAGTAGGTACTATCCACCAGCCACCATCAGATCCTATCCCATAGCCGACCATAGCTGCAGTCCCCTTTTGCCAGACATCTGATTAAAATCTCAGTGTGTTGAGCAAAAATTTCGCAGAAAATTCTGACACGCAAACGCAGATCTTGGACAGCTGAAAAGTTGCAGCGTTAACACCCATGGGACCCCATCCACAACCACAACCCCAGAACCAGACCCATCGTAGTCGTGGAGCAGTTCATGCGAAATTTTATCACGCAAGGCATTTGAGCGACGCCATGTGATAAGCATCAACGAGGATGAGGACGCAGACGAGGGGTCCAAAGACTTAAAAATTCTGATTCCACGATCTCTGGCCAGCAGATTGAAATCGCCCCAAACAATAATACGAGCAGCGAATGCGCACTGCCCAGAAAACACGCCCCACAACAAAAGGCCAGTGCTGACTGCTGGCTAGTCGGGTCTTGGCCATTGTCTTATCGCCAGCTGGTCATCTACTCATCTGCACCAGATGCGATGCCTTTGCTCTTCCTACCCCCTGGATGCTGCCTGACGCTGGGCGTGGCTTGAGTTTGCTGTTTCTGCTGCTGGGGCAGGGCTGTGGATATGGCTATGGCTTTGGGCCTGGTGCCAAGTGTTTGGGCCAAGCGTTGACTGTCCTTATCGCCGTTGCAGATCGTTTGGCTGCAACATGCGGCGCGAATTGCATGCGTAGATGCTGACTAGAGATTGCGCTTGCGTGTCGTGTCGTGCCGCACCAGCCTCGCTCCAGACGCAGAGAGAGCACAAAAAACCAGTGCCAAGTGATGAATGTCCGTGTTATGCGATCTAATGATCTAGAAATGAAGTTAATAAATCGTTTAACCAGATGGCATAGCACAGATGCAACTGCCACTGTGGCAGGATGAGAACGAGGCTGATTCCCCCGGAATGGCACTACATCGCATGGCCAGCAACTTGCTTGCTTGGCAAGTGATCGACCACCAAGGGGTTCGGGCATTCCGCTCTGCTGCTGCTGAGCGACAATTTGCATAACTACTGTGCTTATACCGCAAAAACATAACAAATTACAACAATTTTGCTTTGCGTACATACCACAAGCAGCAGCGTAGCCCCAGAACGAGGCGTTTAACAGACATTTCTTGTTACCATAACGGGACTCTGCTGGACGGGGAACGATGTGCAGGCACACGTAGTGCGGAATGGAGAACAAACAAGGCCAAGAAGATAATGCTCGGCACATGGTAATGGCCCCGGGTGCTCCACCAGCCATAATAAGGCCGAGCCGAGAACATCAACTTAAATTATGCACAGCACAGATCCACAGGCAGCGAGACGAGAGAGACTACAACAAATTGTTTTACATTCTTTTGTACATTTTTTGTATTTTATTTAAAATATTTAATTTCTATGCTAAAATGGATAATTGGTGGCGTGCAAAATGTTGAATTTGCACTGCTTTAAATTAACTAGTATAAATAGGCAGTCGTTTAGTGGTTGTAGATTTGTTGTGAATTACAAACTGCAAGACAAGAGAATTCCAGAGAAGGGAGAGAAAGTTTCAACATTAATAAAGTTTTAAAGTTTTAAAGTCATCTAAATAAAATAATTGATTATTGCATCAGTTATTAAGTTACAATCAAAATATTTCATTAGTCTAACATATGTAAATAAATCATCATTGTATTTTGGTTAGCAAACTATTCTAATTGTGTTCAATTCTCACCTTAAAATCATTTAGGATTCGGCATTTGTGGTGCTTCTTTCAGCGAAAAGCTGCAAAGCAACGGAGAGAAATGTTTAAAATTTGATTCAATCTTGGAAAAATGTTAGTTCTTGTTTGTTTTAATCAGTTAAATATAACTTTACACTAATCACAGGTCTTTCATAGGTGTCCCAAGGTAAAATCGTAAATCATCCCGGAAATACTACACTCAAAATCACTCAAATAAATAGAAACGCACCTTTTCCATCAGGGATTCATTCCAGCCAAAGACTTGCCCAACTTCTGCTGCATATTCAACTGAAAATAAATAATTTAAAATTAATATTCTACACAAAAATAAATTAAATCAAAAGCATGAGAAATCGTTGGTTCAGTTGTTAAAATTTACACTAATCAAGGCATTTCATAGGTGTCCCAAGGTAATTGCTATATCATCACATTAACCAAATCAAAAAATCGATACAAATTTAATGTCGAAACTCACCTTAGAAGGCGTATCGCGTGCGTATGTCCTCGAGCTTCTTGCAGATCTGATTTGGCGTGCGGAACATATCTCCGGCAATGCTCTTCTGCTTGGCCGCCTCAATGGAGAGGTACTGCTCGCACAGGTCGCCATCCAGCACATTCTTCACGGGATAGTAGGAGCTGCGGTAGCTGAGATGGTCGCGGCCACATAGCGGTGGATTCTCGTTGCGCATATGCATCTCCAGGTGCTGGAAAAAGTCGTAGTCCTCGCGACTGGTGAACGGCACAAAGGCACCAACTGTTCCATTGAGCGTCGAGTAGATGAGCGCCTCCGAGCCACCAGGAATGAGGGTGGCCTTCTGCAGCGACATGATGATCTCGCCCACGTGGAAGGAGCAAATGTTCTCAGACTTTTGGGAAGCACCCGAGAGCAGACCACGATCCCACAGCGACTTGGTGCCAGTGGGGTCCTCATCCACGTCATCCGTCACGGAGTGGGGCAGGCGCTGAATGTTCAAATTGCCAAATTTATCAGCAATGGCAATAGTGTCGTAGTCCAGCAGTGTGGTGGCCGTCACCCATCGGGGATGCGTGTCATCGGCAAAGATAATCAGCTGATTCTCCGCCCGTCGATAGCGCAGGAAGAAGACAGATTCCTGGACATCCGATACGTAGACGCGATGACCCATCGCCTGGATGTTGACAATCTGATAGGGAATGTGTTTGTTCTCGCACTTTCGCAGCATTTTCTTCTTTCCGAGATCATAGATACGCAGCATGCGCCCGCATCCGGCCAGCAGGCGACCCTGGAAGCCACACAGGGCGCCGGGAATCTCATCGATCTCTGTGCGGTGCATAAACTCCAGGCTGGAGCACGTGGGATCGATCTTGTAGATGTCCAGGCAGCCGCCTTGGGATATTCTCGGATTCAACTGAAGATCCCTGGCAATGCCAACGGCCAGATAATAGCGACCATCGGCTGCCACCGAGAACTTGACCATGGCCATCGACATGATGGCCTCGTTCTGGGCCAGCGGCACACTGAACATCGTCTGGCCATGCATGGCATCCAGACAGCGGATCTGCGAGGCCCACAAACCCAATCCGGCCTTGGGGGCCGAGAAAACATCCTCGGGCAGCACTTCATTGATGAAGGCATTCGCCATCTCCCTGGCCAGTTCGCGTTCCTCGTCGCCAGCAGCGCTGCGCATCTCCTCGGCCATCTGCTCCTTGCGAGCACTCTTCGTGTCTTCCGTGTAGGCATTGTGATCCGTTTCGGCAATCAGCATGCGCCCAGTGTCCGGATGAATGACGAAAGTGCGCGGCGTGAACTGAAGGGGAAACGCCACTTGATTGAAGACAGCGCCCAGTTTCTCCAGGGCCAAGATGCGCAGAGTATTCGTCGAAATCGCCACAATGCCCTCGCTGCACTGCTCGCTGGAGAAGCCAGAGGCATATTCCAGCGTCTCGTAGGAGAGCGGCGTCAAATGGAATCGATTCTGATGGTAATACGACAGCCAGGAGCGACTGGACATGGCTAGCACTGCCTCGGAGCCCTGCATTTTGATTCGGAACAGTTTCACGGGACGCGATCCCAGGTAACGCGTTCGCGTATCTGCCAGATCGCCAGACACTGGATCGAGTACCGTACGAAGCAGCACTCCATTGCTAAGGCCAATATTCAGATAGATTGTGCCCTTGTTGGTGCCACTGCGCTGTGCTGGTGCATCATCGTCCAACGCGCCCGCACTTGTAGTGCTCTCCGTGTGTCCCATTTCCACCAAACAGAGCGACTCTGCTGGCGAGGGCAGCGCCTGCATGGAGCAGGGAGTCAGGCAGTTGTTCGGATCCAATGACAGTATCCGCACAGTGTTATCCGCCAGGCCAACGGCCAAGAACCAGGAGCGTTGCTCGCCATCTGGCACTGTACCCAGGGCCATGCACATGATCTCTGCTGGCATTTCAGAGCGTTCTGTGTACTCATTGAGCTCGCCAGTCTGCAAATAAAAGAGATCCATCATTAGTTTCGGATATATATAATCCAAAAAGCCAAAGAAATTTTCTGGTAAAGCTCAGCACTGCAGGACACAGAGTGTCTCAACATGATTGTTCTTTTCGTGTTCTTGTCATCAAGGCATAGTAATAATAGTCTAGTCTCCTCCTCTATCGATCAAATTCTTACCGGATCCATTTCAAAGTAAACCAATTCCCTTCCAGACAACGTGATGACGACCTGTCGTTGATTGACGGCACATTTAGTGATTGATTTCTTTCCGGGCGCCTTCCATTCATTGACACGCTTATCGGAGCGGATGTGACGGATGCCGTCCGGATAGACCTGCACCAGGGCATCATCCCCAAGGGCGGCGCAACAGAGTGTGGGCGTGGTGCCCAAGAACCCGCTGTCCGTGACTTCCTCAACAGTCTCACCAATGCTGAGCACCAGCGTGGCATTCACGAAGGACACAATGATGTAGGCATCGAATTCGTCTAAAAGTAAGGAAAACAAAAACCATCCAAAACTTGATACATGAGTATATGGGGGTGATCAATTTGGGGCCTCTAGATGCTGTATTCCTAGCTTAGAATAGACGTTACACAACATTGAATAATCAGTTTATCAAGCTATAATCAATGGATATTCAGCTGAAACACGGTTGATAATTATCGCATCATGTTCAATGTGTGTGTCGCGTCGCGTTTGTTCAGTTCAATGGCTTAAAAGTATTTATCATTAGTTTTTGTAGTTGTAGTAGTATCTGTTGACTTATGAGCTGCAGTGTAAATGTGGCCTTACCTATCGTTTCACAAAAGATATAATTTTACATAAACTCGACAAGTGTTCTCTATTTATAGAGCGATTGTCTGTCTTTTTTCGATAGAGTCACACACAACAAAACAGTTGACGGACTGACGTCTGTGTTTAAGCGACTGAAATAAGAGAGAACTGGTGGTTGATAACTTGTGGGACTGGTTTGGAATCGTGTGTATAAAGCTAGTCGTATTCTATATCATCATCATCAATGCACCAGTTGAGTTAGAGAAACGATCGATCCATTCTTACATCCTAAAGTCTTAATCCTAGAGAAGCATGAAAATTCGAAACCCACCATCAGCTCGTTTCTTGACTGTCCAAACGGCATTGGGATTACCGGGCAATTCGGAGACGGCCATCTCGGAGACCTCCAGGCCATGGCGCAGCACGCGCAATGTAGAGCGCGGCCCGCGTCCACAGAGAACATACAACTGGGGAGTGTCCTCATTCGCTAGATCAGCCACCTGGGAGCAAATGATCGGAGCAAACGAAGGCAACTCATCCACCAGCACAAGATTCTTCAAGGTGCGTGGTGCAAAGAAGAATGTCTCGCCCTCCTCCAGAGGCATGGCCGAGCTAAACTCGGGCTCATCATCATCATCACCCAAATGTGCAATCTGATAAAGATAGCTGCAGAAAAGAAGGAATGGAATCGTTAGACACAGCCCCAGAGGATCCACACAAGTTTCTAAACTTACTGGTTGCCAAATTCGCTGGCCACAAAGAGGAAACCCGTCTTCAGCACACACATGGCCGATGCTGGGGGCACCGTATCGAAATATTTGAGCTTGATCTCAGACACCACATCATCGTCCGTCTCGAGGGTGATTTTGAAGATGTCCCCCTGCTCGGTTTGCAGCAGAAAGAAGTACATGCTCTTGGTGCGATGCGTGGCCGAACAAATAAAGATCATGCCACGCTCGGGGTCATCCAGATCGTTGCGACGACGCGGAATCGGGCAACGTATATCGTGCTGATCGCCGAGATTCTTGTATGTCAGGTAGTTCTCTGAGCAAATGAGCACGCCCGAGGGTCCATCATTGCCGCCAGGAACAGAGACCAGGAAATTGGCATGCTCCTCCAGCGGCTCGGAATACTTGCGTACTACGTGGTTCAGGCCCAGGTCCAGCTCGTAGAATGTGAGCGTTTGCTGAGTGCGCTGTGCAGCGTCGCCTGCAAGAAAAAATATACATTTGTTAGTCCAATATTCAGTCGGAGATGAGTTTTAGGTGGGGGTCACAAATCAGTGAAGTGTGGCTAGGCAATTACAGCAACACCAATGGTTCAGTGATCGACAATTTATCTGGCGCCAAGTACATACAGGTGTCCATGGTGGGTTAATCCACAAACCCTGAGAATTAAGGCGCTAATAGGGAGAGAGGGAGTGGAAGATACTTACCCGATGGATCCAAGTCAGACTCTTCGTAGTCAATCTCCAGGCAGGCAAACATAGGATTGTCAAAGCCAACATCCACACCGACCATGTGATAGGTCAAAGTGTTGGATTTATGTGCCTCCAGTGGAGATGAGATCGTCAGGCGCGCCTGAGTGTCGCGATTCATGATGTAGGCCAGCTTCTGCTTCTCCACTGCGCCAATCATCACGGCACGACCCTTGGGATCGATGGCAAAGTACTGCCCCGGCACAATGCGGCGGCATCCAGACTTGCCAAAGGTCTCCTGATGCACCTTCTCCAATGAATTCTTGGCGGGCATGTACTCCAGAATTACAATGCGGCCGGAATCAGAACCCACAACGATGTAATCTAATACATTTAAGGAGATAAAAACCCATTAGAGACGGACCGGAAGTGGTGTGATGTTGACCCCATTTTGAGGTTAGGTTTTAAGGTGTAACTCGAAGTTTCAGTTCGCCATACCATGTGTTGTTTGGGGTTATGGCAAATGCGACGCCAAGTCTTTTGGGTTACTCTCGCACGTAGACTGGTTTAGCAAGGTCTTACTGGGACAAACTACACAAGTTGATGCCTCAATAGGGTTTTGTGCGTCTTTCACTAACATTAAACGAGTTTTAGTTAACAATTGTTCCTTACATTTACCAACCTTTTGTTCCGCCCGTCAGACGGAAGGCCATCAGAGCGCGTATGCAACCGAAGACCTCCGTCGAGAGCAGCGTATGCACCTTGCCGGTGTTCGAGTCGGGTCGCAGCAGCTCGAGCGACTTGCCACGTGACAAGAGAATCTCCTGCTGCTTGCCACCAGAAAAGTTGCCATGGACGGCGTGCGTGACGCCCGTTCCTTTCTGCAGCGTCAAATTGTACAGATACATGATGAGGCTTTTGAATTTTCACTCCATCTCAATGACCAAAACTGAAAAAGGTCCAAAGTACATTTGAGGTTAGGTACAGTCACCGTGAAAAAATGCTCGAATATTGTAAGTAATTTCAGTAGTTTTGTACTGCTTTGAAAACCATGGCCACAGTTGGTGTATTCGTGTCGCCTAACGATGCTAGTAAGCAGCATTTATTTGTTAATTTAGCACGCCTTAACTTGCGACCAAAGCACAGACATTTCTGATTTCTGGAGATACTTTGTGCATAAATTTCTTAATAATACCAAATATCATTAATTGAAGCCGTAAATAGCTACCTTTTCCCGTTTTAATAGATTATTTTACACATTGTGACACCGATGCCAATGGATTAAAATGTTCTACAATCACTCTGTTATACGCAATACGCTCCTGCTTTGTTTCGGTGGCCAAGAGAAAATGAACGAAAAACGCGGAGGCGTCCATTGCCAGTAAAAAAAGAAGAGATGTCAAGCCATGCCACTATCGATAAAATTTTAATTTCAGCTCTTCTAGGGTTGTCAGATAAGGATAAAAACTTATATTTTTTATAATAAAATTGTTAATTGTTGGTTTTTACTTTTTTGTTTATATTTTGTATTAAAATTTATTCCAAGGAAATAAGTAATCCAAGGTAATAACCACTAGTTATTACAGTTTTTGTGTTGAAACATTTTAACTTGAGTACATTGCTCTCATCGATAAGGACCCCCGATATATCGTTGCCACCTCTGTCAACAGCTGACAGTTAACAACAATTATTTCGTACAAATATTAAAATTTTAACTCAACCACCTTGCGTATATTGCTTATAAAAAGTTATTCCAAGGAAGGTAAGGTCTAGGGTCATGGATGAACAAGAAAAGCTGTATGAGGAAGCACAGAAGAAGGTGGTATTGGGCGAAGAACTGAAACTGGCCTTGGTTGACTTCGAAGACTTGGCCGGAGTTTCGAAAGTGCAGCGAAAAATACAGCAGGAGCTTAAATTCTTGAACAAGGTTTAAGATGACGACATCCTTCGCGAATAATCTACTAAAGTACACGTTTCCGTTTAGGTAATAAGCACAAATTCGGTGAGGGATCACCACATAACCAGCAGCAACTTTGTTTACTATGAATTTCTAATTAAAATCCTGCAAACGCAACAAGGAGTCGTCGATATAAACGCTGTGTTCCGCCTGGAATCCCGCAATAGTCCCCTTCGCGTTGACATTGTGGCCAATAATGGTCTGAAATGGGTCAAAGTGATAGCGAGAAATTCCAAATCCGTGGAAGATGCCGCCAAGGGGTGCGTAAGCATTGGCGCACGAAGTGTTATAGATCAGGCGGAAGACTATCTGGAGGCGAGTTCGCTACATTTCTGTATGTTCCAGCGTCCCAAGGTAAATAATTTGGACACCCATCATTTGGCACAATACTAGACATTCCCTTTTTAGATTGTATTTTACTTTTCAAACAAAATTGAAGACTCACTGCATGAAGAGCTTCTCGAAATGGGCGTGCAGACAGCATCCTTGCAGGCACCCGACAGTTTCGAGGACCAATATACAACCGCGTCCAATGAGCTGAATCTGGATGTCACCACCATGCTGGCATATGTCAGCGCCCTCACAAATGGCCACTCGCATTGGGTGTTCAAGGAACCACTGCTCACCGAACAGGCCGAGCGGGAACGAGCATCGCCACTGAAGCCACAGCTTGAGAAGATTCTGCAGGGAAAGCGGTTGGTCTGCTGCCAACTGGCTTACGATGCCTTTGAGAATATATTGACCATCGTGGGCGGACCCGGCGAACGAGAGAGGGCTGCCGATTTCTTAAAAAGAATTAGGGTCTATCCAGATGTGGAAAAAATACCCGAAGAGTTCTCCACCATTCGATTCACTGCCAGTGTGAACGAGAGAAGTCTGAAGATCTTTAGCTTTGGCATGGCCCGACAAATCTTTACAGTAACCTCTAATAAGGCTTTTGTTCGATCAGCCAAGATGCAGGTGAGAATATATATTTGCGGATTTGGAACTTGTGTCTCTAAAAGTTAACGAATCTATGTGTTTCTAGGGAACAAACGTGCCCGTTTTCGTGCATGCTTCAGTTGCACTTACCGAAGGTAAACAGGCAGCCGGACAACCACTTTAAGTGTAATAAATATTTTCTTTTTTTTAAATGTAATTATGTAGTTTTATTTTAACGCGTCGATTATCTAAAACATCGATAGCAGTAACAGGGTTGCCAAGTCTACTACATCTGCTGCTGCGCAGAAATAAACAAAATAGAAAACATGGATTGTGCACCGCTGAATTTGGTAATTTCTTAAAAAGAAAACGTTAGTCTATGCAAAAACTAAATCAATTAGTCTACCCCCCTTTTAGGCGCATTTCCATGAACGCCGCTCCGAGCGTTTTATTCGCAATCATCGCTATGAAGACGCCATTAAGGCTTTGGAAACGTCGCTAATCTACATGCAGGACGCTCATAAGCGAGTCGCCCTGCCCAAATCGAAGGAAGTGCTCGACACCCTGACGCTTGACTTTCAGCGAAAGCTGCGACAGATTGAAATGCGGAAAACGCAGCACGGGCTGACTAAAGTAAAGGATTTTGTGCCACTGAAAGAGGCGTGCCCAATGATGCCTTTGCGGCAGGAAAACAGCGGCGGCGGCACATCTTCAGCCCAATCAGTTGCAAAGGCTATTGACAAAACAGTGCAGGAATTCGATGCCAAGTTCAGTTCAACGGTAACAACCAAATCTTCGACAGGGGACTGTGAGCCCCAAATGGAGATGCTGTCCAGAAGTGATCCCCAGAGATCTGGACTTGAAGATCAATGCCAGAGCAGACTGGAGCGATCCGATGATCTGGATATGCCTTCACTGGCACCCCTAGAGCTGCCCTTGTTCGATTACAGCATGTTTTGCAGCTCCTCGGCTCCATCGTTGGTCAGCTATGCGGGCATGGCCGAGAGCTTTCAGAAATAGATTCAATTATGTGATAATTATAATTATAATATTAATTTTTAATGTTCTACATGCTAGCGTTTCTATTTGGCCATCAAACCCTTTAACAGGTCATCCATGTCCGTCTCAGTCTCCACGTCCTTCAGTAGGAGCAGCACCTGGGCCTCCATCTCGCAGAGAATGGCTGGTTTCAGGTACGTGACGATCAAAGTATTGAACTGATGGTGCACAGAGATGTTGGACTGTGCCGGTGGAGTGCCACAGCGGTCCAACTCAGGTACTGGAATCACCTTGTAGTACTTCTTATTGGTAGTGCGCACAATAATGGAACGCTGCTCGGCGCCAGCACTGACATTGTACACTTCCAGGGGATAGGGCATGTTGCGGATACGCCACTCGATGTTCTTCTTGGTCACCCGCTTTGTCAGCAGGGGGGCGGTGTTGCTCTCGCGCAGCATGAAGTCATCCGGAGTGCTGTCCACATCTCCCCCTGTTCCGTTGGCTTTGTTGCCAGACCAGTTGAGCTGGCGGGGCTCCTCCCCAAGCTCGATTTCCCACTCGGGCTGTCCCATCAGTTGCTTGCACTTGCGCCAGGCGCGACGCAGCACGATGCCTGTGTCCAAATTGTAGTCCTCGGCCATTTGTTGGCCGTCTGGAAACTTGTAGAGCACCTTGCGCAGTCGCCCGCTGATCATTGAGTTCTTCTCGGCCGACGTCAAGTAGTTTATCCAATTCTGGTATGACATCTTTACGGTTACTAGAAATAATACTAATGCTAAAGTAAATTTGATCGATGGCGCAAAGTAAAAAGCACATTTGCCCCTGGCAACCCAGCTGTCACCTGGTGGTACAGTGTTGCCAGGGCTGAAAAATAACATGTTCCATTTGTATTTAGTTGGATTGTACAATTAAATAATGTGTAATAGTTTAATTTATTCAATTAAAATCCCAATACGACCTTATATATATATAATATATGTTATACATACATTTGATAAATATTATAAAAATCCCTCTAAAAATAGCTTATTTTGGCTGTAAATTAGTTGGCAGCCCACATAGCGGCATATTTGTACACAAAAAAAAAACAGAGTTGACGTGGCCGCGAAGAGACTGCATTAAAAATACATATTTCATCACTGCGATACATTTTAATTTTTGCTATTTAAAGTAAGCTCTCGCTTGGTACTCCGTCTGCCGTTTAAAAATAGCCGCACACAAAGAACTCTCGCGTAACGTGCATATTCAGAACTAATTTCAGGAAAATTTCTTTGCAGACACACCAGAAAAATCGAAATCATCGAAATCGACCAGTTCTAAAGTTTAACTTTGTCGTGTCCAGAAATTTGCATTCGGAAAAATGAGTTTAGTCTGGACTTTGATCGCCGGCTTTCTCTATGCAGAGATTGCATTGGTTTTGCTGCTGGTTCTGCCCGTGGCCAGCCCCTACAGGTGGAATCGCTTCTTCAAGTCCAAATTCCTGGCCATGCTCGCACAGCAGGCGCACATCTATTTCTTCTTGATTATGGGTGTATTGGTCTTGTTCTTGTTGGAGGCAATACGCGAGATGCGCAAGTATTCGAACTATGAGCAGACCGGCGAGGTGCACCTGAACGTGGAGATGCAGCACAGCATGCGCCTGTTCCGTGCCCAGCGCAACTTTTACATCTCTGGCTTTTCGATTTTCCTGGTTCTGGTCATCCGCCGCTTGGTAACACTGGTCTCGGCCCAGGCCAATCTGCTGGCCCAGAGCGAGGCCTCGATGAAGCAGGCCCAGAGCGCCACGGCTGCGGCTCGTTCCCTGATGGAGGACAAGAAGACCGAGAAGGCCAAGGAGGCCGGTGAGGACAGCACACTGAATGAGGTGAGTCGTTTCGTATTTGCCCCGTTCCCCTCCAGGTCTGGCATGTTTAGAGAGCTTGGAGCAAAACCTAACACCTATCACTTTGGAGTTCCTTTGGCTACTACCAGCTGTACAAAATGGCAATGCTACACTCTGAAACACCCAAACACACAGGTTGGGCCCTGCATGCCTCGAAAAGCAACTCGAAAGTACATAAAACTCTTGTAACTCTTTAAACAGTTGTCCAGCCTGCGGAAACGTGTGCAAGGACTCACGGCCAGAGTATCCTAAGTATCCTTTGCTACACCCACACATTCCCCACAACTCAAATCCCCAAACTCAAACACACACACAACAAACACTCAACTTGACAAAAATCGTCTTACAGCTCAACAAGCTGCGCGAGCGCGTCCAGGAGCTCACTTCCGAGCTGAACCGCGAGAAGAAGGACAAGGAGGCTGTCAAGTCGCAGGCCGAGAGCATCAACCGTGAATACGACCGCCTCACCGAGGAGTACAGCAAGCTGCAGAAGCAGATCACCATCGGTGGCAAGGGAACAACCACTGCCGCCAGCAGCAAGGATGATTGAGCACTCAGCAAGAGGCCGAGTCCAATACTTTAATACCGATAAGACTTATAAACGGCGGTGGGGCACAGCGACAGCAAAAACACACATTTAAAAAGGATTATAAACGATTAGGAATCGAAAAAGCACACACATTATAATGTTAATTCTCATACCACAACACCACACGCATTGATAAAGGTTTATTGATACGTGTTGCGAATTCTCTACATTATGTTTTTCTATGCCTGATACTGATACTGTTTGCTTTCTTTCGTACTCTTTGCATTAATCAGTATATCGTAAGTTTTGTTTTGCCACAGGATATAACACAAGCCGTGGCTAATAAAATAACAATTATAAAACACATATGTACTACCACTCCCAGTTCGATTGATGATTCATGATTGAGCAGTAGCCACCAGCTGATAGTCCACATCATGTCGAATGCAATGGCGTCATAGACAACCTGTTTATTTGCTGACAAATCGCATTGATTATCGCACTTCATTGAAAAGTAGATAACGAAACAGATGTGTAACACAAGAATTCCACATACCAGTGAGGTTCAAGTCTACTCCCACCAGAAACTAACTGAGAAGCTTGGCGTTTCCGCACGCACATAGTGCCACCATTTAGGTGGCATATACAAGCAATCGCCAGGCTGAAGAAGCAGCTTATAGAAGCGCACTTTCTCCAGCAGGGGATACTTCTTGAAGTCTAGCTCCGCGGCATTTATTTGCGATGTATTGCCGAGGAATTCGCTCTCGTGGGGATACAGATTATCCGTGTCTTTGGGGGCAGCCAGTATAATCTGCTTAGAGCCAAACACCTGGCAGAGTAAGTTGTGCTTGGGATCATAGTGCATTGGGGATATGGTTCCGGCAGGTCCTAGCCAGGCCTTGATGTCCACAGCTGCTGGGGGCTCCTCCGCACCGCTCACAGTGCAATAATCGGGCACACAGATATCCGCTTTCAGGGCCGGTATCTGGGCAAAGAGCTCGTGCTGGGCAAGATACTCAATCTCCCGACATCCGTCTTCACTTTGGTGAACAAATTGCCGACGCAGAAAGTCGCGAATTTTGACTAGCTGCTGGGACCACTCGTCGTTGGCATAGTTGGAGCCAATCTCTATGGGTACTGTGCGATTGCCCGCCACTTGCACTAGGTAGTTCAAGTCCCGCCACTTGTCCATGGCTGGCCATTGCTTAATGGTGTTCAGCAGCAGCGTCGGCTGCTGTGCCTGGAAACATTTCGTTTGAAACTCATTCAAGCCGGGAGCATCCAGCTGTGGTATACCACAGGCACTCGAAACTCTCATCACTGCCGCCAAGATGGGCAATGGCTCGACACTCGTCTCCTGGCCCTTGTCCAAGTAGTCCATGAGTGCTGCCTTGAGATCGCTCCAGTCATCTGTGCAGGCGAGTAGCTGAGCCTCGTCCAGGATGCCACTGCATTTTTCCTTTTGCCTTGGGTCTGTGCTCTCCAGGAGTAGGAAGAATATCTGAAACTAGCCCCATTAGTCGACAACTAAAGGGGAGAATACGTCTCACCTTGAAGAAACACGCAATAGCATAGATTTTCCGGATCGTCAGAGGAACGCTGCTGAAATGGCCGGTATGTATGCGCTCCCAGTTTCTGTCCACCAGGGCACATATCAGATATCTAATTTCCTCATCCTCGCCAGCCTTACGACTGGACTTCTTGATCCGTTCCAAGCAGTCTGTTGCTTTTTTGAGTATATACCGAGCTTCGACTTCATTTTGAAGGAAATCTTCCAAGTCGGCATAGTGCGGAAATAGCTCCAAAAGCGGCGCTTCCATAATGCCAGAGTTTAACCAAAGACAATGTAAGAAAAATTGGCATTGCATATGGCAATTGAAATGTATGAGCGTTATAGCCTATAGCCTATTCCCACAGGCCACCAGCCCCCATCCATTTCGGGTCCGTAAGGTTTTGCCGTTCCGAAAATTTCCCAGTTATTCCACCATCCATCTGGGATGTTCCTAATTCACACGTTTCTGTGCCGTATTTTTTCGATAATTGTCAAATGCAACCATAAATATTTGACATTCACAACATAAAATCAGAATTCACTACGAAAATGTAAACAATGACAGGCAGGAAAATGGTAAAAACAACAACAAAACTGATATGTCAGAATTGTCTCAGGCAGAAAAACTCGGTTTGTGGACTGGGAATTCTTTTAAGAATGCTCTGCAAAACTGTTAGCTGACAGCCTCCTCACTGTTCTGTACTCAGAAAAAAAAGTATACAATGCTATGGCTATACAAAACTTTCCTTAAAAAACGCGTCGTTTTCGGGTACATTTTTCTGCCAAAATGTCCCAAACCGCTTCTCGAAAAACTTAGAATATATATTTGTATTTAAAACATTGATTGGATTTAGTAGAAGCAGTCACAAATGACCACGCTTCGGTGTTTTCAAAACATAGATCCATTTCAATAAATTCTCCTCGTCAATGTTGACCACGTTATTATCATCTTCCATGTCCAGCAACATGATTAGATTGTGCAAGAATATATTTTGGTGCTGAATCAAATTCACAACCATTGCAATATTATTAATATTCATTTCAATTATAAAAGAAACAAATTTTCCGCCGCACCAAATTGTCTGCATCAGCTATTTTTCATGAATGGTGGATGGTGCCAATGGGAATCGGAGTTTCACATCTGTCAAAAATTCAAGAATCGTCTGGACAATCGTTCGGAGCGTTTCATCAATGCTATGCTGGTGAAGTCGGTGGTCAGGAAAATGGTGACCCCGTACACGGACGAAGATGTCGCCAACTCCAATCTAATAGAGAGAAGCGAGGTGAAAAGGGTTAACAACCTTAAACTAGATGATTGGAAGCGTCAGCGCGAGCGCAGCCATCGGTGGTAAGGGAACAACCACTGCCGCCAGCAGCGAGGATTGAGCACTCAGCAAGAGGCCGAGTCCAATACTTTAATACCGATAAGACTTATAAACGGCGGTGGGGCACAGCGACAGCAAAAACACACATTTAAATAAAGATTATAGCCATTTATTAGTATCTACGGAATATAAAAATGATTTTTTAGCTCTAGATATTTGTTAAAATATGGCTAAAATTTGGTATAGAAGCTGATCGATCGAGTGTTGACTAAGCATTGTAAAGTCTCCTGCCTTATTCACAGCCCGCCAAGGATATGGACCCGGGGAATAGGTTTGGGAATTCGTTGATGTGCGAACGGGTGCACACATGTTCTATTGGCTCTACTACACCACGGCCAATGTATCCAGCTACACGGAACATCGCCTGGCCATCTGACCATTACGCATTTTATTCTTATTTTGTCTTTGGTTTAACAATCTGAACAGCACTGATAATTTGGTATTTATGCGGTCACACTAGAATCAAAGTAAACCGGCAAAGTTGTGCAGGTTTTTGATGGAACCGGAGAATAAAAAATCCAAAATGACGAAGAAATTCCACCATAAGAAGAAGTATTTCCAGGGCAACAAGCAGGTGCTCCAGGCCGGGCAGCGTGGTTTCTTCGCCACGTGCAACATCAACGAGAAGGGCTGCGTGCGCGAATGCTACAACTTACTGAATCATTATGCTGACATTGTGTACGGCCCCGAGCAGCCGAAAGTGCCCGAAAAGGAGTCTGAAGCAGCAGCAGCTGCTGGCGAGACTGGAAAGCCTGGTGGCACCACCAGCGACGACGACGATGATGACTTGGAAGCGGCTGCTGCTAAATGCCGCGAGACTCTCACGCAGCGCAAGGTGCGCTTCCAAAACGTGGAAACCGGCACCACCAACTGCATCTTCATACGCACGCTTCTGGACGATCCCGTTGGGCTGGGAAAGCACATTGTCGACGATATAACCACCACTGGCAAGTCGATGTCGCGCTTTGTCCTGCGCCTGGTGCCCATTGAGGCCGTTTGCCGCGCAAATATGCCAGACATCATTGCCGCGGCCGGGCCGCTATTTGACAAGCATTTCCTGAAGGAACCCACCAGCTATGGGATCATATTCAACCATCGCTACAACCAGCAGATTAAGCGTGATCAGATAATACTCGATTTGGCCGATTTGGTCAACTCCAAGAACGTGGGCAACAAAGTGGATCTGAAGCAAGCCAAGAAATCCATCATTGTGGAGGTACTGCGCGGCTGGTGCCTGCTCAGCGTGATCGACAACTACTTGGATGCCAAAAAGTACAACCTGGCCGAGTTGGCCAACCCAAGCGAGAAGAAATCGAACGGCGACGCCGACACCAAGTCTGAAGAGAAGTCTGTGGAGGAAGCAAAGGCCAATGATGAGGATGCAGCCGACGCCTTGGACAAGGACAAATCCACCGCTGGAATTGACGAAGTTTCCGATGCCTCTCCTGCTGTACAGAATACAGAATAAAATGTTATTGAAGTTTCTCTTTAAATTTGTTGCTTTTCTTTATTCCATCATCGCTTAATCGCTAACTTTGGAGTGTATGCTGGCCATTTCCGTATCTAAGTCATGCGTGTGTACACCTTACACTTAACTAGTAAAATTATGTTGACTAGAGCATTCTATGCATTCCGTTTGAGCAGCAGCCCGACTGTGCTGGCAATCTTCTCGTAGGCCATGAACATGAGCGCGGCCGTGAGCACGGTCTGGAGAATCTTCGCCTCCAGCCCACGGAACAGACCTCGAACACCGGTGTGCTGCAATATGCTGATCATCATCTCCAGAGTGCTCTCCGTTCGTTGGCCCGACGCCTGTCGGGACGTTGAGGGCGCCGCTGTCGCTTCCTTGCTGCGATGACGCAGCTTGGTCTGCACCAACTGCAGGGGATAGGTCAATACCGTGGCAAAGGCCTTGGCAATGGCTCCGATGAAGAAGAATCCCAGGCTGCCCACCTCTCCGCCGGTAAAGGTCATGATATTTCGTTTCAGCAGCTCGTACATCATGAACTGCAGCGCAGGATTCGAGACGAGCATTAGCGAGGGAATCGTGCCCGACCACAGGCCGGCGAGGCCCTCTGTCTTGGCCACATACTTGAGTCCCTCCACGAGATTCTTGTAGTGCTTGTTGATCTCATTCGAGGTGCCAGCCACATTGCGCATGCGCAGCCGCGTGTTCACCACCCAAAAGGGAGTGGTCGTAAGGACATTAATCACGCCAGCGATGCAGCCCAGCAGCAGATCCTTCAGTGCGCTCTGCTGCGAACGGGCGCCATTCGAGGCCACCGCCTTAAGGGCATGGAATGTGTAGAAATAAACAAAGTTCGAAATGCACAGGCTCTGGAGAACTGGTCCCAGTCCGCGGTATAGCGACTGGAAACCCTCGCCCAGAACGATCTCCTTGATCATCTGCTTGGTGCTGCGCACCTCACCAGCCTCCTCCACTGAAATTGGACAAAGGGGAAACGGATTAGCATTGCTGCATTACCTGAGGCTTCTGATTCTACGCTATTTTAATGGGTCACGCATATAGAAAGTGAAGCTACCAACTGAACCTTGGACCGCAATATGATAATTACTCAATTTGGAGAAAGGTTATTAACTTTAACCCTATTACTAATACTATTCAATTTGGTAAAGCCATGCCAACGATCATTATACTCGCTGGCAAGGAGTGCACATTGATAGGGTTCGAAAGCAGACCATATCTCATCTATACACAAACCACGAAATTGGATTAGAGGGGGAAATTGATTAGTGGCTCTCGCTGGAGTTTGAACTCTTTCAATAATACATATTATCTATGCGTGGGTCTGTTGTTGCTTAGCCATTGAGATTGGTTGACGGCCCAGTGCCTCAGACTTACGTTGCAGGCGGGAACGCACCGTGTCCAGTGGGTAGAAGGTGCTCATGGCTATGCAGCCACCCTGTATACAAAGAGATGTTTGGTATGGAAATTAGCGTGATTTGACCTTTAACCGGCAAATATTTATGCACTTACGGCAGCACCGGAGACGGCATGCACCCAGTTTTGGTAGCTAAAAACTTGACTGAGCTTCGACGGGGCCACCATTGTGTCGTGTCGTAATGTTAATGGGGAGTTGCTGTAGCTATCGCTGTTATTTGTTTATTTATTGCAAGGCGTTGAGTTGCGCTGCACGTCCGGCGGCGTCCTCTGGCAAATGTTTAATGATTCGCTGCTGTCCAGCCGGCTTCGTACAGTTTATAATTTAAGGCCCAGGGGCAGCGCAGTCGATGGGCCGTCTGGTTTGCCTCAGATTAGATTAACTTAACGATGCCTACACGCGACTTGAAAGGGCGGGCGCGTCGAAAGCTTTGTTCTCGCTGCTCCCGGAATGCACAGAGTCGGTGTAATAAATGATTCACTCACATATTCACGTATGAATTTCCAAAAAAATTAGTTTACATTCACATATGTAAGCATGACCAGCTGTTGTGGGATTTTGAGCATTTCGAGGCAGTTGGCTGGTGAGTTAGGTCATACTAGAGCAGTGCTGTGAAGCGTGCAATATGGATATGTGGTTTTTATTTAAAACGACTTAAATTACTTTTTTCCTAAACATAGTTTATGGCTAATTAAAAATGATATTACAGAATTAAAGAAGCTGATCAATAAGGCACTTCTCCCGACGTGGCTCCAGGCGTGGTTTCTTTATAAAATTAACTCCCGTTTCACTGCTGCTATTGAGCAAATCTGATGCTTTGCGTTTCTGATTATGCTAGAGGACAAAAATGTACAAAACATTGATGGGAAATGCTGGCGAATCTCTTACCTCGTGTTCCTCCTCTGTTAGCGTGGCAAACACAAAGTTCTTGGCCTTGGCCGTCTTTACGGACACAGTTCCTGCAGTTCCGTCCCCATGGTCAGCACCTCCCTTGGTCATTCCAGCCAGTTTGTTGAGCGTCTCATTGTCCCGCACCAGGAACGAACCACGTACCGTGCTCTTCTGCTGCCTGCCAGTCACACCCTTTGAGATCAGGAACGGCGAGCTCTTCTTCGCCTCCACCGTTGTCTTCCTGGCTGTGATTATGTTCAGCCTACGGATGGAGTTGCCGGAATTGCTGGTGTTCTTGGTCACGGCTGGAGATAGCGGGGTGACGGCTTCCTAAATGATACAAATTCAGCAACTGATATTCCTAAAGATAGTTGGTCTGGATCTCACCGCTTTCAAGCCATTCTCCAGTAGGAGCTGCTCGCGTTCGTAGCGAATCTTTCGCCACATATGCTCGTTCTCCTCATCGCCACTGCCCTCGTTGGCCTCCCCATTCTCAGTGTGCTGCTGTTCCTCCAGGCTGAAACCATTATCGACATTCTTCCAGCGAAACTGGCGCTGTCGTACGCCTCCCTCTTCGTCCTCGAACAGCATTTCCTTGATCTGACGTACCTCCCGAATGTCCTGGTCAAGCATTTTGCGGCTGTTAAAGAAGGAAAACCAATGACATTTTGATGATTGCCCTGTCTATTGCTTTGTCTCTACTTACGCATGAATCTGTCCGAGCTCGCTGCGCAGCTTCTCCCGATCGAACTGATCTTCATCGCCCAGCTCTATGTCATAGGTATCCATATCCCTCTCGTCCTCGTCAGCAGAGCCCCACTCAGACTCGGATAGTTCCGCCTCCTTTTGCATAAAGTTTGATGCTCGCCGTTTGCGATCTTTTTTGGTCATTTCCACAACGATTTCATTTTCCTCCGAGTCATAGTCGACAAAGGTTTCGGGTATCTCCTCTGCTGGCTCCACATCGCTTCCCATCAGCTCTTTTCCCTCGTCATAGTCCTCGGCTTCACTCTCTTCGTCATCGGAGAATCCCAAGGGCCTCTTCTTTGCCTTTTTCTTTGTGAGTTTCTTGTTGCGTGGCTTATCTGTTTCCGTCAGCTCCTCCTTTGTCTCCTCATCACTGGACAGAATTTTGTTGGCTATCTGCAGCGGCATGGAGTCGTCTTCAGGCTGTTCTGTCTGTTGCGTGGGCTGCTGCTGCGTCGCAAAGGTTCCTGAACAGAGGGACTCCAGTTCCTCAGGTGCTTGGCTGCTTTCCAATCCGAACTGTGTCATGGGAATCTGACTGATAAGCGCAGATTCCGCGGAGGGTGCTGCTGAGGACACCATTTGAGATTGCGGGAATTGTCCAGAGCACAGGTCGAGTAGCTCATTCTCCTCATCGCTGGCAGTTCGTCGGGTCTCCGCATCGAAGAGTTTGTGGGCGGACAGTTGAAGCTGAGTGGCCGTCATGGGTGTAGCATTGCTGGGGGGCTTCGGCGTCTGCAGTAGATCCAAGTCGTCCTCATCGGAATTGTCATCGTCCTGGAAGGCTTTGATGATTCTATTCCTTTTCTTTCCCGCTGGATTCTCCACCTCTGGCTCACTTTCTTCCTCACTTTCACTGCTATTTTCTGATTCAGGTGCCAACTCGACTTCATTATCCAATTCAAGAGAATCCCCATCAGCTTCAGCTTCATTGGCTGTTTCCTCGCCTTCTGCTACTATCTCTTCGTCCTCATCGATGTTCACTTGATTGGGGCAAGGCTTTTCATCCGGTTCGTACTCTTCATTCACATCCATGCCTTCCACTTCATCGTCTTCTGCTGCCCTCTCCTCCTCCTCTGCTTGCTTTTTGCGCAGATCTTCCATGCGCTTCTGTTTGATGCGTGACTTAAGCTGCTCCTGCATTTTGACATACGCCGCACCAGGCGAAGCATCCTTTTGGACGGGCTCCTCCTCATGCAGGTGAATGTTAACCTTGGACATCTCCAGTTTCCCATGCTCCGTGGACAGGATGCTGCAAGGAGATGAAAGTTAGTCGTAGGTGTCATCCGGGAGCATATTTTACTCACCTGACAGTCTCCGTGGTCTTGTGCTTCTTGGCCTCTCGCGTTTTCATCAGCCGTTGCAGCAAATCGTCCACACCGGTTGGTTTCTTAGCAAACATGTCGCCCGTTTCCAGATCAATCACCATTGTGGCATCCCCCTTCAACGAGGGACTCACGTCTGTGCTCTTCTCGATCTTCAAGCGTTGAATGGCCTCGCTTATCCGCGGAGTTGCGGGCTTTGGGGGCGGCGTGGTAGTTATTGTACTCAAATCTAGTTTAGGCAGCTCAACAACTTCCGTAACCAGACATTCTTTGGTGGGTGCTCCCACCTCTGGTTGTGGTAGATATTCGCTAATCTCTGCGAACCTCAGGACAGCTGCAGCTGCGGAAGTAGAAGCCACTGGCTGCGCCTCCTGCTCCTGCATAGGGAATTCTTCTATGATCTCTTCGGTTGCCATTTCCTCTGCCTGTTTCTCCACTTCGTCTAAGATATCTGCAACATCTGCCACAGCTTCATACATTACTCCAGGATTATCATTCATCTCCACCAGCGCTTCATTGTCGTCCGATCCATCCCCATCTTCGCCCTCCGATTCGGATTTGAAAAACTCTGTGGCCTCCTTGGCGCGATCGTCCATTAGTTTTCTGCAGAAATGTGAATAATGAAATGGAACTTTCCTGTTGATTCTCCTACTTACGCATATGCCTCCAGTTCCTCTCGGTTCATGCGCAGGCCCATCGATTTCCTGGGCTGTCTGATGGGCATGGGACTGCCACCGGCCATGGCCGTGGCCAGCGGCGTATTGATGGTGCGGCGGCTAAGAAACTCTTTGAGGGTCCGCGGCTTGGGCTGGTGGTAGGGCACACTGATGTGAGCCTCGCGATGCAGCCGCTGTTGCTCGCTCTGTATGGCCTGCATATTGTCCAGTGCTATTTTGGCAGATGCCTAAGGAAATGGAAAGCGGAATTTGGTTAGTGAATGCTCCAATCTCATTTTGTGGGGGGGGGGGGAGAGAGAGAGAGAGAGAGAAACTCACCCACACGGTCTTGGCTTTTGTGGGTTTTTCGGCGTAAACTTCCGGGCCATTTTCCTGCTCTTCGCCCGACTCATGACTTGGCTCTGGCTCGGATTCAGAGTCCACTAGGCCTTTGAGTTTGTTCTTTGGGAGACTAGTTTCCTTATCGCTTTGCTCTTTCTGGGATTCGTCTTGGTTGTCACTGTCGCTGTCCATTCGTTGTTTCATTTTCTTTGCCAGCTTGGTCTTTAGCTTTGGCTTGTCCTCTTCCGTGGGCATCTGTGGATCTTCTGACTCACTATCCGTGTCGATGATGGCAGATATCTTAGTTTTGAGCTTGGTCTTGGGGACCATAAACTCATCTTCTTCAATGTCTGGAAAGCGCTTCCTACTGGATTTAGGAGAGATTTTCTCTTCTACCTTCTCACGTTCACCTTCGTCTTCGGGTTCATTGTCTGGGAAACGCTGTCGCCTGGATATGAGGACTATCTGTGCCTCTGCCTGGTTCACATGTTTCTCCTGCACTGATTTTACCTCCCCCTCCTCTTCATCGCTGTCCAACAATGGCTGCCTCCTGCTCTTGGACCCCAGCTTCGAGTCCTTTACATCGAAAATTTCTTCACTTTCACTGTCCGACATCATCAGACTCTTGCCACCCAACAAGTCTTCGGCGGAAACATTTTTCTCGTCCTCCTCCACTTGCAGCGTTTCCATTGAATCATCTTCTTGCTCGTCATTTTCTGCTGCTGCTGCAGTTTCTGCAACCGATTCGCTCATCTTTCAGGGTCACTACGTTTGCATTCAAATAAAAACTAAAAACAATCTGAAAACGCACAGCACACTATTATGATTGTGTTTTGGCGCAAAATTGTCGATCGCGGCTATATCGATCAAATATACCGACTGACCCTCAGAAATATACCGAAATATATATACCTTCTCAATATTAAAATATACCGTAAATATACTAAAGGACACGACAAGCTTGATATTCTTCGATTTTGATATTCGGTTTAATATTACTACCTAGTTAGGAATGGAATTGGAATGCAGCAGCTTAAGCTGCTTTGAAACCTTGGTAAAAATTATTTTACTTGTATTGGCATGCTTTTGACCTAAATTAGATTCTATACATGTCTCGATCCCGTTTGGTAACTGCAAGAATTGCAATATTAATTTTTTTATTTATTTTTATTTTATTTATCCATCTACTCATAAGACTAGCACTCAAATCCAAAAGCCAGCAAACAAATGTCATATATTCTTCTAGCGGCCAGTGGTTTGACCAGAGGTTTGCACTGCATTCCGTACGGTTACACTGTTCAGAGAGCTGCTTGGTTTTGATCAAGGTTAATAAAATGCACTTCTTCGGCTGTGGTCGCTCTTCCCTAGGCATATCCTGGGCTCCCCAATATTTTATTGACAAGGTAATGTGTCTGACTACACTACTCGACAAAATATAACTTTTTTTTTCCTCAAGGATCCAAACCGACTTTTTCTGATAGATATGGAGATTTTAAATTTTTTAAAGAATTATGGTTTTCTTTCTATGGCAGAACTTTTTTTTGAAGAATTTTTGAAGTCTGGTATTTTTTTTTAAAGATTTTTTCAGAGGAAGCGCTTGGATATGGGCAGTTGAGCTCGCAACCTTCGAAAAGGTATTTTTTGTTCATTTTTTCCATATTTTAGGTTTGGTTAACGAATTTTAGCTCCAAAGTCTCTCCATAGATTTTAATGAGCGATACCTGGAACGACGCCAAATTAATGCACCTATACACAAAAAAATAGAGGACACAGGATATAATTTTTTTTCGACTTTTCCTGAGTTTTTAAAGTCAAAATTTCGTAAAAAATACCGCACAAAAATCATCATTTTTGCATTTCAATGCTTTATATTTCCCAGACGGTAAGCTGTAATCACAAAGTGCTTGGGCTTAACTTCTAGCGGTTTTAATTATCCTTTTCAAAATAGCAAAGTTCTTTACAACCAGACGTAAGATACTAGAGTTATGTGAAAAAAACAAGCGCTACCTCTGAAAAAAGCTTTAAAAAAAAATACCAGTTTTAAAAAATTTTTTTAAAAAAAAGTTCTGCCATAGAAAAAAAAAAAAATATCATCAAACCATTTCTAAGCCCCAAATCTTTAAGAAAAAGTTCGTTTTGTTCCTTGAGGAAAAATCGTGTTGACTAGTGTAATTTGTCTGTGATTTGTGTATATGACTGCTGGTCCAAATGTTCGCTACCAAACAGATTTTTTACAAGTTCAAAAACTTTTGAGCCTACTCACGATAGAAGATATGCTTTTTGTTTCTCGACGGAGGTAACGGAATACGCGGCGAAATGCTGCGAAATTTGTTGTAAATACGTCTCCCAATTTTGTTGATCCTTATTAAAACTTTTGAACGGCGGACAAGCTGTTAATTCTGCTGATCTATTAACACCATTGTTTTGTGCGAGCATGGCTTCCATCCATTGTTGTTGCTGTTGCATTAACTTTTCTGTGAATTGTTGCTGTTGAGCCAACAATGCACTTATGTCTGTGGAATTTCTATCCATTGTTGTTGTTTTATCCTCGTCGCCAAAATGTTGTGTTTCGGTATGGAGAAAACGTTGTGTTCAGGGTGAGAACTAAAATCGAACTGACTTTATTACTCTCTCAAGCGCTCTCTGAGCATACATACATTCGGGTGAGGTAGTGTTAGTGTGTATGTGAATACATTTCAATGGATGGTGAAATAATACTTATGTTGCTCACAATAATATTCAATATTAATATGAAACATATTAAACTACAAATTTAATATATTATATTTATTTTAAAGTGTTTTAAGTGTTTAAGATTAAATATGACCGTATTAAAAAAGCCATTTTAATACAATTATATTTGAATCAAAGTGAATTCTATTTAATTTTACTATGTTTGTATTTAAAAATCGCATTTTAAATTCAAATATGATTGTAGTTATTTTTACTATGCCTTTTTTCTATCAGTGTAGCTTGAGTTGCCTGGCAATTGAGTGTAATTTTCTCACCTTCTTTCAGCCAAGTACAAATTCTTGGATTAGATTCGGATCCACATAGGGAGGCTGAGTCTGCTCTTCTGTCAGCTTCCCGGCTGGAAGCATTACGGAATGCTCCGTTAATTACGATGCGCGAGGTAAATAAAGCTTTGTTGAATTTGTTGTTCTTTTTTCTTAATACAAATTGTTTTCCATTAACTTTAGGAGATCCAACTGAACCAGGATTCATTTTCCCAACTGGATTTTACCGCCGATTCTACCGGGAACGATACAGCGCCTATAAATACATTGGGGAAAGGTCCGCCTGCGCCGCCTGCTCCTCTGTCACCTTCCCGAATGGCATATTTAGTCAATAATCCAAACGTTACGGTGCGCAAGGTAAGTAAAGACGATAATGTAGCAGGTAGCAACGCAGCACAGCTGCGTTATATTTCGTTGCGTGGAGTGGTATCTATGCTTTAGTGCACTGACAGAAGAAGATATAATCAAGTACATGATCGAGGGGCATATCGAGGGCAGTCCGTATCAAGATGCGTTAATTAAGATCAATGAAAATTTGTGCAACTTGCGGGGCCCGCTGATCGAAATGCTTTTTCCACACATGTCCGCCCGACTGCGTAGCCGCAGGAACACTTACAGGGATTGCACGCAGGACATTCGGGTTCGGGTGTTGGCAATTTTAATTGATGTGGCCCCCAAGTTTATACACTTTTTCACTATGCACTATGGGAAATTTGACCCCATTTTCTGGCCAAAACCCATTTTCTGAAAGTCGGAATATTAAAACAAGTTTTAGTGCAACGCATTCACAATACTTCAATCTTTATTGTTGCATAACAGAAATCTTGATAGAGGGCGCCACAACAAAAGAATCAGCTGATAAACACAGCTGTTTCATTTGCAAATCACATGCTTCTGCAATATTAGGGTTTTTTTTGCAAACTTTAAGTGGCCAAAAAACAAAAACTAAACAATATTACTCAAATTTTTGAAATGAATTCCAATCAGTGTGGTTTTTTTTATGTGTCTGTGAACTTCTCATGTAGAAAAAACTCGTGCTGTCCCCTTAATAGAGCCAAAATGTAAGTAGCCTTGTAAATGCATATTTTTGATAAAGTCTCATCTTGCAAAAGGGATTTAAAGTGAGTCCAGCAGAGTCCATCAACAAAATGTATTTTAAGTTGTAGAGTATTAAATTCTTGTTCAAATGAATGTAATTAAAAGTAACACTTTTTACGATTTTGCGAGAAATTTTAATTTTTAGGACATAACCTCAATTTGGCAAAACTCAGATTTGTTTGGCAAGTGGTACGAAGCAAGGGGAAAAGTCGCAAAGCAGGATGCTGTGTTGAATTTGATCAAAGCTGCCATATCAAGAGTGGATTTTGCGCAGCACAGCGATATTGGAGACCAAGCGAGTAAAAAATTTTGCTACCGCTTGACACAAATATGGAAGAGTTCTTATGCTAATGTAAACGCAAATGTAAGTTTTCTTATTCCTGCCGCAAGCTTGGTTGCACAAAAAATAAGCAAGCAGATCTTGCCAGTATTCTGAAGCTGCTTTCGATATGCCCCAAAAAAGCTAAATACATGCGCAAAGCAATTATGGCACCGATCAAAACGCCAGAAGCTGTGTCCCCTGATGAGGCATTAGCTTTTCTTCTGGACCAAAATTTTACAAATAGCAATACTTTGCTATACGAGACCAATAAAAAAAAGCAATGCAATATATATCCGTTATACAACACGGTTGCTGACCAAAAAAAAATGTACCGACCTGATGATTTTTCAGTAATTGATAAAATTCTGAAGTAACGCTTCAAAGTCTTCTAGCTCACACAGAAACTCGGCTCGTTCATTTGAAAGTTGACATCGTCGAGAACATTATGAAAGATCAAGGTACACAGTTTTTATCGGCGGAACTGATTTTAAGCTAGGGCTTTGATGGAAGCTCTGTGCAATCCAATTACAATCGGCTCCAATATATTTTACCTTGTTAAAGGCGTACCACGCCCACTATTTTCCAATAAATATAACCTAATACTGTCACAAAAATGGTTGTTACTTGTTAAAGTAGTACTCTAAAAAAATGACAAAATTTAAATGAGTTTTAAAAATAAAAGGGGCGGTGCCACGCCCACTATTTTTCTATTTCTTATATATGTTGGTTCATTTAACCCGATGCAAAAAACAGAAGCGAAATATCTTGCTCCGTTCTTGAGTTATTAATTTTGGCCAGAAAAAGTGGTCAAATTTCCCATAGTGCTATGGATCGATGGGTCCCGAACAACGTTCGGTGATCGCCCAAGTCAGACGTAGGGTCGGTGTTCACGCCAGGCCTACTCGATCGCATGAAGCAATTAAAAAAGCAGCTTTGTGGAATTTTTTGTTGTGTTTTCTTAATACAAATTGTTGTATATTACCTTTAGAAAATCCCACTGAACGAGGAAGTCACGACTGAGCCTGAGCCTGAACCTGTGGCTGTGGCTAATCTGGACGAAACGACCGACCTCTGTGCGGCCAGGGTAGCCGAGCTTGAGAGGTAAGTAGCTTGAGTTGCCTGGCAATTGAGTGTAATTTTCTCACCTTCTTTCAGCCAAGTACAAATTCTTGGATTAGATTCGGATCCACATAGGGAGGCTGAGTCTGCTCTTCTGTCAGCTTCCCGGCTGGAAGCATTACGGAATGCTCCGTTAATTACGATGCGCGAGGTAAATAAAGCTTTGTTGAATTTGTTGTTCTTTTTTCTTAATACAAATTGTTTTCCATTAACTTTAGGAGATCCAACTGAACCAGGATTCATTTTCCCAACTGGATTTTACCGCCGATTCTACCGGGAACGATACAGCGCCTATAAATACATTGGGGAAAGGTCCGCCTGCGCCGCCTGCTCCTCTGTCACCTTCCCGAATGGCATATTTAGTCAATAATCCAAACGTTACGGTGCGCAAGGTAAGTAAAGACGATAATGTAGCAGGTAGCAACGCAGCACAGCTGCGTTATATTTCGTTGCGTGGAGTGGTATCTATGCTTTAGTGCACTGACAGAAGAAGATATAATCAAGTACATGATCGAGGGGCATATCGAGGGCAGTCCGTATCAAGATGCGTTAATTAAGATCAATGAAAATTTGTGCAACTTGCGGGGCCCGCTGATCGAAATGCTTTTTCCACACATGTCCGCCCGACTGCGTAGCCGCAGGAACACTTACAGGGATTGCACGCAGGACATTCGGGTTCGGGTGTTGGCAATTTTAATTGATGTGGCCCCCAAGTTTATACACTTTTTCACTATGGATCGATGGGTCCCGAACAACGTTCGGTGATCGCCCAAGTCAGACGTAGGGTCGGTGTTCACGCCAGGCCTACTCGATCGCATGAAGCAATTAAAAAAGCAGCTTTGTGGAATTTTTTGTTGTGTTTTCTTAATACAAATTGTTGTATATTACCTTTAGAAAATCCCACTGAACGAGGAAGTCACGACTGAGCCTGAGCCTGAACCTGTGGCTGTGGCTGTGGCTAATCTGGACGAAACGACCGACCTCTGTGCGGCCAGGGTAGCCGAGCTTGAGAGGTAAGTAGCTTGAGTTGCCTGGCAATTGAGTGTAATTTTCTCACCTTCTTTCAGCCAAGTACAAATTCTTGGATTAGATTCGGATCCACATAGGGAGGCTGAGTCTGCTCTTCTGTCAGCTTCCCGGCTGGAAGCATTACGGAATGCTCCGTTAATTACGATGCACGAGGTAAATAAAGCTTTGTTGAATTTGTTGTTCTTTTTTCTTAATACAAATTGTTTTCCATTAACTTTAGGAGATCCAACTGAACCAGGATTCATTTTCCCAACTGGATTTTACCGCCGATTCTACCGGGAACGATACAGCGCCTATAAATACATTGGGGAAAGGTCCGCCTGCGCCGCCTGCTCCTCTGTCACCTTCCCGAATGGCATATTTAGTCAATAATCCAAACGTTACGGTGCGCAAGGTAAGTAAAGACGATAATGTAGCAGGTAGCAACGCAGCACAGCTGCGTTATATTTCGTTGCGTGGAGTGGTATCTATGCTTTAGTGCACTGACAGAAGAAGATATAATCAAGTACATGATCGAGGGGCATATCGAGGGCAGTCCGTATCAAGATGCGTTAATTAAGATCAATGAAAATTTGTGCAACTTGCGGGGCCCGCTGATCGAAATGCTTTTTCCACACATGTCCGCCCGACTGCGTAGCCGCAGGAACACTTACAGGGATTGCACGCAGGACATTCGGGTTCGGGTGTTGGCAATTTTAATTGATGTGGCCCCCAAGTTTATACACTTTTTCACTATGGATCGATGGGTCCAACAACGTTGGACAACGTTGGCAGCACAGCTGCGTTATATTTCGTTGCGTGGAACTTTGTTGAACTTTTTGTTGTTTTTTCTTAATACAAATTGTTGTCGATTAACTTTAAACCTAAGTATTGTGTTTGTATCTTTTCAGAGACCGTAACGCCATTAAAAGATGCCTAATACCCAATAAAACCCCGATCCCCATTCAGAATAACTCGTCAACACTGTCATCAATCAACGCCCTAGCCTAAGCCCATGTAGTGTATGTGTAATCTCCGTATAGGGCAAAGAATTAGTCCACGTCGCTCCTCTCTGCTTATCAATTCAATTGAAAATGTTATTAATAACAATAAGCATGCTATATATTGCAGCACAGCACAGACTTCGACCGTCACACCATTTCTATCATCCTCATCCGATGTACCCGATGCTTCCGGCATAGTGAGCAACTTATCCTTCATAGATTGGGGACATGCGCGCACCTTGACCGGGTATCGCTCGCGGACAGTGGCGTCCTTGTAGAAGACGATGTAATACCTCTGTGCGGCCAGGGTAGCCAAGCTTGAGAGGTAAGTAGCTTGAGTTGCCTGGCAATTGAGTGTAATTTTCTCACCTTCTTTCAGCCAAGTACAAATTATTCGATTAGATTCGGGGAACAATACAGCGAATGCAGGTACACCTCCACATAGGGAGGCTGAGTCTGCTCTTCTGTCAGCTTCCCGGCTGGAAACATTACGGAATGCTCCGTTAATTACGGGGCGCGAGGTAAATAAAGACGATAATGTAGCAGGTAGCAACGCTGCAGAGCTGCGTTATATTTCGTTGCGTGGCCTACTCCAGGCATACTCGATCGCATGAAGCAATTCAAAAGCAGCTTTGTTGAATTTGTTGTTGTTTTTTCTTAATACAAATTGTTTTCCATTAACTTTAGGAGATCCCACTGAACCAGGATTCCCCTTCATTTTCCCATCTCGATTTTACCGCCGACATAGGGAACGATACAGCGAATGCGCCTATAAATCCATTTGGGAAAGCTCCGCCTGCTCCTCTGTCACCTTCCCGACTCGAATATTTAATCAATAATCCAAATGTTACGGTGCGCAAGGTAAATAAAGACGATAATGTAGCAGGTAGCAACGCTGCAGAGCTGCGTTATATTTCGTTGCGTGGCCTACTCCAGGCATACTCGATCGCATGAAGCAATTAAAAAGCAGCTTTGTTGAATATGTTGTTATTTTTTCTTAATACAAATTGTTTTCCATTAACTTTAGGAGATCCAACTGAACCAGGATTCATTTTCCCAACTGGATTTTACCGCCGATTCTACCGGGAACGATACAGCGCCTATAAATACATTGGGGAAAGGTCCGCCTGCGCCGCCTGCTCCTCTGTCACCTTCCCGAATGGCATATTTAGTCAATAATCCAAACGTTACGGTGCGCAAGGTAAGTAAAGACGATAATGTAGCAGGTAGCAACGCAGCACAGCTGCGTTATATTTCGTTGCGTGGAGTGGTATCTATGCTTTAGTGCACTGACAGAAGAAGATATAATCAAGTACATGATCGAGGGGCATATCGAGGGCAGTCCGTATCAAGATGCGTTAATTAAGATCAATGAAAATTTGTGCAACTTGCGGGGCCCGCTGATCGAAATGCTTTTTCCACACATGTCCGCCCGACTGCGTAGCCGCAGGAACACTTACAGGGATTGCACGCAGGACATTCGGGTTCGGGTGTTGGCAATTTTAATTGATGTGGCCCCCAAGTTTATACACTTTTTCACTATGGATCGATGGGTCCCGAACAACGTTCGGTGATCGCCCAAGTCAGACGTAGGGTCGGTGTTCACGCCAGGCCTACTCGATCGCATGAAGCAATTAAAAAAGCAGCTTTGTGGAATTTTTTGTTGTGTTTTCTTAATACAAATTGTTGTATATTACCTTTAGAAAATCCCACTGAACGAGGAAGTCACGACTGAGCCTGAGCCTGAACCTGTGGCTGTGGCTGTGGCTAATCTGGACGAAACGACCGACCTCTGTGCGGCCAGGGTAGCCGAGCTTGAGAGGTAAGTAGCTTGAGTTGCCTGGCAATTGAGTGTAATTTTCTCACCTTCTTTCAGCCAAGTACAAATTCTTGGATTAGATTCGGATCCACATAGGGAGGCTGAGTCTGCTCTTCTGTCAGCTTCCCGGCTGGAAGCATTACGGAATGCTCCGTTAATTACGATGCGCGAGGTAAATAAAGCTTTGTTGAATTTGTTGTTCTTTTTTCTTAATACAAATTGTTTTCCATTAACTTTAGGAGATCCAACTGAACCAGGATTCATTTTCCCAACTGGATTTTACCGCCGATTCTACCGGGAACGATACAGCGCCTATAAATACATTGGGGAAAGGTCCGCCTGCGCCGCCTGCTCCTCTGTCACCTTCCCGAATGGCATATTTAGTCAATAATCCAAACGTTACGGTGCGCAAGGTAAGTAAAGACGATAATGTAGCAGGTAGCAACGCAGCACAGCTGCGTTATATTTCGTTGCGTGGAGTGGTATCTATGCTTTAGTGCACTGACAGAAGAAGATATAATCAAGTACATGATCGAGGGGCATATCGAGGGCAGTCCGTATCAAGATGCGTTAATTAAGATCAATGAAAATTTGTGCAACTTGCGGGGCCCGCTGATCGAAATGCTTTTTCCACACATGTCCGCCCGACTGCGTAGCCGCAGGAACACTTACAGGGATTGCACGCAGGACATTCGGGTTCGGGTGTTGGCAATTTTAATTGATGTGGCCCCCAAGTTTATACACTTTTTCACTATGGATCGATGGGTGGCCCGAACAACGTTCGGTGATCGCCCAAGTCAGACGTAGGGTCGGTGTTCACGCCAGGCCTACTCGATCGCATGAAGCAATTAAAAAAGCAGCTTTGTGGAATTTTTTGTTGTGTTTTCTTAATACAAATTGTTGTATATTACCTTTAGAAAATCCCACTGAACGGGAAGTCACGCTGAGCCTGGCCTGCCTGGGCTGTGGCTGTGGCTAATCTGGACGAAACGCCGCCTCTGGCGGCCAGGGTAGCCGGCTTGAGGGTAGTGCTTGGTTGCCTGGCAATTGGTTAATTTTCTCACCTCTTTCAGCCAAGTACAAATTCTGGTTAGTTCGGATCCACTAGGGGGCTGGTCGCTCTTCTGTCAGCTTCCCGGCTGGAAGCTTACGGTGCTCCGTTAATTACGATGCGCGGGTAAATAAAGCTTTGTTGAATTTGTTGTTCTTTTTCTTAATACAAATTGTTTTCCATTAACTTTAGGAGATCCAACTGAACCAGGATTCATTTTCCCAACTGGATTTTACCGCCGATTCTACCGGGAACGATACAGCGCCTATAAATACATTGGGGAAAGGTCCGCCTGCGCCGCCTGCTCCTCTGTCACCTTCCCGAATGGCATATTTAGTCAATAATCCAAACGTTACGGTGCGCAAAGTAAGTAAAGACGATAATGTAGCAGGTAGCAACACTGCAGAGCTGCGTTATATTTCGTTGCGTGGAGTGGTATCTATGCTTTAGTGCACTGACAGAAGAAGACATAATCAAGTACATGATCGAGGGGCATATCGAGGGCAGTCCGTATCAAGATGCGTTAATTAAGATCAATGAAAATTTGTGCAACTTGCGGGACCCGCTGATCGAAATGCTTTTTCCACACATGTCCGCCCGACTGCGTAGCCGCAGGAACACTTACAGGGATTGCACGCAGGACATTCGGGTTCGGGTGTTGTCAATTTTAATTGATGTGGCCCCCAAGTTTATACACTTCTTCACTATGGATCGATGGGTCCCGAACAACGTTCGGTGATCGCCCAAGTCAGACGTAGGGTCGGTGTTCACGCCAGGCCTACTCGATCGCATGAAGCAATTAAAAAAGCAGCTTTGTTGAATTTTTTGTTGTGTTTTCTTAATACAAATTGTTGTCCATTACCTTTAGAAGATCCCACTGAACCAGGATTCCCCTTCATTTTCCCATCTCGATTTTACCGCCGACATAGGGAACGATACAGCGAATGCGCCTATAAATCCATTTGGGAAAGCTCCGCCTGCTCCTCTGTCACCTTCCCGACTCGAATATTTAATCAATAATCCAAATGTTACGGTGCGCAAGGTAAATAAAGACGATAATGTAGCAGGTAGCAACGCAGCACAGCTGCGTTATATTTCGTTGCGTGGAGTGGTATCTATGCTTTAGTGCACTGAAAGAAGAAGACATAATCAAGTACATGATCGAGGGGCATATCGAGGGCAGTCCGTATAAAGATGCGTTAATTAAGATCAATGAAAATTTGTGCAACTTGCGGGGCCCGCTGATCGAAATGCTTTTTCCACACATGTCCGCCCGACTGCGTAGCCGCAGGAACACTTACAGGGATTGCACGCAGGACATTCGGGTTCGGGTGTTGTCAAATTTAATTGATGTGGCCCCCAAGTTTATACACTTCTTCACTATGGATCGATGGGTCCTGAACAACGTTCGGTGATCGCCCAAGTCAGACGTAGGGTCGGTGTTCACGCCAGGCCTACTCGATCGCATGAAGCAATTAAAAAAGCAGCTTTGTTGAACTTTTTGTTGTTTTTTCTTAATACAAATTGTTGTCCATTAACTTTAAACCTAAGAAATTGTGTTTGTATCTTTTCAGAAACCGCAACGCCATTAAAAGATGCCAAATACAAATAAAATGTTGAATTTATATTTATTTGTTTTGTGTTTTGTATATACATATGTATGTACATTTATCCCACAGCTGCAGTGCAATTCGTTGAGCAGACGATCCCCATTTAGAATAACTCGTCAACACTGTCATCAATCAACGCCCTAGCCTAAACCCATGTAGTGTATGTGTAATCTCCGTATGGGGCAAAGAGTCCACGATGAGGTGGCGGGAATGCGGATGCATGCCCAGGCCAAACTCGTAGATGGGGCTGCGGGGCTCCTGCAGCTCGTCGACCAGGGAAAGCAGAGTATAAAATAAACTGAATCGACTTTTAGGTTATGTTTGAAAAGAATGATCTTGCTATGCTTTTTGCAATGTTGCTCGGTGGACGCCAACGGTTGTTTTGCCCGCTTTGATCTGTTGACGGAGCTTTTAAAGCAGAGGTCGGCAGCGTCGTATGCACTGTGCATAGGAAAAAATTTCGGGCAGCGCAGTCGGCGTAAACACTTCGTTATCTGCCTGAGACGTACAGAAAAGACTTCGCTACGTGGCTCCGCTTCATATTCTGCCCCTGCAGCGGCAAGAATCCCTTTGCCTGCGGCGAGCTTCTGTTTTTTCGCACACAACGCAAAAAATGGTACGTCATCAGGCAGAATAACGAAACCACACGAAGTCTTTACGCTGTACGTGTGCCGACTGCGCTGCCCGAAATTTTTTCCTATGCACAGTGCATACGACGCTGCCGACCTCTGTTTTAAAGCCATTCTCGCTCTTCTAGAAACGCCTGGCAATTGCTGGGAGTGTGTGTGAATCAGAAAGAGAGACAGACGCAGAGAGAGCAAAAAAGCTTGTTTTTTGGCCCCCATATGTGTTTGTGTATGTGTGTGTGTGAGAGAAAATATTTCTTCCCCGTTATTTCGCGTGTGCGAGGGAGAAACAGTTACCGGCAAACAAAATGCAACGCCGCTCACTTGAAATTCTCTTCATTTGTTTTTTATTGTAAGTACATTAAGTGGTTTTTTTCTTTAAGTTTTACTGGAATACTTGTAGTTGTTGTCACATATTTGTTAGGAAATCATACTGCTATCTCGCTCGCGTAGTAATTGAGTCGACATCATCTCCCTCTTTGTTTGCCTTCCTACTTAGCTTCTATCTCTGTCTGGTTATAGCGAAATGCCAAAAGAGAACACAGGAAACATTTACGAATAAAACTCACGCATACATACATATTATTTTTATACCCGTACTCAAAAAAGAGTTAAGGGGTATATTAGATTTGTGGTAAAAGTGGATGTGTGTAACGCAGAGAAGGAAACGTTTCCGACCCCATAAAGTATATATATTCTTGATCAGCATCAATAGCCGAGTCGATATAGCCATGTCTGTCTGTCCGTCTGTCTGTCTTTCTGTCTGTCTCGATGAGCGCCTAGATCTCAGAGACTATAAGAGCTAGGGCAACCAAATTTGGTTTCCAGACTCATGTGATATCCCACTGTTACAAGTGTATTTCAAAATTTCGCCCCGCCCCCACAAAGAACGAAAATCTGTGGCAGGCACATTTTTAAAGATACGATAAAACTAAAAACGCAGTATCGTAGAGAATGTCCATATCTACCAGACTGCTGAATCTGAATCAGATCGGTTCATAATTATAGCCAAGATGACGAAATTAATTTTCAGTTGCTTCCCCTGCCCCCTCCTGTCTCTGCCTCAGCCTGGCCATTACCGTTGCTCTCCGGGGTGGCTGCTGCTGCTGCTGCTGCTCCTGCTGTTGGTGTTGGGGCGGCGACACTCTTCGACTCTGCCTCTGCGTGTGCGTGTGCCTCTGTCGGAACCGGTTTTGGCGTCTGCGCATCCTTCGGCTGCAACTGCGACTGCAAAAGCTGCTGTATGTCGACGATGCGTTCGAGCCGCTCCACACCCGCCTTGTTGGCGGGTGTAGGGGGCGGTGGCGCCTTGACGGTGAGAATGCCGTCCGAAGAGAGCGTCGAGTGGACCTCGGCTGGGTCGAAACTCTTGGGCAGCATATATTTGCGGATGAAGTGGCGCGAGATGACCCCGTGACCGTCCTCCTTCTCGTCATGCTGTCCCTCGACCACGATGCAATTGTCGATGGTGCGCACCGTCAGCTCACGGGTGGAGAACTGCGCTCGATCTTCCTCAAGTAGATCCTGCAGCGTTCGTTGGGGTTGCCGCACTGCTCGAAGTACTGAAGTAATATATATACGAGTAAATAAAGAACTGCCACGAGACTGAGATAAGAATGTGTGACGAAGCACCCATTAGCTGAGCCGAGCCACTAACCATACAGTATATAGATGTGCCAGTTCATACAACGAAAGTTGCGCAGTTGAGTTTGCAGCGTATGTTCCCAGATCTTCGGCTTTGGGAATGGCCGCGTTCGGCTCATGACGTCACACGAGCCGACTGGCAGCAAGCATGCATGTGTTGTGTACGTGTACACTCCAAAATATATGATTGTATGCATAGAATAATTTTTAGCTGCCGAAACCGACTTTGTTCGAGATTTCAGTTTACGTAAACGTGTGTGTGCCATGTATTCACACATACTGTGCTTGTGTGTGGGCTCTACAATTGTTGGCCGCTTGAACTGGTTTTTCGTTTTGTTTTGAGGGCTGATGTGATGTAGCGACCTATTCAGGGCCGGATCAACCCTCAACCGGGCCCTGGGCAACCATCAATCTGGGGCCCTCCTTTATTTTGTATTTTTCTCAGTGGCTATTATATTTTTTATTCATTATTTGGAGTTTTGTTTTTTCAACAAAATTTTTCTGTTAGCCCTAGGAGGTCCTAGGCTACTGCTAATCCGGCCCTGGACCTATTCCCGTCGTAAGACTTCATACTTTCTTGGTGTATTCTGTCGCTCGACTCGACGCGGGTCGGGTTGAGGCATTGACGAAGCCGAAAGCAGAGGCAAAGGCTAGCCTAAAAGAGAACCGCGCGCCCGTCTCAACATCAGCTTTTCAAAACAAAACGAAAAAATATTTTATGAACCGCTTCGTCAATGCCTCAACCCGCGTCGAGTCGAGCGACAGAATACACCAAGAAAGTATTAAGTCTTACGACGGGAATAGGTCCAGGGCCGGATTAGCAGTTGCCTAGGGCCTCCTAGGGATAAAGAAAAATTTTTTTGAAAAAACAAAACTCCAAGTAATGAATAAAAAATATACTAGCCACTGAGAAAAATACAAAATAAAGGAGGGCCCGGTTGAGGGTTGATCCGGCCCTGAATAGGTCGCTACATCACATCAGCCCTCAAGACAAAACGAAAAACCAATTCAAGCGGCCAACAATTGTAGAGCCCACACACAAGCACAGTATGTGTGAATACATGGCACACACACGTTTACGTAAACTGAAATCTCGAACAAAGTCGGTTTCGGCAGCTAAAAATTATTCTATGCATACAATCATATATTTTGGAGTGTACACGTACACAACACACACATGCATGCTTGCTGCCAGTCGGCTCGTGTGAAGTCATGAGCCGAACGCGGCCATTCCCAGAGCCGATCGCGGCCATTCCCAAAGCCGAAGATCTGGGAACGTACGCTGCAAACTCAACTGCGCAACTTTCGTTGTATGAACTGGCACATCTATATACTGTATTTTTACCCTGCAGTACGGGTAAGCAATGTGTAAGCAACCACACATCGATGGCAACGTCATGCAGCTCGATGACATAAGCGATGACCTGCCATACGATGGGCTGTTTACTTTAACACAGGGATGTCCTAGGAGCATAATCGATGACATAGTAAGCGAGAATTAGCCGAAAGTCAGGCCTTAATAAGCGATGAATTTCCCTTGAAAAGTAAGGCCTTAATAAGCGATGAATTTCCCTTGAAAAGTAAGGCCTTAATAAGCGATGAATTTCCCTTAAAAAGTAAGGCCCTAATAAGTGATGTATTTAAGTAAAAAATTTTTATTTTTTTATGAAAAAGGCATGGGTAAATTCTGTTTTAAAATATTAAATTTCTTTTATTTATTGTTTTCTTATAAAAATGTATACATATTCACATTTGTGTGCTGTGTGTTCTTTTTTCCACAGAACCTTTTTAGTTTTTTTGATTTTCTCATGTTCAACTGAATCGCCTTTAAAAAAAGATGGGTTAATTAAAATATTTTTCAATTTGTTAACAATGCTCTCAGTAGATCAGCAGTGCATTTGCGCCAAAAACAAAACACTCGCCAAGATACATATGTACCTGTTCCACTCAAGACTCGCAAGAACCACTCGGGTTGTTTTTTTTTTTGTTTTCGTTGATGAATATGAAAAATTTCGTCCAAAACGCATATAATTTCGCACATTTTCTTCATTTTTTACAACGCACAATAGACTATTTTTAATTAAATGAAACGCTGCACTTACCTGATAATAATTTTGCCCAAAATAAACAAAACCTGCGTCTCACTTTTCACCGCACAATTCTAACAACGTTGTCGACGCCGACGGCAAAACCGAATTCTGTTACGGCACGAGTCGTAACAGAAAGAAACAAAGAAAAAAAAGAGTTTGGTCTGACCGACGCGTCGATCGCGACGTCGACGTCATATTCTACTCGTCTGTAGCAGCGGCAGAGAAATAATCCTGAATGACGCGTAGTTGACATTTGTCATCGCTCACTTCTGGTACTGCAGGGTAGTGATTCGGGGAACAATACAGCGAATGCAGGTACACCTCCACATAGGGAGGCTCAGTCTGCTCCTCTGTCACCTTCCCGACTCGAATATTTAATCAATAATCCAAATGTTACGGTGGGCAAGGTAAATAAAGACGATAATGTAGCAGGTAGCAACGCAGCACAGCTGCGTTATATTTCGTTGCGTGGAGTGGTATCTATGCTTTAGTGCACTGACAGAAGAAGACATAATCAAGTACATGATCGAGGGGCATATCGAGGGCAGTCCGTATCAAGATGCGTTAAATAAGATCAATGAAAATTTGTGCAACTTGCGGGGCCCGCTGATCGAAATGCTTTTTCCACACATGTCCGCCCGACTGCGTAGCCGCAGGAACACTTACAGGGATTGCACGCAGGACATTCGGGTTCGGGTGTTGTCAATTTTAATTGATGTGGCCCCCAAGTTTACACTTCTTCACTATGGATCGATGGGTCCCGAACAACGTTCGGTGATCGCCCAAGTCAGACGTAGGGTCGGTGTTCACGCCAGGCCTACTCGATCGCATGAAGCAATTAAAAAAGCAGCTTTGTGGAATTTTTTGTTGTTTTTTCTTAATACAAATTGTTGTCCATTAACTTTAAACCTAAGAAATTGTGTTTGTATCTTTTCAGAAACCGTAACGCCATTAAAAGATGCCAAATACAAATAAAATGTTGAATTTGTATTTATTTGTTTTGTGTTTTGTATATACATATGGACATTTATCCCACAGCTGCAGTGCAATGCGTTGAGCAGACGATCCCCATTCAGAATAACTCGTCAACACTGCGTTATATTTCGTTGCGTGGAGTGGTATCTATGCTTTAGTGCACTGACACAAGAAGACATAATCAAGTACATGATCGAGGGGCATATCGAGCGCAGTCCGTATCAAGATGCGTAGCCTAAACCCATGTAGTGTATGTGTAATCTCCGTATAGGGCAAAGAATGAGTCCACGTCGCTCCTCTCTGCTTATCAATTCAATTGAAAATGTTATTAATAACAATAAGCATGCTTGTATTGCAGCACGCCCCCCCCCCTCCGATATGGCGGATGGATGAGTAAGCAAGCACCGAGAGGAGCAGCTCAAGGTTCGAGTTTCCAGCTGCTATCTGTCTGGGATGCCATGCCTGGATTGAGTGTGGGGAGAATGCAAATAAGTGCGACACACGATCATGTTGTTTACGATCATTAAAAACATATCAAATAATTTATTCTGCTTATTAATTTGTTTAATAAATACACAATATATAACACACACAATAAACTGTACGAGTAGTAAAAAAAGGCTGCTTGGGGGCTATATCTCATGGAGGGATGCTATTTCTATCCCCCCATTTTGGACTAAACGTATAGCTTTAACATGCTGCTTGGGGGCTGCCTGTGGGACTGCTGTTAAAAATACACAGCACACAGAACAGAACATTGACTTGGAGTTGGTTAAGATTGCTTTCTGGCAAAAGGCACAACATTGTTATTATCATTTGTAGTAGGTCGTTATTATTCTAGGTATTTGCTGCTCCATCTCCGTCTGTCCCCGTTTCCATTAACATTTAAACACATGCACACACAACTCTTTAAATATAGATAAAACATGCGACGAAGTTTGTGCTTGGCACTTCTAAGACTGCTGCTGTACTCCTCCATCTACATATCCACTATGTGCACACTCTTTGCACAAGCATTCTGATTGCTTTGTGTCCCCTTTACGACCATCCTCCTGTAAGCTTGTGGAACATCTCCTCGTTGAGGGTCTGATTGTTCTCCTTGGAGCGCATCGACATGAAGATGTAACCGCCAATGAATTCGTGCACTACCTTGCAGTCGGCCGACTGGCATGAGAAGACCACGCTCTCGTCGTGGAACTGAATCATCATGCACTTGATGCCCCAATTCACGTTCCAAGCCTTCATTGTGTTGTAGCGCCAGGTCTTGATGTGGTCGCCCGAGTTGAGGTCCATGCGCATGATGCGATTGTGGGCCACACCCAGCAGCTCCTCCTTTTTGTGGCCATCAAACTTGATGATGAACAAGGTGACGCCAAAGTCTGGCAGGGATTGCCAGGCTTGTATGTACTTCAGTTTTGAGTCCATCAGCGGCAGCTTCTTCACATTAGCGTGCGCCTCCAGTATTCTATGCACAGCCTTGCTGGTCAGTTTGCGCAGCATCTTCGGCGACAGGTAGTCCATGGGCTCCACGCTGCGCGGATTGATGGTCAGCGGAGCTCCCTGGGCGGGTTTTTGCATCTGCAGCAGGGATCGGATGCTGCTCACTTCGCTGTCGTAGGAGCTGTCGGCCAGGGAACGACCCTTGGCGGCCAGGCGGCAAGCAGCCATCCACTTGGCGTACTGCTCCTCGCTCTCGCAGCGCACCCACACCTCACTGTTGGGCCCGCTCCTGCCCTCGGGTGGCACCTCCAGACGAATGGCGAACTTGCCTTGGGCCAAATGGACATCGGGTGTCACTTCGCAGCCCCGCAGATTGATGCTGATGGTGGGAGCACCGCGGCGCGAATCCTCCTGCGACTTGTAGAGATGCAAGTGCAGATCCCTGTAGGTGAAGAAGAAGCGCTTGTAGCCCTTGAGCGTGAACCTCTGTGGCTTGAGAAATCTCAGGTAGTCGGACAGCTCAGGGATCCTGGTGATGTTGCCCTGATCCTTGCCATTGCTAGGTCCCTCGAGTGTAATTTGCAGCTCATTCAGAGCTGAATCGATGTCATCCCCGCCGCCATTTTCCTGGATCGATGTCTCTATACCCGAATCTATGCCGGACGGATGCAGCTCCGTCTGGTGGTTTACTTGAAACTGGAGGGCGGCAAACATGAGGGTCTCCTCCTCGGTGCAGTCCAGCTCCTCGTTGAGTATGGACCACTTGGCCTGCTCGTACAGTTGATTGATGCGCACCTGGTCGTACTTCGGGTTCAGATCGAAGAACGTAAAGTACTTGAAGCGCAGACAGAGCGTGTCGTACTCCCGCACGCCCTGCTCCATGATGGACAGCGATGAGTCCAGCCAGCCCACATTAAGGCGTGCCTTCTCCACCAGGGTCTTAGGCCGCACCAGCCGGGCCCGCACGTCCGGACTGGGCGATCGGGGAGATACGGCCAGGTTCTCCTGGAAGTCGCCGAAGCTGGAATTCGAATCGTAGCTGGCGTATCCATTGGAGCTGTGCTTCCAGGTCCCCGTGGGCGAGCTAATCGGTGTTCCGGGTGCCGTGGCCGCTCGCCTTGGTGTGGTGGCATAGGGTGTGGCAGGCGCACACAGGAGATTACCGTTGTGCGACCTGTCCAGGCTGCCGTTGCTACCCTTGTAGGCTGCGGCAATGGGTACAAAGGAGTTGGTGTCCGGCGCCGGCTGCAGGTAGGAGACGCCGTTGGCCTCCGGCACGGGGATCTTCTTCTGTGGCAGCTTCGAGAAGTTCTTCTTCAAGTGCTCCTGCTCCACGGGCTTGCAGAGTGACAGCTCCTCCGGGTAGCGTATGTCCAGATCCTTGCACAGGTTCACCACAGCCCCAAAGGTCTTGGCCGAGAAATTGACACGGTAGTCAAGATACCTCAGATCGGGCAGCTGCACCCTCAGTGTCTTGTGCATGGGCGTAAAGTGAAGGAACGAGTCCGACTGCACTCCGGCCTGGTCCAGTGTGGAGCGTGTCCTTGTCAGCCACACGTTCTTGGCGGGCCACCACAGTGCATGATCCGACCAGTCCTTGGGCATTTCCGGGTCAACAAGCTGGAGCATCACGCCGCCAATGTGCTGATCTCCCTTCACCCGCAGCGTCTTCTCCACCTGCAGATCTGTGATGAGGATCCGCAGGTTCCAGGTGTTCTCGCCGACATGAATCATCGTCCGTTTCGGTCCGAATCTATAGCCTATTTCAGATACACAATGATGAGGGGGCGTCGCCGTCCAATACTAGAGTAGCGTAGCGCCGCGAACAGAACGAACAGAGGCTAGAAATGTATAGCAACACAAACAATCACCGTCTAAAAATGCTCCCCAAACGATGACGTAATCCAACTTACGATTCGACGTTTCTCCGCAGCCCAACAAAAATTGTGCGCCGTTTTTGCAATAAATTCGTTTTGGGTCCTGGGAAGGGGAGCGGGGCGCCCTTATCTCGCCAGATGTTTGCTCTGCTATATCCACCACTTGGGCACTTGTTGGCAAGAGGAGCGGTGGAGGAGATATCAGCGGAATAATTGGTAGGGAGACGCTGGCTGCTAGCAGCTAGAAGCGAGTTAATTTAATACACGCCCAAGGTTACGATGATGTTTTGTTTCACAATTCAATAAATAGCTTGTATTTGTCGTCGCTCCGCCAACAACCAATGTTTTTCCCGTTCGCGATACGAATATTAGTGAAGAAATTAAAGTTGATTCGCTTCCGAATATAAATAAAGAAAATTTAAGTAAAATACTAGATGTTGGCCATTTTCAGAGTATAAAAATACTATATATTCATTGCTCAAATTCGCGTTTATTTTCTAATATCGATAGTACGTGTTGTAGTATCGAGCTACAATGTGTCGGCCAGCGGGGCTTGATCAAGGAATAAAACGAAAATGGCTGATGCTAATTTAAGGTGCCCATAGAATACTTAATCGCTTATTAATAATGCTAGTTGGGTGGTTTACAACAAACAATTTCTGCCGAGTAAATTATGTTAAATTGAAACTGTTATGCTATGGTTTAATAATATTATTTAAATTTAAACTGTTATGCTATGCTTTTATTTATTTACATAATAAATTTAGTGGCAGCCTCTTGTTATTCGATTTTTAGTCGAAATGCAACCAATCACGCTACTCCGCTTCCCACTGTATTCGTAAACAGAGACAAAAAAAATGCAGTAAAATCGTTGTGATTATGTGTGTGTGTGTGTGCGTGCGTTGGAGCAAAAAGCTTCATTGCTCCGCTCCGGTTGCATAGCAGGCCCCAAAAGTCCCCAAGTCTAGTGGCGACTGTCGTGGTGAACGCACTGAGGGAGAGCAAAAAACTATCTGTACTTTTATCAACATAGCGGAACATTGTGTAAAGCACGCGCGAGTCTGGTCTTCCGTCTCACTCTGCCCCACACGAACACACGACGAACCGAGAGAAAATACCATACCTGTAAAGCAGGCACACGGTGCATGGAAAATCGGAAAATCTTTTTGCTTAACAAAGTTGGCCCCTTCCCATCCAAGTGTCAATTTAAAATATATAGTCATAGCCAGATCACACAAAATTCTAATTCTTACACTAGCAAACAAGCACCAGCAAGGCAGCAGACAGCAAAACATCTGTGCTCAAAAATCGATCCACACAATACGCGAATTAATTGTGCGGGTTTAACATAATTAAACTTTATTTTCGCTATAATACACATTAGTTTTCGTTATATTTCGGCTTGCACCATAATTATAAACGGAGAAACAGACAAAAATAGCTGCAGCCTCAGCTTTGAAGCTTCACGAGTTGAGTGTTAACGGTGAATTACGTTTGATAGTAAAAACAAAAGCGCAACAACCGCGGTGGCTTAGTCATCCGTGCGAGAGATTCGCTGCTGCTACTGCTGCTGCGAGAGATTCGCCGAGGAGGTATCTCCCATCCCATACGAATTCCATTCGAAGGAACTCCAAAGTCTCTCATAATTACGAAATTGCATCAGTTGGAGAAACGCCTACAACGACACGCCAGTGATTACAACAACCACATACGTCAGAGACAAACAACAACAACGTCAAGGCGATTCGGTAACAATAAAAACACAAACACAACAACTAGATAGATATATATAGATATATATCTCTGTAACCTGTTGTTTGCTTGCCCCTCTAAGTGCCCCCCAGCCGCATCTAAAATTGGTCAATTGTGTGCGGTTTACATATAGAGGAGAGCGTAGACAGTGCAGGCGGCACACCTGTTTGGTGGCGGCTACTGGAACCCTTGGACTGGACTGGGACTGCACGGGTCACTGGGAAGCAACACACAATGACGCGCCTCACGGAGGAAATGGTCATCGCTCGGGCCAAGCAATCGGATCTGGGCCTAATTACCAAACTGAATTGCTGGTAAGCTGCTGCGGATAGATCTCTATTGTTAATCGTGCAGTTGCAGTAGCCAAGCCGTAGGTGAAAGCGTACAGCGTGCGCCCCAGAGCTCGTGCTAGAGCTCTGATCTGTTTGGGTATCTGCCCACTTTTTGGGGGCATGCTCTGGCGGCTTTCACTGGAGTACTGGGGTGCCATTGTCGGTTCGCTGCCTAAATGCCCCTCCGGTTTGACCCAAATCCCGTGGGGCAATCTTCTAACCAGTTTAGAAGTGTCGTCCACTGACGAGAGCGTCACGACTGCCTCCGCTCCGCTTCGTAGTGGAAAAACGCCTGCCACTCAAGAGCTTAGAGTGCCATGAAAATGCCTGGAAAAAGCAGTTGAACTACTTTTCGAGCAGCCTACCTCTTAAGCCCATCTCAGATGCAGTTAAAGATACGGGGCTGGGCTCTGAACTCACTGCACGAATCAATCATTTAGGAGAGAGGCTTTACTGTATAGCATTAACTTCTATCTGTTTTTCGTTTCTTTCAGGGGAAGTGATCTCACCGATGTATCCATCATCAAACGCATGCGTGGTGTCGAAGTGCTGGCGCTTAGGTAAGTCTCATCCCTTCTCATATAAGGATCCTCAACTCACCGTCATTTCCTGAAGCCCTAATAGAGTACGCTTCGGTTCCGCGGACACACATATGTACATACATTCATGTATGTGCTACGTACTGCTGTGATATTTGCTTTCAAGTGATGTCATCGCTTTGGCTACGGCATCATCATTCGAGAAATACTTTGGCACGCTCGTAACTCGCGTATTTAATGAAAAAAAAAAAATACTGGCAGATACGAATAATAAGCTTAAAGTCGAGGGAGCTCCAAAATTGGCAATAGCCAGTCGCTTGCCTCGTACTTTATCCAGCTGCGTGGTTTGGCTTGGCGTGGGTCCCTTGTGGTGAGTGCGTGTCAGAGCCAAGCTCCAGAAGAGATACTTGTAAATGATACTTCTGTACAATCTCAGTACTCTTTCAGCGATACTTGTATTTGTACTTGCATGTATCTTGATGATTACATGCCGCTGCCATAAAAGGCGACAAACAGTTTTGACTGCCAAGGCCACCGAAATCGATTCCACCTCTCCCCAGTCAAAACTTCGCCGTCATCTGCTGGCAATATGCTGACAACTCTCAGATGCATGGCAATACGTATATAATATACAATATATTCATTTCTATTTGTATAAATATGAGAGGTGTATGCAAAAGCTTTGTCCATATTGGGCAGCTCTGCTCTGAAGGCTAGTCATTGAACTTGAGGAATCGCAAGATCAGGAAAAGAATCTTCAGAATACAAACAACATCTTATTGAAGACTTATAAGTAGTATCTTTTGTGGCTTAAACTATGAATCAAACTTGTGCCCCTTTCAGAACTTTTAAAAATACACCAATCGATTGGCATTCAAAATTTTTAAAATACAAATTTAAATTTGTTGGAAATTTTTCCAAAATTAGCCAAAAATGTAGTCTCAAATTATTCCTAAATATGGAATCTAGAAATAATCTGATAGTCGTGCAAATTAAGACAATGTTTGGTTGATTGGTTAAGTTTTGATTTAGTTGGGTCCAGGGAAAACTCTATAAAAAGGGTTTCAAGACCTCTACTCTTAGTAGATTTCTTGTGTAGGCTTCTTAGGAGAATTCTTATATAGCATTCCAAGAAGAACTTCATTCTTAGAAGATTTCTTTAGTGAATTAAGAAGCTTTTCCCTGAAAACATTTGCACCCTACCTCAAAAACTCCTCAAGCAGTCTTCAGACCCATAAGTCATGTCCCATTATCAGGAAAGCTATTGCCGCAATCAAGGCTCTTCAACTTTGCTATATCACTGGGCATTATCAGCTACTCGTAATGGATAGTATGTACATTGTAAATTGTTTATTGGGGGCAACAACTTCTAGATCTCCTTAGACTGCCTTTTTGTTTAGCATTTAACAAGGAAAACCTTTTTGTTCTCAGTCTTTGGTCAGTAAGAAACAACTGGATTTACTTTTTTTAGGTTTATATCTGTTAGCCATTTATAAACGGAGGGGGGTAGGGTGGGTGGGGATGGGGCCCGGCGGAGAACGTGCCGTTGTTGTGCTAGGTCTTGCCTTGGAGTCGAGTGGGTAGGTGGACTCGACGCAATACTCTTGTGAGCCCCCATTAATCAGTTCAGGTGAAACGCGTTGGCGTAGGCCACATTCTCTCCGTCATTTCCTGTTGGTTATGAGGAATCCATATTGATTTGAATTGCGTGCCATGTCCTGGGGGCTCTCAAGTGCCATGACTCTTGCGGGCAACCTTGACGTTAATGGGGGACTCGGATTATGCATAATACTATTTCCCTTATTGGTTTCACTCCCGAGTGGCGTGGCCTGCTTTAGTTCCCAGCCCTAGAAATAATCAAACGATAGGTGTGTGCGCTTCCAGAGCCACGCGGAGACAACTCGAGGCGGTGGCTCTGCTGCTCTCCTCGAGGCAATGCACCCGTGTGCCATTTAATGACGAGTCTTGGCTAAGTTTAGCCACTTATTTATACATTTCCTCCGTCGGCCCCCATATCTTATATTTTACCGATAAGAGCGGGTGGGGAAGGGGTGTGGGGTTGTGTCAGAGTCACGCAAAGGGAAGAAACAATCTACGCACTCTGCCTTCACCTCAGGCAATTGGCCATTTGAAAGTAATTAGTATCGATGGATCGATGGAGGTGCTAACCAGGGTACGAAACTGACCTACAGATACCAGATGATGACAGAGTGTCTCCTCTGGTGCCCAGCTGGTGGTCGCTTGTGTGGCATTCTTCTTCGGTTTTGAAAAGAGTTAATGACCCCGCCGCCACGCAGATGCCACCGAAAGAATCTCTTTTCTCATGATTCACGGCAGTTAGTTGGAGGCTAAGGGCGATGCGCCTTTTGTCGCTTAATAACAGAGAAAGTTTGTTGAACCACAGAATACATCTTCGACTCGTACATCGTCTGGTGAGACATTCTACTGAAACTCTTTCTCTCTGTTTTGTGTTCTTTTGCAGCGTGAATAAAATCAGCACCTTGGCGCCCTTTGAAGACTGCTCGAAGCTGCAGGAATTATATCTGCGCAAGAATCACATTCAGGATATCAATGAGATTGCCTACCTGCAGAATCTGCCAGCACTGAAGAACCTCTGGCTGGAGGAGAATCCCTGCTGTGAACAGTCTGGGGCCAAGTGAGTAACTGCGGTCAGAGTGGAAGAGTGGAAGCCCCTAATAAGTAGTCATCTCACACTTTTCCACACCGCATTTTACAGCTATCGAGCGATCGTATTGCGCGCTCTGCCCAATCTGAAGAAACTCGATAATGTGGAAGTCACACAGGAGGAGGTGGACGATGCCTTGCGACGCGGCGGCAGTTCGGTGCCCGAGGATGAGGTGTACGAAGATGCGTATGAGGCTAGACAGCAGCAGCTCACATCGACGCAGCATAGCTACCCCACCCACTCGCCGCCACCGCAGCTGCAGCAGCAGCAACAACCTCAACATCAGCAGCCACAGCAGCAGCGCCAGAGTACGAGTCCCATTATGCGAGAGGTAAATCGCTGCCATTGTCGAGACTTCCTCCCACGTTTCACACATGCCTTGGCTTTAATCTTAAATGTTAACTCTTAACACAATTCTCTTGCCACGTCTTTGTATCTCCACTCCTGCTAATCCCCCGTTCCCATTAACAAGCCGCTTTTGTTAGCCAGCCCGCCGGGCAACCACAGCATCGAAGGGACCATCTCACACAGTGTCAGCGATCTTGGTGGCAGCCAGGTGCTGCCAGTGCATGGCTCCAAGCCCCCAACACCCACCAAGGTAACACCTAGAGCTGGTGAATCCTGTGAGAGAGATGTACAGCAGCAGGCAGTGGATGTCCATTAAGTTAGGAGTGTTCGTCTGTCTGTTATAAATATGAATCCTGAAATGAATAGCTAACAAATAGAAAATAATCTTTAAGATCTCGCCCCTTCCGTATCCCGTAAACTAAACACTAATCTGTCTTGGTTTTCCCAGGAACCCGTGCATCCGCCATCGCCCATGTATAACACGTTAACCAAAGAGCAGCGCACTTCCTATCAGCAATACGATGTAAGATCCACTTCCTAACCAGTCATCGCTATCACCATCGCCCCAGGCACATCCATCATGACAATATGCTGAGCTGAGCTCCTCGTTGCCGAACCCACCTTTTTCGGGGTAGGGTAGGGTAGGGTAGGGTATAGGGTAGGGTTGGGCGTGGATAGGGAGCACGTCACACTTGGTTGAAGTAGGAGGAGTAGGGGGAGGGTAACGTGACCCCTTGAAAGAGTCACGCGATGGCTGCGACATGGTTAAGGTTCGCTTTTTCCCGTCGTTTGGCTATTGGACCCATTGTCTGCTTACTTTTGTGGGTTAAGTCACTCTGTTGACTTTGGGAGCAACTGTGAGAGAACTAGAGTGGGGAGGGGAGAAAACGAGAGAGAGAAAGACAAACTAAACAATAATTGCCAAAGAAGCCCAAATCGACAGCGAACAAAAGCCGAAACTGAAACGGAAGGAGGAAAATGGGTCTATGGCCCTATGCAGAGAACAGAGTCAGGGCTCCTCCAGCTAATGAGCCATTGAAACAGCCTTTGATTTTGCCCCAAAAAACAACAGTCCAACTTGCACAACATTTCGTCATGTGGATGGAAGCCCGTGGGGGTGGGGTTGGGGAACACCAATGTGATTTTAACGTCTCTAATGTGCACAATTTTTCACACATAAAAAAACCATGCACCACCTCAACTACATATTTGGCCCCCACCCCGACTAAAAAATCAAACTGCACCACTAACCAACACCCGATGACGAGCAGCGCTCGCCGGGCTCTGACCAGGAGAGCAGCCCAAATGCTGGCTACCGAGAGGTGCGACAAGCGCCCATCCCGCCCAGCATATCCGCACATTCCATGAAGGTAAGGGACTTGCTGCCACACGGTGACCCCCCACACTCCGACGATGATGAATCGATGTTCGTTATGCAAATCCCCTTTTAATTTTGGTATTCCCCCGAACAGGAATACTATCAGTCGGATCGACCGGCATATCCGGCACACTATCGCCATAGCCAGACAGACCTCACCGAATGGGAGGAGCATCAGCAACACCAAGTGCCGCAGGTGCACCACAATCCGTATGGCAGTCAGATGCTGAACCACCCACAGCGTCGCAGCGTCGGACCCGAGAGCGCGGAGCGTTTCGCTGGCTATCGGAATGGAAGTGCGCGGGAGAATGGCGGCGATTGGGAGCCAGAGGAGAGGCCACGATCAAGGTTAGCTCGAGGATTGCAGAGGAGTCGTACGTGGATATTAAATATTTGATTCCCTTTCAGCAGACGCCCCGAGGGTCGCTACAGCGATTCCACCAACAACGTGTCAGCCTCTGTGGCGAATCATTACTCGGGTTATCATCGGCGACCCATTAACCGGGTGAGTGCATATGACACAACATCGATAAGAATTCGATATATGTAAAACCGAATCATTTCCCTTTTTCGTCAGAGCTCCAATCTACTGTCTGCCACGCTCTGCCTGGTCAAAGAGCTTGACTACGCCAGCCTGGAGGTGCTCGAACATGCCGTGCGCTGTCGCATCGATGAGATGGCGACTGAATGATGAAGACGTCTCTCTAATCGCATGTCGATTAGCTAATCCCAGTCGCGTAACCTGGCACGCGCACGGGAATCAACAAGACACAAAAGGCCAGAAAGAAAACAAAAGACACTCCTTGAGCAGGAGAAAAAGCTGGGAGCAGAAGCTGCAGCTGATGACAGAAGGAGCGCAGCCTCTCGAAATCTATTTAACTAACGTCAAAAGCTACAAAATCCAACAAATACTTAACGATTCATACTTGCCAATGTAAATTACGATATATGTGTACTAGGTTAACAAGTTTTCTAAGAATATTGCTAAGGAAAAACCAGTACCACACTAGGAGACAGTAGATTGAGGAGAAGGGATTTATATCTGAAATAGGAAGCTAAGTTTCGTTGCGATGATTTCCGCCTGTCGTTTCCATCTCAATTTAGTTTGTTAACCACCTACTAGCGATGGGCACTGACCACCACCACTGACTAGCCTTCTTTTGTACTTAATATGCGAGGATTGTACTAATTAACTAACGCCCAAGGCGCAAGCACAATGCATCTTCCTCGTTTTAATTTTGAATTAGTTTAAATGTATGTGGCGCTATATACTCATAAATTTGTTAAATATTTGTACACGACCGACCACTAAAACTAACGTGACTTTTAAATTAATTTAATTATAGTGAAAAATACACGTCCAGTTTATGTTTGCCTCTTGCCTGTCCCACAGATTATGTTTGAATATAATAATATCATTCATGCGCAATAAATAAGCAAATTAACAGAAGGCGGAGTGATTTGAATTTTGAATATACTGCTTAAAGCAGTTAAAAGTTCTTACTAACTTTCATAAGCTGCTTGAAAAGCTTGACGACAAAGCAGTGAATCGAACCGGTAAACGATAGCAGTGGTTGAGCTTTTGAAGCAGTGCATTTGAATTTTATTCCGCCAAATATGGACGTTTGGGAGTTGCCTAATTCTGACTGTAATACGCCTCTGCACCTTTCTAATATATATATACATATGTATCCCTATACTCTTTAATTGGGAGGCATACAAAACAGTAGTGCTTCGCTGCATCTACTTCTAGGGTGCCTTTTGAGGCACGTTTTCTCACACCCCCCCCCCCCCCTCCCACCCCTTTCCTTTCACTCCCAAGTGAAAGACTTTTGGTTTTGTTCGTTTTTGTTTTTTTTTGTGTTTAGAGGGGCTTTACAACATTTAACAGATAATAGATATATTTGCCTTTACTTTGAATGCGTGTACATATTATTTTTTTAGTGTGAGTTTTTCGGTTACTTGTGTGGAATTGTCTTTAAATTTCTGATTTTCTTCGGGGCTATTACACTCGCGGCATACATACTATGCATATGGCATATCAAGCTGTTCAACTATGGTTCTTCCTATCTGCTACACTATATAATCGATCGTAGCCACCCAGCGAGGGTGGCATCGATCGATGCCTTGCCTCTTGCCTTGCCACAACAAACGAAAACAAACTGCGAAACGGTTCGGTTCGGTTTGCTATTGCAATTGTAATTGCAATTGATGATGATGTTTTTTTTTATAGATAAATTGGTTGCTGATTATTAATTAATTAATCTGGTTTATTATAATTGTTTTGTGTGTTGATATTAATTTCCTTAGTCGCAGTATTCATGGCAGAAACGCAACGCCTAACACATATACATATACATAAATGCAAGTGCATTGGAGTACGATAAGTAGACGATTAGTAGTTATCGTAATTAGTGATTGATTAACGTGCTACACATCGATTTACATACTGAAGCCGCAATAGGTTATCAATGAATGTGCTCTGAATAATGTTTCGTTAAACTCCTCTGTCCTGCGATATTCTTCTTCTTCTAATAATTTTCGGTGCAATATATTTTATATATATTATATATAGTATTGGTGCGCGATTAAGTAATTATTGATATTTAGACACTGAATACCCAAATCTCCATCTTCATATTATCGTTTCTTTTTTTCTTTGTATTATTTCTAGTAATTATTGTCAGTCACAGCGTCGCGTTTGACACAACAACGTGTGCTAGCCATTGACTAGGTTTTTCCAAATAAAGATTTAATATATTATTTTAAGGGTCTTATTGAACTAATTGCGAAGGGGGGCAAGATGTTGTCTGCCCCCTCTTAAAATTTACGCATGTCTTCCATAATGTTTTTGTTTGCTGTTGTTGTTGCTTGCTGAAATTGTCTTCTATTTCATACAATGCGAAAAAATGTCTTCCAAACACACAGATAATGTTAGCATATATGTTTTATATATATATATATATTTATGTATTTATATATATATATATATATATATATATATAATGATACCTATAATAATTTTAAATGTATACGCGGGCTTGTCAGGATTTCCTTTTTTTTTGTACCGCTTTTGAGTTTGTGATTTGCAATCGCAACTCATTTTTGTGTATTTAGATATATAGACCAATATCGTATTTACTCGTATGTATGTATATTCATATTTATATCTGTAACCAACACTAAACTCTTGGTTAACGTTAATGTGACATACATAACTGATGCCCGATAATTTGTAAGCCAAAAACTGAACACAAAAACTCTTCGGATACCAACTTCTTCAGATAGCCTCTCCTGCCTCTGCTTCGTAAATTGATATGCTGATTCCGTAAAAAAAACAAAAACAAAAAAACAAAAGTCCGAAGTGAGTTACGTTAAGTGTAAGTAATTGATTTACCACGATATGTTGTGTTTGTTGATATTAATTGGTTGTGTCTCCCTATTCCAATCACCTAATACTTTTTTATGGGGTTGTGTCCCCCCACGCCGGAACGCATGATCCTATGGGATGGATGGATCCCCAGCGCAGGGGACACTGGAAGCCCTTTGTGATTCTGCTGTTGGATTACTCCGTCTTACTTCTTATATATGTAGCTTTTCTTTTATAGTTACGTTTAGCTTTTGTTAATTGAAATTAATTACAAATTAATTGATTCGCATAGGGAATTTGTTTGAATTTTCGCTCTTCCTCCGTCATTTTGCGCGTGATTCTTTCATATGTGTAGAGTGCTCATATATATTTTACTTTTTCTTTGATTTACCTTTTTTTTCTCTAGTTTTTTTTGTTTTCTGTTTTTTCTTTACAGTATTTTCAACTAAACTCTCGCAACAAGATATGGAGCATAGAATATATGTATATAATAGCATAAAGACAACACTAGCACTAACTCAAGTCCAAAACGAAGAACAACAAAATGTTATATAATAACTTTCGAATTATATATATATAAATTAATATAGATTTGTGATCCAGCACCTTCCATCGCACCTGTGATTATGATTTCAGTTTCAGGTGGAGAACGGCGATAGATCACAGTTGCACAAAGACCCGCCATCGCCAGTCTTGCAGAGCGCCTTGCACAATTCGTTCCAGTCGGGTGTCGCGGTAGTCGCAACATCCGAGGCGGCTGCAATTGCAGCTACAGCTGCTGCTGCCTCCAAGGATTCCCCAGTTCTGGGACCATGTGTGGCATTGCCCTGCATTGCACTGGCCATCGTCTTCTCCTCCTGCACCACCTGGCATGGACTGCAGCCGGACAGCGAGCGATGCCTTTTCTGGCAGTAGCTCGTACAGAGTCTATCGCCCACAATATCTGAAAGAATCAAACAGAAAATATGGAAAATGGAAGAACGTTAGTTGGGGCTTAACATGGGTAACTAGGAACACTAGGGCGAATCTATTCTATGTGAACACTAACCCCTTGGCAGTCCACACAGTCGCCCGCACTTGGCCACATCAATTTCCGGTCTCAGGATCGTAGAATGGGCCTCGCCAGGCGTCGTAACGGCCAGGCCGGCTCTGTAATAGAGAATGGGAATATTTGCATAGCTGTTTTCATAGTTAAACTCTTAGAAGTTGACAGATTATTTTATTGGAATCAAAATATATCCAAGAAAAATGTTAAGGTATTTTTTTTGCTTTTGTATAGCTTTTAATCCTAATCAGCATATTTTTACCACCGTGCTCTTGTGCCTTTTAAGTCCACATGCTAAAAATTCAGCTCTCGAACTATTTCACTTTTTCAGATACTTGCTTCGAACTGTTCATTTAGTCTTACCCCAAAAAACCAGGGCAATTAATCACTCAAAGAACACAAGAACTCATAACTATTCCTTTTGATTCACCGATTCAGATATATGTAGGTACACCCGATCAGGTGTTGAACACATCGTTGGCTTGACAGTCGCGATTACGATAGGCACTCAAGAGACCGACCTGCCGCCGCATTCCATAGTTGAGTATTCACTTTCCAGTTTTTATTTATTTAATTGTTAAATTATCATCATGAGGCCACACAAAAATCACTTAAAGGAGGAAGTTTTTTTTTCAATAGAGGTTTATCTACCCTCTAGCACATCTTAATTTCCTTTGCAGAATCCTTTGCATCCAAGGACACTTCGGATTTCTAACTGTGTATCTTCCGAGACTTACCCGCAGAGCTCTTTGCACACCAAACTCCAATCCTGAACTACGCTGCTGGCTTGTGCGTCTTCAAGGATTTGGGCTGCTGCTGCAGCAGCATCCCGTGCCGTTGGTGCCGCTGCTGCTGCTGTTCTTTCTAATGACGTCACAGAGCTTTGCGTCTGCGCAGAGCAGAGCAGTAGTCCAATAGCCAATGGCAGGACCACTCCAAGTCCATATCGCTTTCCCTGTCGTTTTCCTGGTGGCCACATGGTCGAAGGGCTAAAGAAAGAGACGGAAGGTTGGGTATTGGTGGGGTTGCATGGCGAAAGGAGGAGCTGTGGTTGGGTCGTGAAAGGGGGGGCCGAGAGTCATGGCTGGCATGTGTAATGGCAACTGTTGGCTGGCACAGGAGGATCCAGAGGAGCAGGCAGGGCCCCGCCGCACAATAGGAGCAATTGTGCTCGAAATGCAATTATCGCGCGGCCCGAATGTAGGCAGCAAAAATAATCCTCCGCATGACCTCCTTCTACGTCCTGTGCATCCTGTGTGCATTGTGTTTCCGATTTCATGCGCTTGATTTTCCAAACCCAAAGGCTTATGCAAGCGGCCATCGATTGGCGATGTACCAGGAAGGAGATTTCATCCATAGGGATTCATCCTATATTTCTGATCTTTGCTCCGCAATAAGCAGGAGCACCCATACTCTTTGCTGCAGCAATAAACAGCGGGCTCGACTTTATTTTGTCAGCCTAATGACAGTCTTAACTGGATTGCCCAACTTCTGTTAAATTGACGGGACGACTCCGGCAGCTGTTGCCAAATGAAACTTTTTTCCGCCTGTTCCGTCAGTTGAGAGTTGAGAGCGAAAGAGAACGTGTCGGACCGCCCTATACAATCTTCTTGGGACTTGTTTCGCTGCCAAATTGCCACCCATCATTGCGCACCCCAGTTGGGTGAGAAAAAACTCCAAAGATTTTCGCCTATCTGGGTTACAGGGCCTATCTGCGCTACGTGCAATCACAGCCAGGTAAATATATTTCCTACACTGCCATCTGCCATCAGAGAGATTTCTTCTGCGTATTGAGGCTTCTACTTACTTTGATCCGTAAATGCACTTGTTTCTGCTAAAGATTTAGTTTTTATATTAATAAAGTTGTCCGTTCCGAATGCCAGCAGTTGTTAAACTGAAACCTGCAGTGGAAATGGTTGCTAATAATAATTACAATATACCTTTTTTTGATGGCTTTGTCGGCTGCCGCGATAGAGTCAAGTGCGAATACTGCTTCGGATATGATGGTTCTCGTATCGCATATTTCCATTGCCATATGTCCTCCCTCGCCATAATTGTTCTTGTCTTTGTATATAGTTTCGAGCCATCGGATCGCTGATAAGAGATAATTATTATTGGTGGGCTTTTGCCTTTGAAGTGGGGGTTTTTACTGCGATAACCCCATACCAGTGGTGGTGTGTTTGCCCTGCAATCGAGAATATTTGAGTGACACAAGTGATGGATGGGGACTGTGGAATGGTTAAGCTGGGCAGTCAATGAGTCAAAAAGATTATGCAGCTTGGCTTCCACAGCTATTTCGTACTTCAAGAAGATATTTCTAAAGCAATTTTGGCTAATATATATGCAGTTGTCTCGCACTCTGCCCGAAGCAGAACCAAGCAGTCAGGTTAGTCACTCCAAAGCTAATGTAAATTTAAATCCCATCGCAAGCTAATTGAATCTTTCGCATGCTGGATCAGACCTGCTTAAAAGTTCTTAGCTTCTCTTATCTACCTTGAGCCGCCTACTGAAGATGCTGCTGCTGCAGCTGTCTTGCACATATTTACATAAATATTCGTACATATTTTACGTAGTAAAGCTCCCATTGCGTGCAAGAATGATCGTGTCTTAATTCTGGATAAAGTTGATACATATGTATATGTATGTTTTTAATATATGTGCATATGTCTGTGAATATCTACTGCAGCGATACTTATAGTAAAAACTGCTTTAAATCACAAAAGATAATAATCCGAGAATAGAAACACCTATACACCATTTGTACAAATAGTAAATAGTATATAGTAGTATAGTATAGTATTCAATTTTTAAACCGATTCTAACCAAGAATCTTTAGCATCTTATGGCCCCATAATGGTAAAAATAACAGAAACCTCATTGGGTTTAAGTTTTGGCCATGGGCTGAAGTGAAACGAAATGAAGCGAAACAAAGTTACTTAAAAAGTTACTTATCGAGTGGCATCGCCTCCGCCTCCGCACTGAGGAGGATGACGCACGAGGTCCTCCCAGAAGCCTTTGCAAAATCACTTCCAGCAGCAGCAACAGTAGGAGCAGCAGCCGCAGCTGCTTGCTGTCAGATAAGAGTGGGAGGTACGAGGAACACTGGAGGGAGGATGATGCTGATGCCCCCCACACTCTGAGGGAAAATATTTTCACATTTCTCGTTGTTTTTTCGCTTTACCAGGCAGCTTGATGGACGTCATTTGGCATTTCACTAGGCCCCCCACCCTCATCGCCTACTCCAGCCATTTGCTACCACCCACCTCGTACCTCCTAAAACCCCCCCATTACATAAGTGTCCTCCTATGGTCATGTGAAAAAGTGTGTTTGTGTGTGTGTGTAAGACCCTCGAAAGTATGCTATGAAATTCGCTCAGCTGAAAATAATGCAATTTCTCAACAAGATAAAGATATTTTCCTGTGGAAAGGGAACAACAGCTTTGACCCAAATTTAAACTTGTTATATATACTCACACGATTATATAGTATATATATATGCTGTATACTGTATATAGACAGCAGATGTGTTACATCCGAGGGGCCAAAATACAGGAACAGAAATTACGGAGACATACATATGTATGTAGATTGCCATTCCCTTGTGATGGCTCCTCGGGAGGAAAAACTCTCATAAAAAGTTGTATGTTGGTGGAGAGACGGAAGGGCCATTGTAAATGTCAGAAACAGTGGCAGAAATTAGTTTGTTAATTAGCTTTTCATTCTGCCACGTCACAGCAGGCGGAGGCTGAGGCGGAGCAAGGGACAGAGCTCTGCAGAGGGAAGAGGCGCCTACCTCCTTCTCCGCAGGCCTGCGCACATAATTTGGCTTTTCCTTTTCCGTGTGTGTATCTGTTGCCCGCCCACTGCCTGTAGCTCCGCCCACGCCATGAGCTCAACAACAAAGATGGTTGCCCCAAAAAAAAATCAATGACGTCACGAGTGGCATACCCATACAAAGAAAGCCTTCAGAGAGAGAGAAAGAGAGAGAAAGTGCGCTCCATCCTCTCCATGTTGGTGAAGGTTATGCAAGAGCTCTATAACTGTAGCTGTGAGTATGTGTGTGGGCAGCCATTTTGTTGAACGAAAAGAAAAGCTTCGTAGGCGCCACAGACGGTTGTTAATGCTCATAGCTCCGCAGATCGTCAGCGAGTGTAGGCTGCTGCCCCTCAGTAACCAAGCCGAACAAATTATAAATTTCTATCAGATATCAGATTTTATTCAGAGTTCTAAATACTAACGGCAAATCCCCCATATTCAGTCGAGTGATTGCTCCGTCCCGCGCGTCTGTGTCTATTTGCCTTGAATCAAAAGTGAACGAATTTCTCGTGTGTGTCGTATTGAAAAAGGACTTGTGTAAGTTGTGTAGTTTGTTTCTTAGTTGCCACGTAGATACCAGCATCAAAAAAAACAATTCGCATTCCACGCAGCTCCATCTCAGAGATACGATAGCTATCCGATACTAATCGTACCAGACTCGATTCCAGACTCCACCTCATTTCTCGCACATTTTATTCGTTCTTCACATCGTTTGGGGCAACGCCACAGTAGCCAAAGTGAATTATCTAAAGCAATACATCGACGATATCCGCAGGATAATTGGTAAGATTCCTTCAGATTTATGTACGAAATCTTTCCTATTTGCCTAATTTTGGCATAGATTCAAACACTGATTTTGGCTTGCTTTTGGGCGCTCTGATTTTGGGGTTACATAAGTGTCCAAGGGACATTCTAGGTTTTCGCCATTAACTGCAGCTGTCGCGCTGTCTGTATACCTATGTAAATTTTCCATATACCTACATATTTGTCTGTATATATATATATAGAGGAGGAAATTAGCTTAACGCTCACTGCGCAACAGCAGAAGGCGTTCCAATGGAAAGAGTGGGAGTCCCTCCCCCTCCTTCTGGTGGGTGGGTGGTATATAAAATCAGTGTGTATACCTCCCACACTCCAGCATTGCCCTTCAGTTGTCCTTGTCTCTATGTGACCACCATCCTACCTATCATACTACCAAACATTTCTATATTTATTTACTAGCTCGTTGCACATTTTCACACTCAAACAATTTTAGTCGGTTGTTTGTTTGTTTGTTTCTTTTCGATTATGCAATTTCTAGCTAGAAGATCGAAGGGGTAGCAGTAGTCAGCAGACTTATGTAATACCTGGGCGTCTTTCCTTTTGGGTCTCCGATTGCATAACATTGACTAAGTATTCTTCAGTTCATTTGTCCAAACATCATTTGTCGCCTACTCAGGGAGGGTCTTTCATCTGGCGTGGTACTCATCCTCTCTTTATTAATGGATCGTTTTCTGCTTCTTTATACCATTGCAGAGGAGAAAATGTCGCTCAATCCGAACGGGTATAAACTGTCCGAAAGGACGGGCAAACTGACGGCATATGGTGAGTAAATATATTAATTTAAGAAGTTAAGGGATTAAGACTAAGATTAAGATATCTTAAATAAGAGAGTTGTATATTGGAATAGAAAATGGAGTATTAATCACATGGATATTCTTAAAAAAAATTCCTAGTATTCTCCAAAATATATACGCCTCTTTTGGCTATGTTTCTTATATATTCTGACTATACGTATATGAGGAATACTTATTATTATTATTAGTATTACAAGACGATATAAAAATGAGACATATACTAAACCAGTGCTTGCAATATATGAAAAATTAATTGGATAACTTACATGGGAAAAAAGTTATAGCACTCACAGCAAACCCCTATCCGATTAATACATATCCATCCCTAACATTTTCCTATATATTTGATAGATCTGAATACTGCCATATGACATAATATCTTGATGTACTCTGTAGTCTAGTTAGAACTACATATCATAAGATATTAGTAAATACGTTTATGCCAGCAGAAATATTCTAACAACAAGAAAGGAATTTCATTTATATTTTTTGATATTTATTTTTTCATGGTCTGACTAATTTGGAGACGTTTTCTACATGTTCATATGACAGCATTTATTTTAAGCAGTTTCCAATACCAGTAACTATTTAGCTTCCTAAGCTATCCAAAATCGACTTCCAAATAGTTTACAAATGGCTATAACTCTTCACACAACATATCTCCCCCAAGTTATGCCCATGAACCGCACTGTCTGACTGTCTGTCTGTCTGTCTGTCTTTGCCATTTACTAGTAACAATTCTGGCAAACATTGGGATTCCTGCTGCTCCTTCCCCTCAATGGCATAGCTGCACACAAATTGCTTTTGGGCCGAGCAAATAATAAATGAGTGTTAAACCGACACTACGACTGCGAAACAAACAAAACAGAACGTCTGCCAAGGACATGGACAAGGAGCTGGCTGTCCAGAACACTCGTGTCCTTGATAAATGGCCCATGCACACACACTGTCCTACACACTACAGTGGTTCGCTGTTCAGCTGTTTTTGTTGCTCCTGTTTTTTGGCTCTGTTCCTGCTTCTGGTTTCATGTGTGCATTTGGCTTTGGTGGAGCGTGAAAGCGGGGCGACTGTTGCCCTGTAACAGATTTTCGACCGACAAACAGACAGACAGACAGACGTGCGGCAGAAGTCAAAGGAGAAGCCACCACCCAGACCCAGGCCCAGGCACAGGCAGGCCAGACGCGTGCACCAAATTGAAAGCCCAACAAACATAAACCGTTTAGTCACAGGATATTGCGCACGCCTGAGAAGGACACACTGAAATCCTGGTCGTGTGTGAAGCATCTGTGCTTAATGCTTGCTCCTGCTGCAGGATCAGGCAGAGTGAGAAAGAGAGATGGAGATGGATTGTCCGAAGGGTGGGCGGCTGCCTTTGACAGTCTGCCTGCCCATCGAGGCAGGGAGCGGAGGCAGTCAAGCAAATTAAATTTTATTTAACTTTTTGCCGTAAACTCGAGGAATGTTCAAAATTGCTACAATTTGTCGTGCAACGACTGCTCCTGCTCCACGCTCCAGCCTGCTGCTCCCTCCTCCATTCCCCTGCCTGCTACATTTGGTAATCATCCGCAACGTTAAGTTTTCCAATTGATTCCCGGGGAGCTACTGTTCCCATTTGCCTGGTGGCTTAGTGGCCAGGACCTTAAGTCCCCGCGCAAAGCCCAAGAAATTAATTGCAGCCACTGCTGCAGGATTCTGGCTGCGCAGCAGCAACACGACCACCAGCTGGGGCCCACCCCACCCGTTTTGAGGATGACCATAAAAAGCTCGTTATGAATCTCAGTCTGCGGCCCCCCGGAGGATCCCCTGAATCAGGGATATAATAATAATAGCCATATATCATGATAAGAACGAACCTGTCAGCATTGGCGGGCGCCCACACGCTTGTCATATTTACCGATAAGAATTCTCACATTTTCCTTTCCTTTTTTATTATTATATTCTCTATCTCTGTTTGTTTTTTTTTTATCAGATCTCTTGCCCACCACAGTGTCCGCCGGACCGGAGACACAGGAGTTTCTGCTGAAGGTGGTCGATGTGCTGTTGGATTTCGTAAAGGCCACCAATGATCGGAATGAGAAGGTACTGGATTTTCATCATCCAGAGGACATGAAGCGTTTGCTGGACCTGGAGGTGCCCGATCGTGCCCTACCGCTGCAGCAGCTGATCGAGGACTGTGCCACCACACTGAAGTATCAAGTGAAGACGGGTGAGTGACGCTCTACTCCTTTTGCCACCTTTTCCCACTGCATCCTTATCAGTGCTGTGCTGTGTTTGCTCAGTCGCGGACTAATCAAATTTGTAGCTGCTTAGCATATGTCCTCTGTCGCCGACGCGTGCCTACGGAGGTTGTGGTCGTATTATGGAACACAAAGTGTGCAGCCTTCTAGATAAGCACATTAGCATATTGATGGCAGACAGACAGACACAGGCATAGCCACAGGATGAGGATGAAGCGTCCTCAGACAAAGCCATTTTATGGCCCATTGAACCATGGCCCAAAGCTGGTTTACACCTTTCAAAAACACTCGTAGTCGGCCTTTGGGCGGCCATCAATCATAAATCAGGGAAAGGGTTCGAGTTCCCTTTTTCCTTTTTTGGCTTTCGCAGCCAAAAGTCATTCTCACGTTTCAGCTCTCCCTCTCCCATATTTTTTGTTGAATGTCCTTGCTGATTTCATTTCATTGAAAATTAATGGCAGGGGCAGCTCCTGTGTGTGTCTCCCTTGTGTCTCTTGCCGCACGTGACCGCAATTGTGTTTGGAGTATCGATAATAAGCGTATTTACTATACAAACCCCCCTCTACTGCTGCTTCGAGCAACCCCCGGAAGCTGTGGCCTTGTCTCGGAAGCAGGCGTTTGCTTCAGCGAGCGATTTGGTTGCCAGGAAATGTGACTTGCTCTGGCATCCTTCTTTCCCTTCCCATTTGAGGTTTGCAGACTTTTGTGTGCCACAAAAATTGAATTAAAAGTGTACGCAATCAAGGCTGCCCGCTGAATAAGCATAGATTGCATGGAGAAAGAGAATAATTAGGATTCGGGGAATCCTCACAGAAAAGTAAGAAAACTTCTTGTCTTTAAGGAGCTTACTCCGCTCCTCCTTTTTGCATGATCTGCCATTACTCCAGACTCCGATAAGAGTTCCATTTATGATCCTTAATCTCACATAATGTGCGCCCTGTCAAAAAGCAGGAAAGAGGCAACCTGATACCTCCATAAAAACTGTGGGGGAGCTTTAATCAAAATCCGTTGTTATTTTCTGACTCGCTGCATTCCTGATCCTTTGATGCGAATGAATGACTGCCTCTCCCAAAGTCCTGGCCCTGCTGGCTGCTGTCTGCTGTCTGTTGCTGCTGCTGTCTGGGTCGAGGGTGACTCCTGCGCAAATTGAAATGTTTGAATGCCGACGCTCTGGCAGAGTCCTTGTATCCCTTTGGGTGTGTGGGTGGATTTAGCCTTGTGGGCAATGGGATTTTAATCACACGACTTATGGCACTCAAGATGTGAACTGACAGACGCCGAAGGGTTCAAGCAGGAACAGGGGGACGGGACAGGACAAGATCCTGATGCTTTTCTGAAAGCATTCTCTGGTTCTGCGTGGGAGTTTTTCACCATCCGCCTCCCGCTCAAATCGAACCTACAATTAGCTACAATAAATGAGCAATTTATAGAGCTCTTCAGTCAGAGGAAGAAGTACAGGGATTACAGCACGAAATAACTAAGATTCATCCATCCTCCATCGATTGGCCACCAGGACCTTGTACTGTGTGTCCTGTGTGTGGTGTGGCGTCTGCCCTTGAACATATGCACTTCCGTAGCGGCTGGCACTGGGGCGGCGGCCTTCCATCCATTCGAGGCCAGTCAGCCGTGCTGCTTCGTTTTGGCCCTTTGTTTCAGCCCCCGAATATATTTTTAATAAAGCAAAAAACTGTGGCAGAATGCTGCCGGAAATAAGGAGTGGAAGGGGGGGGGGGTGGGGTCATGAGGGAGGAAGATGAATCCTTGGATGGAAGGACAGCTGCCAGACACATCTGGTGTCAGCTTAGGGACACAGACAGACGGAGCGACAGCCATGGAACAGCTAAATGGAAAGAATTTTCAGCCACATTAAACACCCAAACATGCGACACAATATATATCCCCCACTCAATAGAGCTATATCCTATCCTCTTTGATTCTCTGTAAACCCCCACAGGACATCCACACTTCTTCAATCAGCTGTCCAATGGACTCGATCTGATCTCCATGGCTGGCGAGTGGCTGACGGCCACGGCCAACACGAATATGTTCACATACGAGATCGCACCGGTGTTCATTCTCATGGAGACCGTGGTGCTGACGAAGATGCGCGAGATTATTGGTTGGTCCGGCGGCGACTCAATACTGGCGCCCGGTGGCTCCATTTCGAATCTGTACGCCTTCCTGGCAGCCCGGCACAAGATGTTTCCCAACTACAAGGAGCACGGCTCCCGTGGATTGCCTGGCAATCTGGCGATGTTCACCTCGGACCAGTGCCACTACTCGATCAAGTCATGCGCTGCCGTCTGCGGCCTGGGCACCGACCACTGCATTGTGGTGCCCTCGGATGAGCACGGCAAGATGATCACCTCGGAGCTGGAGCGTTTGATACTGGAGCGCAAGGCCAAGGGCGATATTCCGTTCTTTGTGAATGCCACCGCTGGCACCACTGTCCTTGGGGCATTCGATGATATCAATACCATTGCGGACATTTGCCAGAAGTACAACTGCTGGATGCACATCGATGTGAGTAGTCATTGCGGCTGTTTACTGTGGTTGGGATATCTAAAAGATTTATTTTTTCCTTTTTCTTTTGCAGGCTGCTTGGGGCGGCGGTCTGTTGATGTCGCGCAAGCATCGTCATCCTCGATTCTCTGGCGTTGAGCGGTAAGTTAAAGGAGCTTCAACTTGTTGGCTCTACCTAAAGCTTAAAGAGTGTTCCTTATATCATATCCTTTCAATTCATAAAAGTTCTTGAATTCACTTCCCTTTTGTCCTTGCAAATTGTCAAGCTCATTCATCACCCGACGTGGCATGTACTCGTGGACCTTGGGGCACCCTCATCTTTTTGTTGTTGCCAAGTCAAAACACAAATTGAAATCTTCGCTTGGGATAAATTTAAATCTAAATGCTCCCAAATGGCCCGCATCGCTCATCGCTCTCTCTCTCTCGTCGGGTAGAAAATCAACTTCAACATGTGGGAAAAATCTCAATTTGTCATTTAGTGCCTCCATCAGGTGTTCAGAGCTTACAGGGATTACAACGACCGAGAGTGCATTTTTTTGCCCAGACAAACAAATGAACAAAGTGGATTTTCAACCAACCCGCGACCTCCAGGGGGTGGCTTTGAATGGTTGGGCATTACTTACGCAACAATTACGACAAACAATGCGAGTGGAAGTGGCAGGGAGAGAGTTGCAGAGGGGAAAGAGTGAGGGAAAGTAATTCAACCCCGAGGAATGGAATTTTTAATTTTAAAGCTAAAACCTGAAATGCACTTTAGCACCAGAGACCGACCCATTCCTGTCCTGAATCCATTCCTGAATCCCATCTCCGACTCAACCTTAAGAGAGGGCTTAGGCAAATGTGGCAAGTGCAGCTGTCGTTGTCGTTGTCGTATTGACAGACTGCGGTCAAGCAGTAACCGCCCAGCCCCTAGCCAGCCTCCTTAAAACACTTTCAAATTGATTGCCTCCTTCCACCTTTCATCCATTCACCCATCCATCCATCACCCACAATAATGGCTCCTAATGCCAGCAGCGTCGTTGTGGCATGCAAATTGAGGCTCTTAATTGAAAGGCTCTCAGTGCGAATTAATCATTAAAATGCCCATACAGTTGACAAGTTGCGTTGCGGCATTTTGGGGGCTTACAAAGCCCTGAAGCCCTGATTAATGGTCCTTTATTGGGGAACGCGAAGGATGATAGAACCTCTTAAATTCGCTGAGTTTCAGTTTGAAAGAAGTTTCTCTTAAAACAATTGAAAGGAAATCTTCGCTACATGCCGCTGCTCAATCAGAAAAACATATGCGGGATACACTCGTAAGAAGGTTAAGGGTTTATAGAGGAGTGTTTCGACTATGAGGATACCCAATACTTGGATTTATTGAGTGCTTAAATGCTCCTTATTATAGCCGCAAAAATTTCGAATAAAAAAAAATACAAAATAGCAATTGATACGTTTTTTGTGTGATTAAAAGTAAAGACTATGTAAGTCACTTGTATTTTTATTTTAGGTAGATAATTCAATTAACTATAAATGTACTAAATTGCAGCTCCATACATCAAAAATTGTAGGCGCTATTACATTTTCAGGACTGTTACAATCATCTTCCTATACCCAATACACCCTCGAATTCCCACCAGTAGAGGGCACACAAACCTGAAGCACACTTTCAGCCACTCCATAAGGATCATGTTTATAGACACCCACCCACCCACAGACTGCCACCGGGGGAGGCAGGCAGCAAGCTGTGGCGCACCCACATAACTGTAAATAGCTCCCCCAGGGATGTTTAGCTGTCAACCCTCGGCGAGTCGTCCTTGCCCCCGAGGGTTGTGTCTCTCGCTTTGAATTCAATTAAAGTGCTGCGGCCTGAAATTGCCACAATTTATGGCACTTGCTGTGGATAGCAGAGACCTCCCCTCCCCCTTAGGTCGCACAGCAGGGGCTTGTGGGGTGGGTAGGCTGTAGCTGCCACAGTGTGGCAGCTTAGTGTTAATTGTTTGTAATTCGTAATTGAATGTCTATTTACGAATATGATTTGACTTTTTGTAGCGCTGATTCGGTCACCTGGAATCCACACAAACTGATGGGAGCCCTCCTGCAGTGCTCGACCATTCATTTCAAGGAGGATGTAAGTAGATCTAAACATAAGTAAGGGGAGATTATATATATGTAATAGGGATAGGGATAATGTAGAGTAGATACTCTACTGGAAAAAAAATACATTTCTTGGGGCTTTCTGAGGTTCTTGTCTAAGAAATAAAGTATGCGCACCTCGTATGGCCTCTCGTTTTGGAGAGCTAGGGTCATCCTTTTTATACGAAGGAGATATCATATGCAAATACTACAGTTTTCTTGGGTTCTGCAGCACAACCATCCATATTTAAAATTCAATTTTGTTGCCCCACCACCACCTTGCAGAACGATGCCCAACATTCTTTGGGATACACATTGAACAATGTTTGTGCAAAGAATTCCAATTGTGTTTTGAACAATTCCTTGTTATTCTTCATTCCAAACAATGAACAACGAAGGAGACCAGACAGACGGACAGCCAGGGGTTGTCGCACACACAATGCAAAGCGTAATGAAATCTTTGACAACCCTGGTGGCTCCGGGGCCAAATGCGCCCAGTCACCCTCCTTCGCTTAGTTCGTTCTACGATTTTTTACATTCATTCCAATATGTTGCCATCGGTCACAGTTGCGTCTTTTGGCAGGCGGGACTTTTAATTAAAATTTCAACTTGACTTATGGCCATCGAAAGAGAGAAAAAGCAGAGGAACGTGCATGCCATTCAATATCGATTCTATTTCCTGCAGGGCCTCCTCATCAGCTGCAACCAGATGTCGGCGGAGTATCTTTTCATGACCGACAAGCAGTACGACATTAGCTACGACACCGGCGACAAAGTGATCCAGTGCGGACGCCACAACGACATCTTCAAGCTGTGGCTGCAGTGGCGCGCCAAGGGCACCGAGGGCTTCGAACAGCAGCAGGATCGCTTAATGGAATTAGTCCAATACCAGCTGAAGCGCATACGCGCCCAGTCCGATCGCTTCCATCTGATTCTGGAGCCAGAGTGTGTCAATGTTTCGTTCTGGTATGTGCCCAAGCGGCTGCGAGGAGTGCCACACGATGCCAGAAAGGAGACAGAGTTGGGCAAGGTGAGCAATACTCTAAGACATCCAAAGGTATGGTATAATAACTTTTTGGTTTTCTCTACAGATCTGTCCCATCATCAAAGGACGCATGATGCAAAAGGGCACTCTGATGGTCGGCTATCAGCCAGACGATCGACGACCCAATTTCTTCCGTTCGATCATCTCATCGGCCGCCGTCACAGAGGCGGATGTGGACTTTATGCTGGATGAGATCCATCGTTTGGGCGATGATTTGTAAGCGGTTCTCGGGAATGGAATTATCAAATGGTAGTTCGTACAACAAAGCATATCAGGAGACCGCAAAATATGAGTCAAGAATCAAGAATGAAGATCATCAGAGTTCAATGTTGAATGTAAATTTGTTTGTATCTATAAAGTGTTTGCTAGATGTTCCTTTTCCGATTCTTCATTCCGTTATCTGTTATACGTTAACCGTTATCCCAGTGTGTGTTGGCCCAGTGTTGGTAAACTTCATATAATCGAAGCCTGTAATAGCGAGACGCGACGAGAGTGTGTTTTGTTTGGGATAAAACTATATCTAAAAAACGATCAAAGAAAAAATATAAGTATATTGAATATTTGAATATCTATATGTACCACAACCACCACAACACGCACCACCAGAACACGTAACACGGTACCCATATAAACCCACACAATACCGTTAAAAAATTATATGCATATATATATTTACTGTTGGAAAGAAAATACTGTTGAATGGTTAAACGAACGCTATCTTAACATATCAGGAAGATGAAGTTGACGAAGGAGAAGGATTCAGTTCCGTTTGATTTGATTTGTTACGTTAATCGTTTGATCTATTTTGCGGAGAGAAATGTTACCTATTATACTCTATACCCTATACTCGTATAGAGACACGTTGATCTATGGCCATGCGTACCTTTATAGAGAGACCTGTGCTTGTTACTTAAGAAAAAGAAGAATAAACCAAAAGAGGATCTGGGGATATGCAACCACATCCTTAGATCGTATCTAGTCCAATTATTGAACTGTGCTATATACTCGTCTAGAGAATTAAATACGTATAAACGAATTAGTTGTGTTTAGTTTGCTATAACCACACAACAAAAAGAGTCAATTAAACTCAATTACAAATGTTGGAATGCGCCTGTCTTCTTTTCTATAAGTTTCTATATATATTCTTTCGATTTCTGTTAGTCCAATGGAAGGTATAGGAAAAGTCAGAGAAGGGAGATACTATGACCCTCCATAATACACAAAACTCAGACAAATCATATGCAACACCAAACAACAACACAGAATTCAATATAAATACAGATAAAAACAGATCAAAAATTAAAGATATAAATATGTATTTAATGTATTGTATTTTAAATGTGTGTGTTAACTAAGTTTATCCAGTACAAGAGATATACTATGTGTACATCAGATATTGGTATATAAATATATCATGATTCTTATTTTATGTATATGTGCAGACCCCCAAAAATTATTCCAACACCAAAATATAATTATAAATGAATATATTATATATACACATATATAAACGAATGATAAATCAAAATAAAAGTAACCAAAGCGCAGTACACAATTCTCTCTTTTCGTTCGTTCTCTTTTAATATTACTCTTCATCGTCTGGGGGCTTCGTTTCGTTAAGAGAGAAACGCCCGAGATCTGTTTGAAGAGACATCCTACCCATATATAAGGCGTCTATGGGGAGCCGCCATTCGCTCTGGCTTCGCGTAGTCTCTGGTCGTCTTCATCGTCTGGGGGCTTGGTTTCGTTAGGGACGCCCGTCTGGGCCCCCCGGGGGCCCCCCCCCCCGGTCCCGGGGCGGCGTGGAACGCCCAGTCTGTTTGAAGAGACATCCTACCCATATATAAGGCGAATCTTAATGGGGAGCTCGCTCATTCGCTCTGGCTTCGCGTAGATCTCTGGTCGTCTTCATCGTCTGGGGGCTTGGTTTCGTTAAGAGAGAAACGCCCGAGATCTGTTTGAAGAGACATCCTACCCATATATAAGGCGAATCTTAATGGGGAGCTCGCTCATTCGCTCTGGCTTCGCGTACATCTCTGGTCGTCTGTTTCAGTCTATTGATCCGCTCGCATCTTCCGAAGCTCTCCAGTTTTAGTGCTTCAAAAATGCCACAAAGTTTTGTGCCAGTGCCAGCGGGAAGCGATTTCCCACTGGAGAACCTGCCCTATGCTGTATTTTCCACCCAAAGTAATGTGAGTACTGAATATGGTTTAAAATCATTGAAATTATCAAAGTAAATTGGGGACTTTTCACAAGTTGTTTTCATTTTCCACGTGATTCTGAGGGAGAACGGAATGGAGTGCTGGAAATATAAGTTCAACCATTTTCCATGTGACTTTGAGCCAGTTCTAGATATTTCTTCGATCTAGTACAGAAACCACTTTGGGGCATAACATTTGCATACATCAGCCGGCAAACAAGTTTGTTTAGGAAAACAATATGCTAATTTAAGCTCAAAATAACTTATAAAACACATCGTACCATCCCAGTTCTGATAACAACCTCATATCGTATCTGAATATCGTAATTATAATATCCCACTCTCTCTCTCTGTTCCACAGAAAGCTCACCGGTTGTGCGTGGCCATAGGACAACATGTCCTCGACCTGAAAGCTGTCTCCCAATTATATCCACACCCCGTGCAGGTGAGCTTGCAGGCGGAGACTTTGAATGCACTCATGGGCTTGGGCCACGAATCTTGGGATGTGGTTAGGACACAGACGCAGAAGCTTTTGCTGCAGGGTTCGGAACTCGATCAGAATGTGGACCTCAAGGAAACGTAAGAAAAGAACAGTTGGTGCTAAGCTCAAGCTGAAAGCTACCCTTAGCCGATTTCTTATACCATTTCAGTGCAGTCATCCCTCAGTCGCAGATTAGCCTGCATCTTCCCGCCCAGATTGGGGACTATACGGACTTCTACTCGTCCATACATCATGCCACCAACGTGGGCATCATGTTCCGTGGTCCGGATAACGCTCTCATGCCCAACTGGCGGCATCTGCCAGTGGGCTACCATGGACGTGCCAGCTCTGTGGTCGTCTCTGGTACACCCATTCGACGTCCTCTGGGACAGACACTGCCCGAGGGCGCTGAAAAGCCAGTGTTCGGTGCCTGTCGTCTGCTGGACTTTGAGCTGGAGATGGCCTTCTTCATTGGAGGTCCCGGCAACCGGTTGGGCGAACCCATCCGCGTCGACGAGGCCTGGAAGCATGTGTTTGGCTTCACTTTGATGAACGATTGGAGTGCCAGGGATATCCAGAAATGGGAGTATGTTCCACTGGGGCCGTTCACGGCGAAGAACCTGGGCACCACCATCTCTCCCTGGGTGGTGCCAACAGCTGCCTTGAAGCCCTTCCTGTTGGAAAACTTCCCCCAGGAGCCGGAGGTGCTTCCGTATCTGCGTCAGAGCATGCCCTTCAACTTTGACATCAATCTGGAGGTTTCCCTGAAACGTAAGGACCAAAGGGAAGAATAATCCTGACTCCTGGTTCTGATGTGGGTATCCCTTCATTCTTATTTATAGCTTCGGATCAGAACGAAGCCCTCATCTCGAAGTCCAACTTCAAGCATCTCTACTGGACGCCACTGCAGCAGATTGCCCACCACACGGTCACTGGCTGCAGCCTGCGACCTGGTGATCTGATGGCCTCCGGCACAATCAGTGGCGAGACTCCGGATTCGTATGGCTCCCTTTTGGAGCTGTGCTGGAAGGGCACCAAGAATGTGGAGCTGCCGGGCGGCAAAAGCCGCAAGTTCCTGCAGGACTACGATGAGGTCATCATCCGGGGACACTGCGAGAGGAACGGCCTGCGCATCGGTTTCGGGGAGTGTGTGGGGCAAGTGCTGCCCGCCCACCCGCTGTCGCAGTAGGATTAAGAGGAATCTCGTTGAATAAAAGTCAAAACACGCTCAACAAGTGCTTTAAAGCTCTCTTTCAGTTGCTCTCCCACTCTTATGCTCGCTCTCCTCTCTCTTTCCCCAATCGCTGATTCTGGCATTCCACGCTGCTTCGTAAATACACGCATGCCTACTTCTTCAGCACTCAAAACGATTGGCATCCGGAGAGAGAGAGAGCGAGAGCAGCGACGACAGCGACGCCAAAGACCCCAAACGCAGTGGCACTGGCTCTCGCATTCATTTACTTACTTCGAGCGGGCGAAGTCGGCGCGGCCATCCAGCAAACTAGTTTAAAGCACCATAAAAAGCCCCCAAAAGCCAACAACGTCGACGGTGAGCAGACGCGACTGGCGCCGGGCACCCAACAATAAAGTTTTGCGGTGTGTAACTTTTGCAGTGCAAAAAAAAAATAGTTAATAAAACTATCTCGTAAAAATCTGTATATAGAGAGTGCCACTGCAGTGCGGAGCATGCCCTGAATTCCGAGTGTATGTGCAGTTGCAGCGAAGTGTTTGAGTTTGCGGTTCAAGTTTTTCCGCAAACAACTTGGACCCGAGAAAAATGTCTTGGAAAAATCAATTTTTTATTCGTCTCTGCGCACGCACACCAGCACCATAAACACACATAATACACTCGCACAGACAGTTGGAGCGGCGGCGGCCACCCACCCTGGCAAATAGAGAGAAGAGAGGAGTTAACAAAAGACCAGACCAGACCCCAGACCCCCCCTGAGACACATTCACATTCACTTTGCCATTATCGTTGTTGTTGTTGCTGTTGTTGTTGCTGTCTTGCTTGCACTTTTGTGTCGCGCATTGATTTTGCATGTCGCATCGCGTCTTCAGCTGAATGTCGCAATTGAAAAGTGCAGCCAAACCAAAGCAATGCACATTCAGCAGAGAGTGAGCCGCTGTCACACATACAGCGTACACACATCTTCACGCAATGAGCAAATTAGGTAACTTTTGAAAAAAGGCATACCTTGCCTTTTATTTACCTTTGACAAACGAAGATGAACCCCGAAACACTCTCACACACACACACACACACACACACACACACACACAAACGAAAGCGTGGACATGGACAAAATGCACACGCAAAAAGTTAATCAGGCCCCAACAACACAACGACACTCGCATACCCTTTTTCACACACAATAGTAAATAGTTTGTCGTAGCTACTGCTGCAGCAGATTCACCTCCATAGCTACTGCTGCAGCAGATACACCTCCACACTTTGGCAAGGGTGGCAAGCAGCATTTGAAATTACCTGGCGCCGTCGGCTATCGTGCGGGAGCACCCGGCTGCTCTTCGAACCACCCCACATTACCCCTCCCCCTGCTTGGAATCACCAACACCACTTGAGACAGCGCCAGCAGCAGAACCTGTTATGGCGCGGCAGAGAGTTGCTGCCTCGCTCTGCTCTCTTTGGCTTGCAGTGTCTGCGCATGCGCCAGAGGGGAGCAGGGGGAGAGAGAGAGTAGCTAGCCGGTCGATGCGTGCTGAAAGAAAGGGGGTGGGGGGACTCACTCTGCGGGCGATAACGTGCAAAAACAGAAACAAAAGTTGGGCGAAGAGGGTGAGAGAGCACAGAACTCCAGAGATCTCGTGTGGTGTGGTGGGGACGTCCAAGAAGTCGAACAGAAATTTCGAAACTTGAGAACAGAAAAGTAACGCATATTTAAACTGCCTTTTAGTCTGGTAGATATTAATCTTAGTCCGACTCCCTTGACTACAGATCAAAGCTCCTTCCCATCCACATCTAAATACGGTAAAGGTGTCGAGCTTGTCATTCTTTAATGTCTTTAATGTTTTTTCATGTTTAAAAAGTGGTTGATTGGGAAGCGATTTGATAATCGTATCGTAGCCTCCTAATGTTATAAAAAATTCTTATCTCGCTGAAAATTTCATGCTCCGTCACCCACAATTAACCCAAATGTCTCCCCAATGCAAATCACTCACCATACACATACATATGACTACATACATGTACATATGAACATGTTTACTTTATATATGTACAGTGGGGGGAGAGCGTAATAAGCTTAACCAGCCACATAATTAATGCCTGCTAAATTTTCTAATCAGCGTCTCGAGTGGGAGACAGAAAAAGAAGAAGAGAATTTCGTACCCTTTACCGTATGCCTCTAAGGGCATATTAGCGCGCTTATAATTTATTGTCACTCCCTATGGATTTGGGTATCCCCTAGTTGAGGTCGTCTCCATTCAATGATGTTTTCCATGGACAGGCGGCGCCTGGTTCCGTATGGTTTCCAAAGTGCAGCCGCGTTCTCCCCAGTGACTGGATTTGTGGGTGTGGGAGAACGCAGACCACACTCTGTGGTGATCGTTGCTGGCTGGAATTGGAATTTATCTGGGTCCGGCATTATCGGTTGGTTGGCACACGGCTCTTGATAAAGTTGCAAAACTTGCAAATTCCCATCGCATATTGATACACACTCGAGAACAGCGGGTATAGTATCCCTCATCCCTCGTAGTGGATCGCAGACAATTGATAATTATGATTGTGTTGCGTCAACAGCAATATGTATTTATAAAATATTTTCAGCTCTCTCCGCAGTTTTAGCCAAATGCCAAAATGCCGTAAATTTGGAGTGGCCACGAAACGATAGAATCGATAGATCCTAAAAAAAAGGGCAACAACAGGCACAAGGAAGCTATAAAAAGGATTCTCAAAATGAATCGATTTACATGGAGCTGGTTGCTTGTGGCCCTGATCTCACTGGCCAGGAGCTGTAAGTATTCGATGCCCCATAAAGGTGCAGCTGCTAATGCAAACCTCTCCACTCTCTCTCTATCGTTTCGATAGCTCCTGTTCCGAGTCGTCAGTACAGCTGCATGAGCTACATGGAGAACGATAACTCACTGCACGACGATGATTCCGAGCAGGAGAACAGCGGGGAGCTGCTGGAGCAGCAAATCGAGCCCAGTGCCATTCCAAATGAGCCGCACAGACGCAGCTGCTCCGAGGGATACACCTTTTGCTTTACCCTGTGGAATCAGACCTTGAATGGAACAACGAGAATAGTCAAGCAGGGTGAGTGTCCCTCTATAAAGAGAGAGATAATTCCAATAAATCTATCCATTAATCCCCAACAGGCTGCTGGAAGGACAACACCGATCGAAACTCCATCTGCAGCCAGTCGGAGTGTACCAGTTCGGCACCCACTTCGAGGACCAACTCCCTGTACTATTGCTGCTGTTCGGGAGATGTGTGCAATGCCGAGTTTGCAGTGGTGGAGCCCGCACCCCTGGAGCTGGGCTCCAACGATGTCCGCTCACCGCTCACCAATCTGGCGACGAGCAAGCAGCAGCAGTCCTTTCTGGCCAGCACAATGCTGGGCGTTGCCGGAGGTCTCACCGCCATCCTGATAGGCATCATCCTGGCCGTGCAGTATTGTCGCGGTCCCAAGGAGAAGCCGGAACCGGAGGAGTCACCGTTGGCACCGTCGGGACCAGGATACAGTTCCAATCTGCGGAATGTGGACAACATGAATCTGATTGGAATGCTGGGCAGTGGCAAGTACGGAACGGTAATGAAGGGTCTGCTGCACGATCAGGAGGTGGCTGTGAAGATCTACCCGGAGGAGCATCATCAGTACTATGTGAACGAGAGGAACATCTACGCCCTGCCGCTGATGGATTGTCCGGCGTTGCTGAGTTACTTTGGTGAGGATGTCTCCCCCCCTGGGAGGTGCGTGATTTCCATTTTAATCGATTTTTTGCACTCTTTTAGGATACGATGAACGCTGCACCATGGATGGACGGATGGAGTACCAGCTGGTGCTGTCGCTGGCGCCACTGGGGTGCCTTCAGGACTGGCTGATAGCCAATACACTGGACTTTTCGCAATGCTGCGGCATGCTGCGCTCCATCACGCGTGGCATCTCGCACCTGCACACGGAACTACGGCTGGGGGATCAGCACAAGCCCTGCGTGGCCCATCGCGACATCAACACGAGGAACGTGCTCGTCCAGGCGGATCTATCGTGTTGCATTGCGGACTTTGGCTTCGCGCTGAAGGTGTTTGGCTCCAAGTACGAGTACAAGGGCGAGGTGGCCATGGCCGAGACCAAGAGCATCAATGAGGTGGGAACGCTGCGCTACATGGCCCCAGAGCTGCTAGAGGGAGCCGTCAATCTGCGCGACTGCGAGACGTCCCTCAAACAGATGGATGTCTATGCCCTCGGCCTCGTTCTCTGGGAGGTGTCCACTCGCTGCGCTGACTTTTATGCCGCCGGACAGATGACGCCGCTCTACAAGGCCCCATACGAGCATGAGGTGGGCTCCCATCCCAGTTTCGACCAGATGCAGGCGCTGGTGGTGCGTCACAAGGCCCGACCGCTTTTTCCCGCCGGCTGGGGGGGTGGTGCAGCGGCCAAGGTGGTGCGGGACACGTGTGAGGATTGCTGGGACCACGATGCGGATGCCAGGCTGACGTCCCTGTGCGCCGAAGAGCGGATGCAGGAGATGTCGGGACTAAAGCCACGCCTGCAGGCGCAGCCGGCCAGTCCGCTGCTGAACACCAACAACCTGGCATCGCCCACATCCCTGGAGCAGGTACATCCGACTACGACAACGACGGCGGCTGCAGTGCATCACCAGATGAGCTCGGATACGGCCGGACTGCTGCAGCCGCCGCCGAACCAGCAGCTGCCGACGGAGAAGAACCATTTGAGCTACACGCAACAGCAGCTCCAGCCGTACCAGGGTAGGAATCCCTGCCAGGAGCGAAATCTGGCGCCATTGCCGCTGCGAACGCCGCCGGTGCTCGTGGAACGAAGCAAGAAGCACAGCTTTCTGACGCAGCCCCAGGAGAACAGCCTGTCCTGCCTGGAGCACGATGTGGGTGTGGAGGAGCTGCTGCCACCAAACGGCGGAGTCGTTCCCGCCCATCACCAGCATCATCACCAGAAGAACACCAACGCGAATTCCAGCCTAGGGCAGGGATTCCCCAAGCAGCAGAACACGGACCACAAGCTACGCGGCTGGCATGGAGTCCGTGCGCTCATCCACAAGAAGCTCTTCCGCAAGGAGCACGCGGAGGAACTGTGCCGCCAACTGCAGCTGGGCGAGGAGAAGTCCAACTTGGTGGCGGCACTCAAAACGGGCAGCGGCATGCGGCGACCCAACAATCTCGATCTGAGCCCCCGCCAACCGCTGGATAACAAGCCACTGCCCGTGCAGCTGCGTAGTGCGGAGCAGCGGAGTGGCACTCCCGCCCATATAGTGCCCCGATCTCTGTCCAGCAGCCTCATCAAGCACATCAACAGCAGCAGCACGAATAACAATTGCATCTTAAGCCATGGAAACGAACTGCAGACCCTCACACGACCCTCCACCAAACGGCGGCCGGGTCATCTGCGCACGAACTCCCTGCTGGTGACGAGCCAGAGCCATGGCCAGGGCCATGGTCTGCCCACGGAGCAACAGATGCGCCGCCAGCATAGTTTGGAGGTGTTCCGTGAGGTCTTCAGCGGTCGAGGGAGCAGCGAGCGACTCAGGGATCCCGCGGAGCGTGTGAAGACCCCTGGGGATGTGCCGCCATCGGTGCGAAAGGCCAGGGCCAGCAAGACGCTGAGTCTGTACGATGATCGGATGATGGACTCGTCGCTGCTGAACATACTCTAGCATGAGGAGGTTCTGCTGCTGGAAGTGTAGAGAACTCCACAGACTGGAGGGGCAGCAGAACACGGACGAAACGGAGGCCAGAATCATATCTCATCCTCTCATCGAACACACACACACACATATTCAACGATAGCCATAGTCGCACGATTCAACGCGAACCGCTTCCTGGAAAAATGTCTTCTGAACAAACAGATGAAACATTTTTTTTGTTCACCATAGCTAGAGGAGCAGTCGCCCTCCACCCGAGGACCTGTCTTCTATATATCTAGATGTATTTTTTCACCAATCATCCTAGCGAGTAGTGCGGCAAACAACCAAAGTCCTTATAGGTTAGATCTGATTAGTAATGGTACTACGGATAGTACACAGTATACACTGTATAGGATGGAATGGAGGCTATAAATGCTTCCCCCTCCACCATCAAGGATAAATATATTTTTGACTTGAAAGTACGCGAAACAGGTAGTAGTTTGTATAGGTTTTCACTGTCGAGACTGTACTTCCGGTACAGTGACGTGAGAGACAGAAGTAGAGGGGGCTTAGTCGGACGGACCACTTTTATAGAGCCATATACACTTAACAAACCCAAATGGAATACGAGTTAACCCCGTATATCTATAATTATATTTAGTCATCACATATACTAAACGCGTGTATATGCTGCGCTGTCCACCAGGTTTGTCTTACCATGGTAATTCCTATAACAAAAGAAATACTCGAAGAAATTTATATAATCAAACCAAAAATAACCCAACACTGAGTGGCAGGGGCCCACAGCAAACAAAAATAGTTTGTCGAGTATTACGTTATGCGGCAGCGGCCCTCGGTTGGCTCCCCAGCATACTATTTGGATGAATTTTTGTAGAATGAATTTCCCTAGTAATTAGACCAAAACACCCGCAGCCTTTTCAATTACATAAGATGCAAGATCTAGTTATATGATTTACACTAATTATTGTATAATTATTAATTAAAATTAACAATTTATTTAAAATTGAATTGAACAACTCCTCTCACTTTTCAGACTTGCAAATCATTTGGAACGCGATCGCAGTTCGATCAACACGGGGGCATCTGGTTTATTGATCAGCAGCGTGACGACATCCAACTCGGCATCCGTTCCCCCGCGCCAGATGAGCTCAAAGTTACGCAGCAGCTGGAAAATGCAAATCGCATAAGAGGAGAGCGTTTAGACTAACAAATTTGTGGGGAAACGAGAAAAGATCGATGATCGTGCTCTTACCCGCAAGAGCAGAATATGGATGTTCTGCTCCGCCAAACGACGGGCTATGCAGGCGCGCATTCCATGGCCAAAGGGCAGCACCAGATAGGGATTGAAGGCGCTGCGCTGCTGGAGCCAGCGATCCGGCTGGAAGAGAAGGGGCTGCGGAAAGTGCTGCTCCAGGCGGCAGGCAATCATATTTTGAGTCACAACTGTAGTCTGCAGAAGAAGGAAACTCATTAGAGGAAACCTTTAAAGATGGGCTAAAGATGCTTACCCCTTTGGGCACAAGGTAGCCACTGAGCACCGTGTCCTGGTTGAGTATGCGCCCAACGCCAATTGAAATGGGATTCAGACGAAGCGACTCCTTCAGCACCGCCCGCGTATAGGTGATGTCCGTGCGAAGTGCGTCCGCAGAAAGAGGCTGATCGGCATCTGGCAGCACTCTTCTGGACTCCGCATGGAGTCTCTGCTGCACCTCCGGGTGCCGAGCCACGTGGTAGAGCAGAAACGTCGAGGCATACGAGGTGGTATCAATGCCAGCCAAAAGGAGATCCGCTGCAGTGCCCACCACATCGCTCCGATCGAGCTCTGGGTTCTGCAGATATGTGGAAATCAGAGAGGAATGCTCGGAGGCGGAGGAGCAGCTCTCCATCAGTTGGAGGGCCACGCTCTCCATGTAGGTCTGTGCCTTACGCAACTTCTGATAGCTGGGCGTCTCCATAAGGCGCCACAGCTGCAGGCCCTGATCTGTGGGCAGAATACAGCTGTTGGTGGTCTCGGCGGCGTGCATCAGGTGTGTGGATCGGGAGTGGGGGCTCTGCTCCTCTGGCGAGAAGGATTGCAGCCGGGCACCAAAGGTGAGCAGGCAAGTAACTGGAAGGGAACTGTACTATAAGGAAGGTCATGGATCGATGTTTTGTTCTCCACTTACGTTCCAGATTCAATCTTGTTAGCTTCGGCAGCATGTCGATCGCATCTCCCTCGCCCGCTGACTCCCGCAGGAATGCCAAAAACTCTCGCGTCACACCATCCACTTGGGGTATAAAGTTCCTTACGCTCTTCGGCGCACTCAGCTCCTTCTGCAGCTGTGAGCGGAGACGCCACCACTCCTGGCCATTGGTGGGCAGCAGACCCGTGGTCTTGTACACATGCGGACGCTGGCGGCGGTACTGGGCGAGTGCCAAATGACTGCGTCGCTGCGGACAGTCGCGTTCGTTCAGCAGCGTGGCAATGTCCTTGGGATCGTAAAGCCAAACGATGTCCTGTCCTGGTGCCATCGTTTCCCTGACAATCGCACCGTATCGCTCGTACTTGTCCTGCCCGGCCTGATGCAGCCGCAGAAAGGAATAGGAGCCAATGCCCGGCATATAGTTGTAGAGATTGCCCAAGCCCCAGGGGCCGCGTGGTCCCGGCATCGCCTCAAAGGGTTTGGCAAAGGTGCACTGCCTCGACGTGCAGCTGATCTTCAGCAGCTTCGTTAGCATTTTTACAGTCACAGTTGTACACAGCTCTTGTCGCGGAAAATTCCAGAAACACACTGAAGACAGACATGGATTTTTATTGCTGGCCCAGCGCATTCGTGAACGTCTTTTGTCTCACTTGTCGCCATAAAAACTGTTCGGGCCAGGGAGTCGTGTCTACCTGTCGCTCGGTTTACCTGCCCAGTGATCTTCTCTTAAGACCTCCTCGCTCTTGCTTAATCCACAGATTGAAAGAGCAGCCGTCCGATCGTAGAGCATGGCCCACTTTCGGGCTGTTTCAAAAATGATCTGCGACTATACGAAAGACGTAAAATTAATCTAAAATGTACATACATATATGTATATATATATGTAGAGAATACATAACAACTGGTTCAACGATCATTTCGCTTAAATCAGAAATGCATATATTAATTAATCGACAGTTTTTCTTGGGAAATACATTAGGTTAGGATCAATTAATGTAGCAAGTATTCAGTCCTTCTTTTTCTCCAGGACACTCTCCATTCGCTGTCCCATATTAGCATCAATTTTTGGAGCTTCCACTTCTGGAGGGCGACCCTCATTCTCAGCGTGAGTTGAAAATTCATTCAAGGACTCCCAAGCGATCTGCCTGCCTACTTTCCGGGACTCCGCGTTCGATTGCACTAACTGAAGCACTAGGACGAGCACATTGCCCAGGAATATCAGCAAAGCTATAGCTGGAATAGACAAAGTGTCCAGCGAGTGGGACACCACAAAGTGGACGGATGGCCTGGCGAGGTGGCTGTAGAGTTCGGGTTCGTTGATCAGATGCTCCGCGTGCCACACGGCGTGCTCCAGCGGCGGCATGGGACGTGTGCGGAATTTGACTTGAGCCTGGGACACAGCAGTGCGAATTTCCTCATGCTTGAGGAGACGTTTGAGGGTTCTGGCCATGGTCAGCTCAAAGAAAGTGTTCGTCGAGAGTACGACACCTAGATTGCGTTCCTCGATGCGCTGAGCATTCTGCGGGCGAGGCGAGGGAAGATTTTATATGGAAATAACAAAGAATCAATGGACCCACATTGAACTGTTCGAGTATCAGGGGGATAACCAGCACGGGCACGGCATAGTAGATGGCCTCTTGCAGGCTGAAACTGTCGCCATGATTGAGGAAGCATTTTACACCGGATTGGGCTGTGTGGGAAAACATTTACAATCATTTAACTCAGAGAGAAGTACTCCCAAGGACTTGCCTAGGATGTCCTGCTGCAGTCTTGCATCCACATGAAGCGTCAAAATGTTGTCCATCTGCTCGGGCAGCTCCTTGACATTCTCCACATTCCAGACGAAGCCGTAGGTGGGATGCCGCCGGGCCATGTGCAGCACGGCTTTGGTGCCGATGCCAAAGAATAAATCAATGTGCGGAAAATTAATGTAGATAATCGCATCGATGAATTTATCCACGAACTTTTGTATGTTCGACGGCAGGGGCCTCGACTGGGTCCAAATGTGGAGTCCTCCCACTTCAATCACGCTGCCAGGCAGATTCTGGGCATAATCCAGGGTGGAGTGTGTGTTCAGTAGCATCAGCTTAAGGGGTGGATAGGCATGATCTGTGGGCACAAATGCGCCCCTGGAAATAGGTAGAAGATCGGTCCAACGAAGTCTAAGGCAATGTAGACGTCATTAGTACGAGGATTACTCTCCTGGGGATCAAACACTCACAATTTATCCGCTAGATGCAGGGCACTGTTTTGTAGGCGCCCCACAAAGTCCATGTCTTCGGGCAGCTGGCTAATGGGGTGTGGAATCCTTGCCACATTGATGGTGTCCTCGGCCCGGACCAACTTCAATAGTTCCGCTGTCAGCTTGCCGCCACTCACCCCCAGAATGGGTATGGAACGATGCTTGGGCACCAGCGGCAGCAGGCACTCTATGCCATTAGTGGCATCGGAGATGATCAGATCTTGGTCGACTACCTCGTCGATCAGCTGGGCCCGCAGCTTTGCCAGCACCGGTGACTCCATCACCGCGCGGCAGCCTCCCAAAGGAGCCTCGTGCCACACCAAAATCTGCAGTGCTGTAAACACCGAGCTATACGAGGCCGTGCGGCTGACAAAGTACTTCTGCAGCACATCGTATTCGTTGGGCAGCGTGAACACAGTGATGCCCTCGATATTTGTTTTTGGAACTGGAGCACTGCTCAGCACCGTGAGGCTGTGGCCGCGTTCAGCCAGCGCCTCGAAGAGGGGCTGCGTCCATCCCGGATTGTTGTGACGGGCAGTGCCCACGAGGCACAGTATATTGGCCGCTTTTGTGTCCAGCGGCAGCCAAGTGACGAGCAGCAGCAGCGGCAAGAAACACAGCACATTCATGATTCAATGTTCCTCGGACAACGCAACAGTTTCACTTTCCAAAGGGTCTGTGGTTGATTCTCTTTCCTTATCAGTGTGTGTACAATATGGGAAATCGCAAAACTGAGAGGCAACAAATAATAAAAATCAAGTTTTAGGCAGCAAGTGTCTGAGATACGAACTTATTTTGATAGATAGGAGAATGGGTGATTATTAACTGCCTACTGAGCTCCAAATTTACTCAATATGAATGCAAGAAAGGTAAGTCCTTCTTGACCCTTTTTAAAGTTAAAAATAAATCTCTTTAAATATCTACTCTTACACATCCTTTGGCAACCAAAAAGAAAAAAACATTCTCCATTTAATTGGCATTTAAATAATGATTTATTTTATTATTATTATAAATGTTCTTAATTAATTATAAAAAGAACTGTCTGTCGTACTTTGCTTTAGGTTTCTTGGCAACGGGTGCTCATTCATATACAAAAACAAAAAAACATTCGCTATAATTCGCTTAACAAATCAGTTTACATTCAATGAACAGCTATTGGCAAAGAAACGGTGTATCATTATCGGATCTACATAAATCGTATCGTATTATATGCTAAGAATTGGACATACAAATGTGTAGGAATGGGAAAGTGTGCGTTTTTTAATTACTTTTCGTTAATATGGCAAGATTAATACATGAAACGAATGCTCCTCCTCAACTACATACATCACGTTGCATTTAGCAACACTTGACAATATTTTGCAGCACTGGGTTTCCATTGTAGCAGCGCAGAGCAGAGCAGTGATGTGGTGGCGTGGCTGTGAGTACCCCTAACATACCTAACTAAGCCTAGGCGCTAATTGCACAAAAAGTTTTCGTTTATAAATTAAGTTATATTTAAATGTGATTAAGCATTAAATGAATTAACACAGATGTCGTTTTCTGGAAGAGATAGCGATAGATATGGGGAGGGGAGAGAGAGAGAGACAGACAGACAGAGAGAATGTGGCTAAAAGCGGGGATTATGTACATGGTTAATCTTAAGTGTTATTCTGAGGTTCTACGGTTAGTTTTGGTGCTTCATATGAGAGAGGCTGCACTATTAGGCAGTGCTTTGGATACAGGCTCCACCTTGGAGGCAGTGCTTCGGTGAGTGGGGTGAGTGGATTAACTGAAGATGCGCCTCCATCTGCAAGGACACTACTGTGGGGTGGGGGGCATTTGGAACACTACTCATTCACCAGCTGCGCAGGACCCGGCTCATCGTAGGGCGCTCCATTCGTACCCACATACTGATTGTTGTTTCTGTGGACGAAGCCCCGTCCCGGCGACGCATTGTAGTAGACCACGCGCCGTATGCCAAAGGGATCCACGTAGCCGAAGCTTCCCGCCCGCTGCCCATCCGCCGGGCTCGTCTCCTCCTCGTGGTACTGCTTCGGCAGGACATAGCGGAAACCGTTCCGGGTGACGCCCACGCCATCGTAGCCCGCGGCACTGAGATCGTCCAAGTGGTGGCTCTGCACCGGACGCAGGCGGCGGCGGTAGGCTCGGGATGGCAGCGGTGGCAGCAGTGGCAGCAGTGCAGCCTCCAGTGAATTAACCTCCAGCGGGGAATTGGGCGTGTAGTATCCATAACCACCGTGGGAGGATGAGGGGTATGAGCCATACCCACTCGTTGAGGGCGTGGCTGAGGGCGCATAACGATAGCCAGAGGCTACAGAAGGCAGCGCAGCCGAGGGCGGTGCAGCAAATGGCGCTGGAGCAGAGAATCCATAGGAATCCCCTGCAGCAATGGGCGAGGGAGTGCTCGCCACAATCCCGATGGCAGTGGGACGCGGACGCTGGCGGCGTCGGTGCGGAGATCCCAGCGGTGGCAGCATCGACAGTAGCGGAGGTTGGGGCGTCGTGGAGCTGACCACCGATCCGAATAGTCCATGGCCAAAGTCTCGATTCGCCTCCGCATCGTACAAGTTGTTGGCGTTGAGGCCATTTTCCACGGGCTCTGCATTCGGCGAGTGCTGACCGGAGGACAGCAGCTGGTCCCGTGCCCGAGGCAGTTCGTCCGGATAGTGATCGAAGCCCAGCTGCGACTGCGGTTGGATCTTGGCCGCCTCTTCTGGCGGCAGATAGTTGAGCTTGCCCACGCCTGAGTCCACAAGCGAATCCAAGTCCAGCTGCAAGTCCTGTGCAGGAGTTGGAGCTGGAGTGGTGGTCGAGGTGGTAGAGCTAACGTGTGAAAAGGCGGGCCTTTGATAGCCGCCAAAGGAGTTTCTGGAGCCAGAGCCCGCAGATCCTCCATCTACCAGTATGCCCGATTGCGCAGGCGCTGCCTTTGTGGATTTGATGGCTTCCTGTGGGGCCAGAAGGAGAGACAGATGAGAGACGTTGAGAGGGGAGAGTGCACGCATAGACCTACCTCAATGGGACGTCCCTGGCCCACATAGATGGTCTTGGACTTGAGGATTCTATAGCCCTGTTTGTCGGCTATGTAGTCCTTCTGCCGCAGATACCCAGCTGCATCGATCCATGCCTCAGTGCCTGTCAGGGAGAGGAGAGAGTGACCATCTCTTTATGCCACTGCTGCTGCAGTCCACTCACCTATGACAGTGCCATCCTGCAGACGCTTCTCCTTCCGGAACTGTCCGTTGTCCGTCTGGAAGCGGAAATATCGCTCGGGCCCCTCGTCCGTCTGGATGTGGTACTGACTGGAGCTGGGACTCTGGCTGGCTGCAATACCCGAGATAAACGATGCCAGGGCAACGATTGCCAGCTGCAAAGAAAACGTTAATGTCGTTGATTAGTGAAAACTGCTCCAAAATGGGGGGCACAAACAAATGGCATCCGCGGACAGCTGGTCCGAAGCCCCAAAGAGGCAGCAGTCCATCAGTCCATTGCGACGCTGTTTTTCCGGTGGGGCAGCCTTTGGGGGCAGGCGGCACATTTCAGAGTCAAGGTGACAGAGTTGCAGTTGCAGTTTCTGTTGCTGTTGCTGCTGTTGTTGTGCAACTTGCACCATTCAACTTGGAGAAGCAGCCGCAGCCGCAGCGGCAGCAGTGGTGCTGCGTGCGGAAGTGCGGCTTGTGAAAGTGCTTTTGCAGCAACCGGTTCAACACTGCGTATGCGTTATTCAGATGCGATTTTTGTGTCGTTTTGGGATTGGCTATGCCTCACGGTTAAGGTTGAATGCCACATTAAAATTATTTTTGGCCAATTATTCTACCACCCGCACGTTTCTGACGAGTTGTACGCTTCAATTACGCAGCTCCTCCCGCCATAAATTTAATCAAAAATCTCAAAAAAAGGCAGTGGGAGGAGACGCTAAGCCGATACTGGAGGCTAATTTTCGACTACGCTGACATTTTTATTATAATTTCGTGCTCGTTACCCGCTTATTATTCATCTACTGGTGACTCTCCCTCCATGCTGGTAATTTATGGCGCTTTAATTAATTGTTGAAGCACATTTATTACGGAATAATTGAACCGCAAAGAATGAACTTCCTTTAATGGCGAATGGGGAACTTTGTTCTGCCTTTTGCTTGGGCAGTTATGCTCCTACATTCGAATACTCTTATTGATTTATGGCCATAGTGACTAACACCTGTCACAGGGTAACACTAACCATCATTAATTATGGTTTACCATACACACAGAAATATCAATGATTACATCATCGGGTGAGAAGAAAGGCAGAGAAGAAAGGTCTTGCAGTCCAAAACTTTTTTCCATTTTGTTTTTGGCAAAAGTTATGTTAGAAGAAAGGAATGTACTGTTCATTAGGAGGGTATTTATTATTCTCTAGTTGATAAAAAGCTTTTTGGGAGGTACGAGTATAGTTAATCTCCACAGAAACGGAAATTACTCGAAAAACAAAACATTCTAACAAGAACAATTTTTGAACTAGCTTAGGTTAGGTTAAATAGTCGAATCAATTAACTTTAAAGGGAATTTTGCAGAAGGAGTACTCACATTTCTATTAGCTTTATTCCTATTATTTTTAATATTCCTACAGAAGAAAGGGTGTATATAAGTCCCTTCAGCTAAAGTTATATGTATCTCCCTCACTTTCTCACAGACAAGAAGCCAATCCACAATTACTCGAAATTCGCTTGGTATTCGCGTGTTTACAGCCAGCATCCATCAGAGTTGGAGATTTATTAAATCAGCTAACGCAATGAAATAAACTGCCAACAAATTATTGCGGCCATTTCCGCTGTGTTTGGCCAAAACGAGAGTAAAAGTGGCAGCCAGCGTGGAGCGTAAAGGCTCCCTCAATGGAGTGCCACAGCCAGAGCAACAGCAAGAGTTCCCCCCGATATGGCCGACATCCAGTTACCCAACCGGTTTGCGAATACTCCGATGCGGGATCCGAGCCGAGGTGAGCCGAGCCTCAGCCTGGAGCTGTGGCAACATATGTTGCAGCTAAAGCTGTTGCTGTTATTGTTATTGTTGTGGCAGTGTCTGCGGTTACGTGAGAATCGCTGGAGACGACTCCCGGCATAAGCGGACTTTACTCTTATGGGCGCGAGAGTGTGGTGCGCGCCTTAAAACCGAAAGAAAACAGCAAGAAAAAATCAAAAGGGGAAAATCACGTTTTCCTTTGGCGCGCAATTTTGTTACACTACCGAGGTAGGAGTATATACCCTGGACCAGAGAGCGGAGTTTCATGATTTTGAGGAAGTGCTTGAAACATGGAGGCGGCAACTCCTCCATGGCCCACTCTACTAATCCCTATATTCTTTATTATTAAAAATAGTTATTAAAAATAGTCCTGCAAGACCACATCCATATAACCTACAGCCTTACCAAACAAGATCCAATATCTGCCATTTTATCTACCACAAAAATAAATCATTCTTAGAGGGTATCTAAAACTTCGACGTCGAACGGTAGCCTTCTCTTTCTTCATGTTATTTTTGGTGTCTGCTGCTTGTCGAAATGGTAACACAACAACAATATAAAGCAGTCAACAAAAGTTGCGCAACAATCTCCCCCGCTCCATAAACCCTCCCCTTTTGCAGTACCATGCCGTCCCTCTTTCTGCAATTTACGCAACATCTGAAATTGCCCCAAAAGTTGACCCCAAAATAAAAACTCAAAAAACTTAACAAAGAATTCTGCAAAAAAATGTTAGAAACAAAGCCATAATTTAGGGGCCCCCTGGCGTGCCTTTAACGCTGCCCCACGGATGACCTTCACTGCCCCACTGCTTACAGTTTTTTAATTAAAATTCACTTCAATTATGATCCGTTTGCTCTGAATTAACTGGAGCAGACCAAGCCAGACCCATGGGATGGTAGTACGATGATAAATGATCTGAAAGAAAATGGCAATTTGATGGCTGCCTGCCTGCCTGCATTCTGAGCACGAACAAAGAGCTAATGAAGCCCACAAAAGCCCCTTCCAAGTCGATACGGTTTCATAGCAAAACTCATGTGGATATTGCATTGGATTCGGTGTTTGAGATTCAGGTTTGGGTTCGTGTTTTGGGTTGGTTCCGATTTTTTTTGTGTTTTTTGTGTTTGGGGAGTGTTTTGCATACTCGCCATCGAGACGAGACTGCTGGGAGAGTGCATGTTTCGATTGGTTTTTCGTTTCCCAGTTTACACATAATCAATGCGGTGGATAAATGCTTCCGGCACGGTGAGCCCAGTCATGAATCATGTGGCATGAAAACCCATAGAAAATATTAGGCAAAAAAATCTAGTTTAGGATGGAAATTACAAATTGGGGAAACACCAAAATGATTCATTACAAAAATATGCTGCTCCCAAACTTCAAGCTATTTTTGGTGTATAAAAAACTATAATTTTATATAATTTAATTAATTAGGGTACATTTGGGATGGCATTGAAGAAAAATGTGACATGTCTATGAGCCATAGAAATTACAAAGGAAATATGTACTTCCATCTAAACAGTTCATGTAGCAAACGAAAGACTCGAGACACAAACTTTGTGGAAAAACAAAAATGATTAATTCAAATGATGAGCCCACCTAACAATTAAATAACAGCAATAAACTATAATTCTATATCATTTTTTAGATAATTATTTAATGATAATGAAGGTAATAAGCGACACAAAATTGATATACAGGCCTAAACGTAAAGGTTTAACACACAAACTTGGGATAAAAGGACGCCTAATATTTGTCATTTTAGGTAAGAATTCAATTATCATAGGAACATAAAGTAGAAGTCATCTAGAGAAAGTCTAAAATCTTCAATGATTCATCTTACATGATTCCCTTGAACGCTTTTCGCTTTCAACAGACATTGAGCAATGCTTTGATGATCATCCAAGCAAATAATAATTTCTAATTGCTCACATTCCACATATGACATCAACAGCAGCAGCATTCAGCGAAATTCGAGACAATAGATTCAACTAATGAAACATTTCATTAGACACAAACTATTCCAAGAATGTGACCCACAACAGCAGCAGCAGCAGCAACAACAGCAGAAGTAGCAGCAGAAACAACTATTGAATTACACTTTGGATCTATGCCGAAAGAGATTCGACTTGGAATAGAGAGAAACACCAACATATTAGATAGGATGACTGACAGACAGACCCCACCAGAGCCTGCTGTCAGATTTCGCGCAGAGCCGCTGAGTTTTCGGCGGTGGGAAGCAGCTGTGCGGCAGCTAAAAATTGTATTAAATTTCATTAGATCTTTGATTTCTTTTTGTATCTGCAAAAATAAACGAACGAAAAAAAGCGCCTTGCCTTTTTTGGTCAGCGGCTTTTTCGGCTGTGGCACTTCCTGTTTGTCTTGGAGCTCCAACAAAAACAAAATAAAAAAACACTACGAGTACAGACAAATAGTGTAAGCGGTTATACAATTGAGTTGAATGTTGAACCATGTCTATAGCAAAGGCTAAAAGAGTGTGGGCTTTTGTAGAACCCGCCCCTCAAGCAAATCAGCCACGCAGTTAGTTGCCTGCTGCCGGCTGCCTGTCTTGTTTGTTCCACTCAAAAGCCATTCAATCAGTTCGCATTCTAAACATATACGTACGCCCCCAAGTGATCCATAGTCCATTTGCCTGCCATTGTTGGTAGTGTAACCCAGTTTTCCCAGCTGCTGCACTAATGCTAATTCTTACAAATAATATTGCTCGATTTCAGGCCAAACACATTCAGAGGTGTAACTTGCATCCCATCTCACTTGCAGCCAAGGCAGAGGGTATTGCCCATTCGATCTGCACCAGAAATTGCACTCGAGGCAGCAGCATTGCATCATATACCCAGATGCTCTCCATATTTGTAGCACTTGGGGTGTGATACCACAATTGAGTGTTGTGTTGTTTTGTTTGTGTTGTATGAATGTTACGAGTTTGGGATGTTATTGGCTGTAAAGTGCGAAATTCGCATAGCTCTCCAGCATGCCTTTGAATATAATAGAAACCCCCCCCACCCCACCACCAAACGGGGTATGATATGATAATCATGCAAGTGCCATGCACTGGACTGCCGCCTGTCAGTTATCAGGGTATGGGGGCTGTCAAAACCAATGTTCATCATAAAAATAAAAATTATTGAGGCACAAATGGTAATGTGTGTGTTGTGTTGTGTATGGTAATGCATGCCCGATGCATGCATGTGCCTCAAGGTCATCCAGAAGCGACGAACGTGGGCGGACAGCAGCACACACCTCTAGAGTTTTGAGCCCCCTTGTGGCACAGCAGAGTGGCAGCGGCGCTTCCGATAGTTTTCATCTTTTTTTTTTTGGTTGATACATTTATGGAAAAATGTTGCATAATAATGGAAGTGCGCTCCATAATGGGGCCACAAGAATGGTCAGACGGAGAGCTGTTGTACTGTGTGTTCTGTGCCCAATTTTTCGAGGCGTGAAAGAGGCTTGATTGGGGCCGGGCCGTTGTGTAATGGGGCTGGGCTCCCTGATGAAGGTCGACATTGCCATTAGACGGAGAGCAGAGACAGAAGCAGTAGCAGAGTGGAAAATTCACTCAATGTGACGCCTGACTCATCCTCTTGTGTCGTTTTGGCAAGTTCGTGTCTTGAGTCTTTTGTTTTTTCGCTTTGGTTTTGCACACTTCGCGCTTCGTCGCTAGAAATGTTTCCGCAATTTTTGGCACTGCACTTGGCAGCTTTGGCTGCCCCACTATCTCTCTATCTCTCTCTATCTCTGTCTGGTTTTGCTCCAATTTGTCACAGTTTGGCGCCCAACCTCCGCCCCACAAGAAGTGAATTTGGGCCAGCATAGAAATGAAACCAAACCGAAACCCCAAACGAACCTTTTGGTTTTTGTAGCTGGGCAACGGTTGACATTCGGCCCCAAAAGAGAGTGAAAGCTGCACGAAGCGCTGCCTGGCTGCCATCGAATTAAATTTCAGATCAGGCTCCAACTGCTGCCACTTCGATCCATCGACATGGGCCAATGCATTGCAAGTTGTTTCATTGCTCCGCTCGTGTTTTAATTTTCGTGTTGTTCAAAGTCGATTTTCATTGTCAGCCAGGGGGTGGGAGGGAGGTAGGTGAGTGTGAGCCGTGCGGGCATGCAACTGATTTTCTGGGCTTCTTCAGTGCCGCCACCGCTGCAACACACACAAATGCTAAATCGTATTTCATAATTGCTACCAGCACTTGGAGCACTTTGGAGCACTCGCGATGCACACATATTAAGCGAAATTAATCATAGTAATTGCTGGCAACAGCTCTGGCTGTGGCTCTGGCTATGTCTTGTGAGCTGCGTGTAAATGAACTCCGTCCGTCGCAGAGTAAACAGCTGTGGGAAAAGCACTTTTGGCAGGCAGACATTCCCCCCGCGACCAGTGCCGAGGCGCCATCTGTGTCAGCGTTATATGCAAAAAAAAAATAAATTCCTTAAAAGCCAACGCCAAACTATGTGTGATAATTTGTGTGTTTACTTTCGAATTTGAAATGGTAATTGGAAAATAGTGGAAAAAGGGCCAAGACAGGCCCAGTGGCAGCTGACTTTGGCATACTTTCGTTGCCATGCCAATTGATTAGCATCTGTGGAACAGCGCCTGCAGCTACTCCTTCTTCTGCACCTCCTCTCATATGGCATTCAGCTCATGCCACGTGCGTGGGACTCCACTGAGATATGGAGAGTATCCATACCCATGCCCATACGAGTGTGTATGTATTTCTCTCTGGCGACATTGTTTCGCGCTGTCAGTTCTTGTGTGGGCATTATGTCTGCCTGGGTTGCCTCGTTTGCAGTCTAACAAAAGCCAACTGGCAGCTTGTTGGCAGTTTAAACTGTCAGTTTTCAGCGATAGACAGCCAAATGAAATAATACTCGTAGAAAGAGCTGTAGCTAGTAGAAGGATTCCTTCATCAAAATAATATAATATATAATATAAAATGGAATGGAAGAACAAACCCAACTCAAATATACGGAACTATTCCCTACAAATCAGTTCACCTTTAAGGCTTGAAATCTATTAGCACCTCCCATAACATCATCATCCTCCATTTGTTGCGCTTCCCACATCACTCAATCTGCGAATGACCCTACGCTTCCATCCCCCGCGGTAGTTATGGCTGTGAAACGCCTTTGGATCCGCTTCCACTCGGTTGCAAAAAAATAAACAGCAGCTGTCTCTAATTTGTTTTAAAAGCCATTAAGAAAAAGTGCAAAATTATTCTGCGAGATCTGTATCTATCTCTAGAGGCAAAATCGTGTGAACCACACTGAGGAATAGCCAAAATAAAATCTCAAATTAGCCAGCTCTATCAATCAAAAGGAATTGGGTCACAGATCCATAAATATTATACATAGGAATTTCTTCAAAAAAGTTGCAACATCATTGGCCAAAAATGTATCCGTGAAATGCAGAAAACAAAACGCCAAAACAGATGAAAGCCTAAGGCTAAGGGCGGGTAACCTATTGAAAATGATATTTAATAATATGTAATTGTGAAATGAAAAACATGAGAAACAGAAATCAAATGGAAGTCGCAGACGAAGCTATATATCACATCTGGGGAGGGGACGGGAACAGAGGGAAACTTGCATAGTTACTGGACGCCATAAAGGTGTCTGGCTCTTGTCTTTGGCGTCTGCCTTTGGCTTTGGGGATGGGCTGGCTGTGTGAGAGAAGAGAAATGTGAAACAAAATGGCAAAAGACAATTTGAATTCATTTCTGTCACTCACTCCATGAAACGTTAGGGCCTGGCCTATTCCGCCATCTCCTCTCAAGGTCACATAAATAATAAAAGTAAAATGTGGCAAGTGATTCCTCCACTTGCTAATTAATTCAGTTGCGCTAATTTTGGTCTCGTTTTGGAAGCGGAAAAAACTCATTTGCATACGCTTGGATGATCTTCTGTCTTTCTATGAAGATCTTTGCGCAAGTAGTACCCTACAAGTTCCCCCTTTGTCGAGAAAAAGTTGCCCACGTGCTGCTGCTGCCCACTCATCTCATAGATACACTCATAGATACACTCATCTTGTATCTGACAACAGTATTCTCATCTGCCTCTATCATCATCATCCGTCATTCGTCTTTCCGATGCTGATGCTGAAGCCGTTGCCGATGCCAGTGACCTTTGCTTTTGGCTCTTGATTTTCATTTCTCACTCACATTTTTGTGTCTGCCTCTGCCAAGAGGGAAGATCAATATCTGGGGGATGCCGCCATGTAATGCACGATTTCTGTTGAAACTCCAGACAATTGAGGCCTCCGTAAAACAGTTAGGGAATAGCGTTAGCGCTTCAGCCCCTCCATTCCTCTGTGTTTGCTGTTTTTTCGATCGAGTCTCTCCATTTATATTCAAATTTCTGGCAAAATAATCTCTCTAATATGGGTCAAAAACTTCAGGTTTTCACGTTGCTCGTAGCGAAATATGTGTTAATCGTTTCCCATGAATTATTCAATAGATCTTATTTTATTTTGTTTTCTTATAAACAGAGAGAGACATATCTATCGTATTGATAGTGGGAGGAGGGAGGCAGTAGAGGGTTTGTGTTTGTGATTTACAGATGGCAATTAAGTGTTTACAAAAATTATCAAACAATTTAGTTTGGCAGTTCAACGAGTATGTATCTATATGAAAATCAAAATGGCAATAAACCTGTAGAACGCTTAAGTGCTGGCGCGGATTGACGAATCCCCAGTGCCCCGGTACTCCCAAGCTTGAAGTGAAATTAGGGCCACAATTTATGACAATTGTCCAATGCACTCAACAATTCTCAAAAATCGCCGCTTAAGTACGCTGTGTCCACTTGGGTGAAAATTGCGGTGGCCAGTGACTATTAATCAAAGTACGAGACAATGCGGCGACGCTATTAAATTTCAGATGCTTCACATAAATTGTTTGGGGCGAGGTCAGTCGGATGGATGGGTAATATATGAATGGCCAGAGGGATTTACGATCCATTTACGCGGTGATTGAGTTTCGAAATTTGTGGGAAATCTTTAAATGATGTCAGCAAAGAAAACTAAAGAAAAACAACCCAGACAGTAGGCCTTGACTTGGAACTTTAGCATAGAATTTTCCGATATGCCTAGTAAATATCTATGATTAGTTATTCCCAATTCAACAGTCGCACGGAGCAGTGCTCGGAAACAAAAATATATTTTAAACAAATACATTTTATAAATTTCAAAAAATTCGGTAAATAATAAAAAAAAAAGTATTAAAAAAATTAAAGTTTAATTTAAAAAATTAATTTAATTTTTTCCATAGTGATGCCTTTTAACGATAGCCCGTACTCCGCCGCTAACAATGCACCGGCCTCACGCATATCCGCGAGTGTAGCTGGACCTGGAGCTACGTCGGTAGGCGGCGGTGCAGCTGGCGATGGCGCGGACTTTGCCAGGCTAAACTCTGTTGGTGCCCATGGATCCAATCAGTCGCTGGATGATGGCCCTGCGCCGTTTGCCACATGCCGCAAGCCGCGACCCGACCCGAATTCGCTGCCAGTACGCCAGTACCTGGACCAGACGGTGGCTCCCATCCTGCTACACGGACTGCACGCCTTGGCTAGGGATAGGCCCACGGATCCGGTCAGCTATTTGGCCACGTATTTGCTGAAGAACAAGAACCGCTGTGACGAGGTAAACACAGCGTTCATGTAAACAGACACGACACAACATAATTCCCGAGCACTTGAACAACACTAAACGGGACACTTGAACCACATTCTACACCTATAGATAGATAGATAAATCTTACGTTCATTCAGCAGCACTGGGCCGACGTCAGCACACCAGCAGTCCGCACACTAAACTACACCCCACAAGATTTAGTTCATTCATAAGAGCAGCCGAAAACTCAAACAAGGGGGCAGTGCAATTCCCATAGCCCACCTGCCGCAGTTACACATTTGTCCAACTCTTTTATTCGCCGATTTTATAGACAATTGACTCTTGTACACAATTTATCGCTGATTATACTTGTTAAACACTCACCAAACAGATCTTCATGTTTTATTTTTCCTTTTGTATCCCTTTGGGGTCTTTCAGGCACAAGAGATCTTGCCTGCACACGCACAATTTTACTCCGAATTACTCGTATCTTTGGCCAATTTTGGCAACCCTCATCCCCAAGATTCGACTGTAATAATAATTATCCCAGGGCGGGAGATGAGATCTCCAAGTGTGTTCCGCCGCTCAATTAGTTCCGCCGCTCCAGAGTGATAGAGAGAGAGAGGAAGCAGAGCTGTGAAGAGAATTGCACTTCCGATTGCCGACCCACGCGAGATGCAATCTTCAGATTCGTTTATGGTTTCGGTTTCGTTTTGCGGTTAAAGTTTCGCGTCGCGCGGTGTCCGTGGTGTCCGTCTGTACAGCTCTCTGGCTCGATTGCCACTAAATTCGCAGCACGCTTAGTTGACGGTTTAAAAACTTCAAATTCAAATCGAGAAACGGTTGGGTATTCGGTTGGCGCTCGTTTCCAGCTCAGCCAAGCCAGCCCAGCCAGCTCTGCCAGCACTGGCTTATTCGGCAGCGATTCGAGTCGATTCGTGTGTATCGTGTCTGTCAGAGCACCAGAGTGGCGGTGTCTGCTGGCAGCCAGAGCGGGCTCTACAGTGTCTGCTGTGAGCCAAAGCGGTCTCTAAGGTCTGGTCTGTTGGATTCTGTGCCAGAGGTAATCTGCTTGGGGGCCAAGTACTCTAAGCCGATTTCTTTGCCGCCTCTCGGCCCACCCGCAGTTGTCATGCGCCAAAATCGAACTTGTTCCGGCTGCCTGGCTTCTACCAACTTACATCAGATCTACCCTCCACATATGTGAATAGAACACTTGGAATAGTTAAATCTAATTGCAAAGTATCGCACCTCAGTCCAAAGATCACATCACATCTCTCAGTGCTATTTCATAATGCACAACAAGTGGAGGAAGGGAGGGGGGATCAATGCGATCTCTTATGGGAAGGTATCTCGGTTTTCGAAAGGGTTTTTTGCATTTGGCCTTGGTATTTTGTTAGATCTTGAAGTGCGAAGCAGAGTGAAGTCTCGCTCGACAGTTTCCGATCAGTTAAAAACTTATTAAAAATATTTCGTTTCTTTTTTGGGCAATTTTTATCGCTCAATATCCCTTGGGGGCTAGACCAATAATAAACATAACTTAAAATAAAAATCTTTTGGGGGCGATTCGCAGGTTGAGTCAGCAAATCAAACAATCTATGGACAAAGGGGAGCCAAAGCCCAAGTGCGTTAGATCGATAAGGGAAATACACTTCTCCAAGTAAAAGTTTCCTTGATTTGAAACATTTGACGCTGTTTTCCTTTGCAAAGTTTTATGCAGGTTCGACCTATGGAAAGAGTAAAATTAGTTACAAAACAATAATGTTTATATATGGAACACTTCTAAAATTTATTTCAAACTTACTCAGACTCTCAGCTAGAGTATGGATATAATAATCATAATCCATTAGAAAAATAGGAAAAGACAAAGCATAAAACAGCAACAACCCACATCGATAAAAAAAAGTCTGGCAGCTGTTGTTGTATGGAATATCCATATCTATTTGTATCTCGAATTCAAGCTCGACTTAATTAAAAAATCAAAGACGTTGTAATTATTTGTCTCGCCTGCAAAAATTACGAGTATGTATGAGTATATGTCGCTCTGCGGCGGTAAGACAACAACGCTCGAGATCTTAAGACCCCGAAAGTGGAGTTGCAAATTGAACTTGCTTTATTTTGGCGCCACAGATAAACGAGATACGAGTGCGGTGTGGTGTTATGTGAAGTGCGTGGGTGAGTGGCTGCCAGCGACGCCGTCTAATGGAGCCAGATAACCTCAAGGCCTCTCAATTCAACTGTGAGGCTGTGTGCCTGCGATCACGATGGATGCATTTGGATGGCTGACGTCACGCTCATCGCCCACAAATGAAATCATTTTCCTCACCCTCACACTCGCAAGTGGTTCGGGAGGGAGGCATAGAAATAAATCAGCGAGCATTCCACGAATAGTCACAGCCCAAAAGCTAGAGCTACAATATATTTGCCAGCGAGTTCAATAAACAAAACTACGGGAGAATTATAAATGCAGCACACACCCATCGTACGCTCTACGCTGTACGGCCCTGACGCCTTGACGGCCCACTGTGCGTATGAGCGACGCGGAACAAGACGCAGTACTGTGTACATTGAGTTTTCGACCTGCTAGGAGAGTATTATTTATGCGTTACATGCTAAACTCGATAAACCAAAACCAAAATTTGAATATTTCACATGACACATGCGACATGCACCTCTACGACAAATGTCGATCCAGCCACATCAATAAGCCCCCTGAGTCGACTATTTGAAATGAAATTGATTGAAATGCGATTAGCAAAATGAATATCAAAGCAAGCAAACAATTTTAGTGAGTTTTCTGCGATTTTCAATAACCACACTTATGGCATTCACTGTAGCAGAGGGCAGGCACACACACTTTACCGGAGGGCAGTTGCAGACCTCCATGATACGAGTATTGGCATATCGGAGTCGATTGGTAGCCTATTTTTATGGCATTACTTCGATTGTTTTTAGACCATTTTCCTGCAGTGTCACGAAACTTTTGTTTGACAATTTTGTTATTCACTTTATACAATTCAATGAGATAATCGCACTATTATGTCACCCTAAACTGGAGCAATCAATGGGTTAGGGGGGTGTCACAGGTGTCACTAGTCTACTCTGCCCGGAAAAATATCATTCACTTGGGTGATCTCAGCCCTCGACTGAGAGAGCTGTAAAAGTTCTATCTAGAGCCAAAAACCCCCACGCAATGCCCCAACCAGCATAGATTCGAAGATCCCATGTAGTGCTCCACTTTGGTCGAGCGGACAAACAGCATGACCTACGCTAATAGAGAAGAGAAAGAGCTACCCAAGACAGGCAGATTTCAAACTAATTTTAGAAGTTGCGACATCGCCAAAATATCGGACCACAAGAACAGTAACAATAACAACAAAAGTTCGGTGAACTGCACAAAAGGTATATTAAGACAAAGCCAAGCTTCATTAGCTCTCCCATCATCTTGGGCATCGGGAAAAGAAAGCAGCAGCAGAACACACCACCAATACCATCCACCTTACATCCCAGGTCCATCGATTGGCTCTAAGATCAGATGGCGAACAAAAAAATGCACACAAATCAATGTTAGAATTTGGAATTCCAGGAGAAACAAAGCGGAGAAAGATGGAGAAGCTGGGAGAATGGAATGGGATAAGTTGGGACGTGGACCAAGACTGAGACGACGAAATTCTTGGTATGTCCAAAGAGTAAATTGACTTTTTATAGACAGTGACAACAATTAATTATATTTTAATATGCTGCGCAGCTTGCATGGCCCCGACAGCTTATTAGTTTATAGTATCAACAATACAAATTAGAGAGCGATGAGAGCCCAAAGCGAACCCCAAAACAGAATCCGAATCCGACCTCGAAGAAAGGCCGTCGCTTCTGCTGCTCCGGCTGCCAGAAAGTCATCGAACTTTCTCCGTGTGTTCTTTCTGGCGACTAATTTCTATATTATGTGTCACGGTCCCCGCCTGTCAGTCGATTTATTAATTATCTTAACAGCAGGCCATCATTTATAATCTTTGCTATCGGACCGTTTCGGGGAGTCAATCTTCCCTTGGAGTCTGTTACAATTTGTAAATGGAACTTGGGAGTTTGCAGAGTTCGCAAGGTCGAACAAATTTGCCCAAACACAATCGCCAGCTATTAAGTGTGCACTCGCCCCCTCCCGTTACGTCCCCACCCAGATGGGAATCCGAGACCATAGCACCAGCACAAAGAACTGAGAACAGAGATTTTAAACAATCGCGTGAGCACAAAAATTCGCAACAGACGCTGATCTTTGTTTGCTTAATTCGCTTTGTAAGCTGTGGTAGACGCACAGCAAAGTCGCATGTCAGCGAATAGAATGATTATGGATATATGTTTATGGTGTTTCAGTGGCCACTTTCGAGATTCTCAGATGTAATTAATAGCATCTTATGAGTGAGCCGCAAATGAATTCCATGACATAGGCGCCCCAAGAAGTTGCAGAACATACAGCGTAGGAGTCTTGAGCCAGATTCAAGACGGCGGCAGACTGTGGGCCGACAATCCGGGAGAAACTCTTTTCAATTCCATTTCCCCCTTAAGAACTGTTGCTTTCGTTCGATTGGAGGCGTTGCGATCGTAGAGGGACGTGGGCGTCACATTAGTTGATGAGGTTACACTGATTGTTTGTTATTTCATACTGAACTCGTTTCTTGTTGAACATTAACTTTAGACTTATGGAATAGATTTGTTTGCGACACTCTAAGCGAAGCTAATTCAAGGAATTCGATGTTTTGGCGCTCTCGTGGCGTATGGCATTGATGAGCTCGTAGTTTACCAGAAAGGTTAGGCGCAGTCCGCACATCTCCATTGTGCAGTTGTGGGCCAGGCGCGTCTTCATGCCCGTCAGCAGGGGCGTACCGTTGATGAAAATGGCCCGCTTGCCCTCGTTGGCAATGAAGAAGTCGCCGTTGCTGCGCAGCTTAATGGTGCCCTGGCGGCGAGAGATCTTTGCAGCTGCACCCTCCAGCGACAGATCCACATCAATCAAATAGTCCTTGGCATCGCGTCCGAATGTTATCTCCTTGGAGCGCATCAGGTAGCGCACCTTGCGGCCGCACAAACAGGCCAGGGTCTGGCTGTCGAACTCCGAGGCAGCCGTCGGTCCCAGCACTGAGTCCACCAGGACGCCCCAACGCGACAACTCGTTCTCCAGAACGCGAATGTCCCGCTTGTTGCGGCGATCCGTAAGGGCCATTTCCATTTCCAGTGCCTCATCGCGCGTTTCATTTACATCATTCTCGAAAACCTGTTCCTCTGCATCGGAAAAGCTCAGCAACGTCTGCTCCAAGCCATGCAGCGGCTGCACGACCTGGTCCGGCAGCAGGCTGTACTGCTTAAGGAGCAGCCAGTGGTTTTGCAGCGACTTGGCGGTGCGGGCGCAGTAGAAAACACCCGCATTCTTGTCGAGCAGCTTCTGGAAGTGATCCAGCTTTGGTGTTTCGGTCTGTCGAATGGAGAAAGGATTCCATGTATATCTTTATATTAATAGTCAAATTCACATCTCTGCTTACACTACTGATGGTTCCCAGCATTTCCTCCTCCTGGATACTGTAGGGCGCCTTCCTCTGTATGGACTCTACCATTTCGGGGTGCAAATTACGCATTGCGGAGACGGCAATCCGCGACACTGCCGGCTCGTAGAGCAGTGCATACCAACGCTGCTGCAGCTCCTGGGCCGTAAACTTGCAAGAGAACTTAACACCGCGATGGATCAAGCGCAAATCGTTCGTCTGCTGAATGCCGATGATCAAAGCCATGTCGTCGCAGGGCTTCCAGCGTCCCAGATCTTTGGTGGCCAGCTGTGCCAAAGGACGGCCATTGCGGCGCTGCGACCTCTTGTTGGTCGGACGCCCGGCACGTACGGTCGAACGTTTTTCGGTGGCTGGAGCACGTTCCACGACTGGCTTCGGATTCACTGGCACAGCTTGAGGCACTGGTGTGACTGGCGCTACAGCAGTGGGCGTGGCCAGGGGAGCAGTTGCCACGGTACCACTTGGAGGCCCAGGCAAAAGGCCCTCCACTAATCCGGGTGTAGAAGGAGTCTCCGGCATGGCAACGGGTGCTGTATGCATATTAAGGGATGTGGGTATTCCCATTAGAGCTGGATAGTTTTGGGAACTAGTGCGTGGCCTGTCCCGCCGGCTGGGGTCTGCTCCTCCACGACTTGTGGGCACAGTGATGTTGTACTCGACGATTTCATCATCAAAACGCTTTCGTTTGATGGTGCGCGAGGAGCTATCAAACAGAAGGATTACTTAGCAAAGTTTGGGGACTGCATAATTGTTCCCTGACTCACCTCCTGCGCTTCTGGTCATTTTGCAACTCAATGGGAAGATTGTGAATTGGATTTCGCAAAGGAGTCGCCGTCACAGTGGCTGCTGCTGCTGGCGTCGCTGGCAAGGAAGTCACGCCCACGGTGGAAACGGTAGGGTTCGAAATAACTACGGGCACAGGAATGCTCTGCGTGTTGCCAGGCGCTACATCGTTGGTATCAACAACAATATGGGCACCTTCCATTGCAAGTAGTTTAGCTATTATTTAGAGTATTTAGAAAAAAATAAATTTTTTTTCACAGACGCTACAACAATGTGAAGCAGTGTGACCGCGGATTTATCGACAAAATATACCGTCTCACCCTCAAAAATGTAAGCAAATATACCTTCCATTTTTCATAATATACCGTAAATATACCGAGGAAAATAGCTTGCTATGACTTTAGCAAATGTCTGGCAACTCCAGTGTATTGGGCCCACAAAAGGAAAATTTGTTTACAATAAAAATAGAAAATTAAGCTAGAACGGCTGACTAATTAAGCAGAACGACTGATGCACAGCGGGACTTTAGCATTGCCTCGATGAGTGGGCAAGCCAACTTTCACACAAGCTATTCGAAATACACTGGGAACTATGAGGTAAAGTGCGGCCAACACACAAAACAATGCATTCGTCCCACTACATATGACTAATATCGATTTGCAGTTTGCATTACGCGGAATCGGAATCTTCGCAGTCAGAGAGCAAAATGGACATCTCCGAGACTCCCACGGACTCGACAGGCATCTCCCCGCTGGCCGATGAGTGTACGCAGGTCACTGCGTCCCAGGTGAAACCCATTCTGGTGGAAGAAAAAGAGACCAAGACGATCGCTACCCTGGACAATAGAATAATACGATCGGAGCTGCTGTCCATCGAGACGATGCCACAACGACAAATCATTGAACGCACGCTGGCCAACAGCCACCCGCTGATGTCGCCCACAAACACAGACTCGGACTCGGAGCCGTTTCAGACCAAGCGGAACAACTTTCCCGACGTGGTGCCCGCCACCGAGGCGGCCGTGCAGGCGAAGAACACAATGAATCAACAAGTACCCCGCAACAGGCCGCAGGATGCCAAAGTCAGCCTTCTGAGGGCCAATAGCCCCGACATCCTCAGCGAATCGGATGCGGATGTCTCGCAGTATCTCGCTGCTGTCGAGTCCAATTTTCAATCTGTTTCCCTGCTGCCCAAAGCCAACGGCAAGAAAACGAAGCGCGGCAGTACCCTGCCAGGGGGCGAGGACATCTCAAGCCTGGACTCCATCTCAAATCATAGCTTCGATGATGATGAGGACATCGAACACAATCTGGCATCGCTCAGTCCCTCGAGTTCGCTCATCGATGGCCTGGATGGGGAGGATGATGATGATGATTGTGAGGGTCCTGAGCTGCTGCCCGACAATGACGATGATCTGGACCTGGAGTTTGGTCTGGCTACAACGCCAACGCCTCACACTCCGGCTGCGGCGACTCTACCACAGTATTCGGCTGCCGAAGAGCGGCGTGACTCACGCAACTGGCAGAAAATCACACTACCCGATGGACGCACGCGAGAAATCGACATGCGGGTCATTGAGCCCTACAAGCGTGTGCTGTCGCACGGCGGCTATCTGAAGTCTGGCGGTCAGAATGCAATAGTCATCTTCTGTGCCTGCCACTTGCCGGATCGATCGCGGGCCGACTACAGCTACGTGATGGACAATCTGTTCCTCTATGTGGTGAAGACCCTGGAGCAACTGGTGACGGATGATTATGTCTTGATCTACTTGCATGGCGGCTCAAATAGGCGCAATGTACCGCCCTTTCCATGGCTAAAGCGGTACGTATGACTATAATTTCTGATTATTTTATCATTGGTTGCCTTTTTGCCTTTTTTAGATGCTATCAACTGCTGGATAGACGCTTGCGCAAGAGTCTAAAGCACATGTATTTGGTGCATCCAACCTTTTGGATCAAGTCTTTGGTATGGATGGCACGTCCGTTTGTCAGGTGAGCACCTAACAATCGTTACTTCCTTTTCGATTATAGAAATTTGATATTTGGTTGGCAGCACAAAGTTCTGGCGCAAACTGATTTATGTTAAATCTCTGGAGGAGCTCGGTCTGCATGTGGTTGTGGAGAAGGCAGCCATACCGGAGAAGGTGAAGCAGTTCGATGCCAAGCGACATTGAGAAACTGCAAAATACTCTCTCTCTCTAGACTTGTTTCATTCAAACGCGAAAACACTCACCATTTGTGTTTCAGCATTCACTCCACCCCCTCCCCACCCATCTTCATCGACTAATTGATTATTTGAGCTATCTCTCTCTTTATCTCTTTTACTCGCTATGCTTTAATTTAAGATCTCAATCTTTGTGATACTTTATGTTTGCGTTCTCTCAGACGTAGCTCTTATACCCAACTTCCCTGCGCGCGAGTGTGAAGCAAAAGGAAGCGTTTTAGCAAAACATCGAACAAGTTTTTGTAGTTCTTTATTGGCAGACGATATAACTCTTGTATTAGTAGGCACATGCATATGTGCCTAGGATTCCTATACACACAAACACAAACATATATAAATATCATAGTTATTATCGTATAGCTTCCGCTTCATACAATACAATATACATATAACTATATTTTGTAATGGAAAACAGACATCATAAGCAACCAGAAACCACCAAAACTTCCAAAACATGTTACCTTTTCTTTGTAGTTGCAAACAAAACGAGACGACACGAAATAACTGAATTTAAACATAAGTAATTGAAAATATTTAGCTGAATTTTGCATTCACTGCATATTGTATATCCCCCGAAACTGTTTCGCCACCGCACGAAGACCTATGACCACTGAGACCCCATACAAGCTAATCGTACACACACACATAATCGTAATACTCGTACTCGTATTCACCATTTGTAGGAAGCCCCCGTTTAGTCTATAAGTGATACATATAGTGACCATTCTTGAAGAACGTTTGATATTTGTAAAGTCTACACACGCCGAGCAACACACATGTAGGATCTCCCTCTCTCACTCTCTATATATAGATGGATGGAAGATAATCTGACGTACAATTTAGGCAATATAACCGATGGATATTACGATCGACATTTTGTTGGTTTCCTTTAATTGCTTTAAAGTTTAAACAATAATAATAATAAAGTGCAAGTGCAAGATGATTTTTTATTTATTATGCAAAAACGCTCTCTCTTGAACTATGAGTAATAGCTCTGATTGCAGTCCCACAAACCGTTATCCTCGTGGAACTGAATGAGCACCAGCTCATAGGTGACTATAGTGCCTGCCACCTGCACGAAAAACCATTTAATTAATAAAGCTTTTCCTATGCAGAATCGATTCCAGGCTTACACTCAACACCAACTTTCGTGTGAGATGGAAAAACTTCATGCCACTGAGTGCCACCTCATCGCTGATAATCTCCTCCGAAAAGCGCTTGACTTCCGGACACCATGAATCCTTTGGCACACAGCGCAGATATCGCAGAGTAACCCGCGATTCGTCATGCACACTAGCGGAGTACAGAGACACAGCCAGCGTGCGACCAATGAGGAATGTCAAGGAGAAGTAAAAGTAAACTGCATGGGCCACCGACGGCATGGTGCTGCCAATGGGAAAATGCATAAATTAACAGCTAAAAGTGCCACGAGATTATTGTACAAACTTCAAGCTACGCAAAAGCTGAACGCATATGAAGTAGAGGTTGTTCGAAAAGGATACCATAGTGATGAGGGAAATGGCATCGTCCATTCTGTCGCACAATATGCAAATGTTTCGGTATTGAATGCGACGCTCCGACCAGTATGAAGGCGCCATGTGCTAAAGGAAGATACAATGAGTGGCGAAGAACGAAGTAAGGAAAACTGTGTCACTCACCATTCCCTTAAAGTTTTTCAAGTCATTGTTCAGCTGTCGAAACTTTGCTGCCAAACCAATGCTGACAATCATCACAAACACGTCCATATAGTTCCATATAAACGTGGAATAGACATTCTGGAACTTTCCCCACATGGCCAAGGTCGTGGAGTAGCTGGTCACGTAGAAGATCTCATCGTTGGTGCGCAAAAAATAGTTCTTGATGGGGTCAGCGGTGCTATTGCAATAGCTTGCATAATTAATGGCCGATATCATGCTGAGTAGGTGCTCCGCTGTGGTTATAAAACAGAATTTATAATCATTTCTTATTTGTCCTCGTATCTTACCAAAGGAAAGCATCATTCCCACAAGCATAACCATCCGAATGGTGTGTCCCATCTGGCACTTTGCCAGTTGCGATGGATACTGCGGCAAGCCCTGCTCCACTTCATGCCAGTACATCATCAAATTGGGCCACTGCTGCGCCAGCCTAAGAGCCACAATGAGAACCAACAGCACAGAGCCGCGAAAGATGATGGGCTTGACGCTATTGAAGCTAATGGGATTGTTCAACACCTTGAACAGGGAGAGTCCAAAGTTTGCCAGACTGGAGGCGATGAATACCAGACTGAAGCCAGTTCGTACGTTGCGCCAGGAGAAGCTTAGGTCTCCCGGATGCTTTCCTGTCACTCCCTTTACCGGCATCATGGCAAAAAACTCTGCCACAAGCAGCACCCTTCCCACGGACTGGTGGAAACTGCCATCACTAAGGAATGTTTCCCTCGAGCCGCCAGCCATTTCTATGGGAAGATTTACATATATTAGAGGAACAAATGGAGGAATGTGGTATACCAACTTGTCGTGCGTTTCCGACACTCATACTCCGATTTCTTATGATCTTTGTAGGCATCGCAGCTCTGCTGAAACACCTTATTGCGGGCACTTATGGATGAAGATGAAATATTATTCACTTTACGATTATTATTTTCAACTATTTACTTTTCGTGCATTACATCCAACTTTCGCTTCAATGGTGACCTCGAGTGCTTCTTCAAGCGATGGAGCTTTCGTTCGAGTTTTGCAGGCAGAAACTTCATCCTGCGTTGCGGCTGTGTCCAACTTCAAAGGACTACTGCTGGAAAAAGGGTAGCAGCCAGAAAAGCGAATTTCCGAATGGCCATTAAAAACACCTGTTGTTTTGCACTTTGTCTATAATTAAGGCAAACGGCCACAATAAAACTACACACAATTTGTGGCCCTCTACATTAGCCATCGTGGCAGATAAACGCAGTCGTTTCCTCCTTGTTGAACTGCAGCAGAATCAGTTCGTAAGTCACGATAGTTCCTGCCACCTGCACAGGGTATATGTACATATGGTATTCAATTAATCGACATGACTAAGGATAATCCATTTGCATGTACGGACCGAAATGACAACGCCACGCGTCAACCGAAAGAACTTCATGCCCGTCAATGCCACCGTGTCCATGTGAACTTCCTCAGAAAACCGTTTGAGCTGTAAATAAAAATGATTACTTTTTCTGAATGAAATAAAATGGAGGTGCTGTGTCCTGGCTTACCTCATCGCACCAATACTCTCTGGGCACCAGGCGAAAGATGCGCAGCGGTCGCTTGGACTCATCATTGATGCTGGAGCTGTAAAGTGACAGAATGAGTGTACGGCCCAGCAGATACGTGAGCGAAAACCAAAAGTACATGGTGTGCGAAACAGAGGGCTTTGTCCTGTCAAAAATAGCATTAAAAGTAGCCACGATATACAAGGCCATAGCTTACTGCATGCTCTTCAGTATCTTGCCACAAATGAAATACAAATTGTTGCTGAAGCAGAGAAGAGTTATGGTCGAGATGCCATCGTCTACGACTTGACAGAGCTTGCAGAGGTTCCGGAAATTGACTCTGCACTGCATCCAGTAGTCCACTGTGGTGGCCTGCAAATTGAGAAACAGCTCTTGGAAGTAATTATTTTCCTATGGCTCTCTCCTTACCGATCTTGCCTCGCGCTGCATGTAATCGTTGAGTTGGCGGAAACGTGAGGCAAGTGCCACACTGACGGCCATCACGAAAATGTCGTTGAAGTTCCAGGCAAAGGTGCTCAGCACATTGATCGCCTTCCCCAAAAGACCCAGGAAAGTAGTATAGTCAACGAAATGGAACACCGTCGAGAAATTAAAGTACAGAAAGTTATCGATGGGATGATCGGGCCAGCGCGGACAAGCCACTGCATAGGTCAGCGTGGATGTCATGCTCATCAGATGCTCCACTGCAAGGGAAACACAATTTAATTTCATTGATTCCTGCCGTCAAGCCAATGCTTACCCAGCGAACATGTGGTGGCCACCAGCGTAATCATCTTGATGTGATGGGCCAGCGATTGTCGTTCCTTTGCCAGCTGCAGCGGCGGCAACTTGGCCTCCACTGCCTGCCACTCCTGGGCAATGGCTGGCCATCGTCTTGCGAGCTGCAAAAATGACACCGAGATGAGGAATATGGATCCGTAGAACATCATGGTCTCCACCGAATCAAAGTCAAAGGAAACATTTGTCAAGAAGGCCACGATATAGCCAGCGGTAATGCCAAACGAAATCATCATTGCCAGGGCATAATATGTGCGGACACTGGACCAGGCAAAGGTCAGATCTTCGGCCAACTTTGAGCCTATGCCCCGCACAGGCATCAGGGCAAAGATCTGGGCAATAATGAGTACTGACAAAAAGGGAAACAGTAAGTAAGGAAGGAAGGAAGGAAGGAACATTGCCCTGAATCCTTTACCTGGTTTGATGGCCTCTTGGAATGAGCCGCTGTACGTGTAATCATCATTTAGGGCACGACGCAAGAAACCTCTCACTGCAAAAGTAGAAAAACTATTAAAAAAATCCGAATCCCGAAAGATATTCCACTTACTTTTGGAAAACAGCAAATGTTGCGGCTGCTTGGATGTCCCCTTATACTTGAGGATTGCCAGTGTAATACTATCGAAAAATGGTGAAAGATTAGCATTGGGATTACTTAAATGCATGCACATACTCGCTGCCCACTCGCGATCTTCGCCAGAACTTAATGCGAGCAACGCCTTTGTATCGCTTAGCTGGATCCCCCGTTGTCCTGGCCATGCTCGCAGCTCGACTAACCACTGAATGAAACCCACAAGCGAATACTTCAAGCCAAAAGCGGGGTGCGCTGTGCTGCTTGTTCCGACTAATTGTTGGTGTCCGTGCCAATTGTGCGGCTTATCTTGTGCATAATCTTTTGTGCAAACAAATGCCAATTGCTGACAGTTTGACAGTTCCATGAAGTTCTTTGCATTAGAGGAAAGGAAACGGGAACGGGAACTGCTGGAGGGAAATTACGAGAAGAAAATGCTCATGGAGGAGCCAGCACCGCGACTGCAAATGCTCTTTTGCACCACTGCGCCCTCCATTTGGTTGATCAGAACCAGCTCATAGACCATCATAGTAGCGGACATCTGAAAGAAGTCATCGTAAAAGATCATCAATAGGGTAAAGATTCAGAACAAACCGTAAAGATCAGCCTTCGAGTGAGCACAAAGTAGCCCTTTCCACTGAGTGCAAAGGTTTCGTTGCGAAGGATTTCGCTCAGGCGCTCCAGTTCTATGCTCCAGCAGTTAGTGGGCACCTCATCGAGCGTGTAGAAAATCTGCTTGGCCTCTTCGGGGATGGAAGAGGCGGCCAGCATCATGTTCACGATGCGACTGACAACGTAAAGCAGACAGAACCAAAAGTACACCTCATCCAAGACAGCTCCTTTGACTCTAAAAAAAAAAAGGAAAAATACGTCAGAGAATTTCTTGGGTAGTCCTCTTCACTCACTGAAAACTGTGATAGATTTGAACACAAATAAAGTACATATTGTGGGCGCAGGAGACGAGCACCAAGCCAGACAGTTCCTTGTCATACAGCTTGAGCAGATCGTTCAAATCTAAGAGATCGTAGCGCACCTCTTGCCAGAACTCATCGCTCATACGCTGCCCAATGTGCTGGCGGATGCGCCAGTGCAGCTGCTGGAAACGCATCTGCATGCCCCGACAGATCAGTATCAGAAATATGTCCACAAAATTCCACACAAAAGTCATGGAGAGGGTGCACCACTCCACATACAGCGCGAACCACGTGCTATAGGGCAATGTGGAGAACAGTTCCTGGCGCTCGCGCAGGAAGTAGTTATGCCAGAAGTCAATGTCTAGATGGCATTGCCGTATCTGCTTGCAGTTGCTCCACACAGCGCTACCCACGTAGGTGAGATGCTCGCACAGGGCAGTCACCAGTAGAACGATGGCCCAGAGGCGCAGGCGTTGGCTAAAACACCGGCCAATGGGGCAATCGTAGTAGGACTGCTGAAAGATCTGCTCGCACTCCGATGTCCTACGAATGATGTGGGGCCAGCGTGGTGCAAGCAGCAGAAAGGATCCAAAGCAGAAAATACAAATTACACTAAAACTAAGTGATCCTGCAAGGAAATCAAAAGAATATCAAATGTATGGCACAGATCTGAGTCTGCTCTTACCTATGGTGTAAAGCTTCAGCCCATTGTGGAGCACAAGCTTGGCCGACAGCACGAAATCCAGGAAAACAAAGCAAAGCACGGCCAGGGGTAGCAGATTCAACGGAGCGAGCCATCGAAAGCGAACACGTGCAGCCGGAGAAGTGGGTTTCACTCCGGCGAGGGGCAGCACGCCAAAGAATTGCGCCATAACCAGAACTGTAATAGATCTATGCTGTCAGGTGATTCCTTTCACCGATTTGCACTCACCATATCCAATGGCCTGGTGCAGGGTATTCCCATTTGGACTCTGTGCAGACCACTCCATTCGAGGGCTGGAGCTAGACAAATGGCTCCCACTCAGCATGGGCCCCAGGAACATTTTCTGACACGCATTATATTGTATTGATATTAGATAGGATCTAATGTGTGCTATTACAAAGATATTGCAGATAAGTGCGAAAAATCAAAAGCAAACAGACAGCCAATTAGGCAAAAACGCTCTTGGAGGAGCCCACACCGCCGTCACAGAAGTTCTTCTGGGCCACAGTTCCAGCCATTTGGTTGATCAGAACCAGCTCGTAAACCATCAAGGTGCCAACCATCTGAAAGACAAAGAATTTAAGGGAAAGCCCTACCATTAAAGGCTCCCTGCAACTCACTGCAAATATCAGCCTGCGTGTGAGAAAGAAGTAGCCCTTGCCGCTGAGTGCAAATTTCTCCGAGAGCAAGATCTCATTGAGGCGCCTCAGTTCAACGCTCCAAAATGCCGTGGGTATTTCGTAGACCGTGTCCGATATGGCCTTGGCCTCCTGCGGTATGGAAGAGGCAGCAAACATCATATTCAAGACACGCACAATGACATACAACAGGCAGAACCAGAAGTACAGTTCATCGACATAGTTTCCCTTGGATCTACAGAAATTATGAAGATGAATGAAGGCAACTGTTGCAGGGATTATGCTACTCAAAAACTCACCGAAAACTGTGATATATCTGCACACACACAAAGTACATGTTGTGGGCACAGGAGAGGATGATTAGTCCAGCCAATTCTTTGCCGTAGAGGCTGAGCAGATCATTCAGATCCAATAAATCGCAGCGCACTCTCTGCCAGAATTCGTTTGGCATACGCTGAAAGGCATGCTGGCGGATGCGCCAGTGCATCTGCTGGAAGCGCATCTGCAATCCCCGAAAGTTCAGAATGAGGAAAATGTCCACAAAGCTCCACACAAATGTCATCGAGAGGGTGGTCCACTCGATGAAGGGTATCCACCAGGAGGAAAACTGCAGCACAAGAAAGAGCTGCTGGCGCTCGCGCTGAAAGTAGTTCAGCCAGAAGTTCACATTCAGCTTGCACTCGACAATCTGCAGATGATTGTTGTACAGTGCGCTGCCCACGTAGGTGCAATGCTCGCAGAGGGCGATCACAAAAAGAATCACTCCCCAGAGCCGCAGGCGACGACTGAAGTGACGGCCAAAGCAGCATTCGTAGCCGGGCTGCATGAAGATCTGCTCACATTCCGCTGTACTTTGAATGAGATGCGGCCAGCGACGGGACACCTGTAAGAAGACTCCAAAGCAGAAGATGCAGATGACGCTGAAGCTGAGGGAACCTGCCAAAGAGGAAGTTCAATATATGAGAGACGCAAGATCATGCTTTACCCACCTATAGTATAGATCTTTAGGCCATGATCGAGCACCACTTTGGAGGACAGCACGCAGTCCATAATGGAGAAGGCGAATATCACAATGGCCGCAGTAAACGACAGAGAGAGCCAGCGAAAGTGCACCTTCTCCGCGGGTGAACTTGGCCAGATCCCAGCCACCGGCAGCACACCAAAGAATTGTGCCACCACCAGGACTGCAAAATGTGGGGATTATACTATCTAAAAGGGAAATCTGAGGTGCATCCACTCCACTCACATGGTCCAATGGCATGCTGAAGCGTGTTTGTAGCGCTGCCCGTAGTCGCAACCTGCTTCATGGCTTCGCTGTTGAGTGGAAAATGATTTGCAGCGTTTCCCCAGGAACACAAACAAGGGGGCGTGTGTCATTCGTTTAACATTTAGCCTTGTATTTTGCAGATTACAATCTCAATAGCTGTGCAGGTGCATTGCATGGGACTGAGTGACATTGATGTCTAATTGTGCTCATGAATTTAACTAATTTACAGCTTAGAATTCTCTGCAGTATTGAGTCTTTTGCCTGATGCCGCCCTGGTTGATTACATCCGATATCATCAGCTCGTATGTGATGATGGTGGTGCCCATCTGAAGGAAAAGACAGAGTATGGATGAGGCAGCGTAATGGACAGAAGTATAGTAGGACTCACGGCCAGGACAAGTGAGCGTGTGAGGTAGAAGAAGCCACTACCAGATAAAGCTGTCATGTCATGACCCAAGTGCTCGCTGAAGCGCTGAACCTGCATAAAGAAATAAAGAAAGTCTTAGATAAATCCCAACTAAAATCTAGACCCACCTCAATGGACCATGCCCTACTGGGGACATCCCGCAGAGCCGTAACAATCTTGCGCTCAAAATCATTGATTGACGAGGCCACAAAAATCGTCAGCAGAGTGCGCACCACGGCAAAGACCAGGGAATACCAGAAGGCCAGCATCACCATAAAGTCCACGCCAATGTTTCTGTTAAAGCAAACCATCAGAAGAATTCTTCGAGTGCCCTCCAAAACTTACTTAAAACTGTTAAACAGTTGAAAGCATATAAAGGACATGTTATTGCCAAATGCTAGCAGCACAAGCGGTGCAATGGCGGCATCCAGGAGACGCACCAGACGCTTCAGGGCCAGATAATGCTCTCGCACTTCAGTCCAGAAGATAGCTGGCATGACCTTCCTGTGCACAGCAGCAATGCGGCGATAGAGTTGATGGAATCGTGCGGCCAGACCAATGCCAATGCACATGATGAAGCAGTCGGTGAAGGAGCGCGGATAGGCAATGGTCTCGTTTATCCACTCCAAAAAGGGAAGCATCCAAAAGTGATAGGGCAGAATCATGTACAGATGTGGACGCTCCCACTTGTAGATGCTCTCAAAGTAGGTGACATTGATCTTGCACTGAATTCGTTCCATATTGCTGAGATGAAAGGAGTTTATGAGCAGCAGACAATGCTCCGCTGAGGGGAGAAACTATACGCATTAGCTAGAGATTGGTTGTGCCAGTCACAGAACTCACCCAAAGCCGATGACATGACCACTGCAAAAACAATGTAGATGCGTCTCTTCATCCTGTACTCCCCATAGAAGCGATAGGGAACGCGTAGGAAGAGCTGCTCCACGCTGTGCCACGATCGCATGATGCTGGGCCACTGAATGGCCAGTCTCCAGAAGAAAAAGTGCTCCAACAAACAGACAACATACAGCGACAGAGTGCTAGAGTTGTGAAAATTGAGGGCCACCTGGCCCACATAATTCAAAACGGATCCAAATTCGCCGAAATTCAATGCTATGATGAGTGCCGAGTAGAAAATGCGTGGGGAGAGCCATCGATAGCGTATATCCTCCACATCCAAGGCACGTACATTGCTGACAGGCAGCAGCCCATAGATTTGTGAAATAAACAGAACTACGATACAGAAAAATCACCATGAAAATCAATCCAAAAGTACACTATCTGCAATGCACCTTTCGAGACAGCCCGATGAAATGTTTCGCCCTGCGGCATGGCCAAACTATCACTGGACAATCGAGTGGCATTTTGGCGGAGTGCAGCACCACCTTCTAAATAGACAGGGGGGGCGTGGTTGTTGTTTACGATTCGCAATTTACCAACTAAGTATCTAAAACTAATTGCAGCACCGCCTGTCCGTGGCAGCTGGCATGACAAATGACGAGAAATATTTTTGTAGGGGCATGTTGAAGGCCATCAGGCGCACAAGGGCAGCAGTCCCTTGCGTCGATTGGGTTCATCGAATTGCAGCAGAACCAGCTCGTAGGTGACAATGGTTCCAGCCATCTAAAACGACACAGGGAGAGACAGGGGGGATGAGTGTCAAAATAAACTAGAATTTCGCCAGGAAGCGGGAAGAGCTACGGCTACCCACTCCAAAGAGAAGCCTGCGCGTGAGGAAGTAAAACTTCTTGCCCGACAGAGCCACCGTTTGTGTGGTCATCTGGAATATAAGGCGCTCCACCTCGACACACCAGCTCTTGCTGGAGACGCGTCGCAGTACACCCAGACCACGCTTCGACTCCTCATTGATATCTGCTGCCGTGAGGAATACAAAGGCCGTGCGTCCAATCAGATATAGCAGCGAGTACCAAAAGTAAATGTAGTTGATGGGCCAGCGTAGTTTGCTATGTGTAGAGGAATTAAACATCATACTGAAGAGTAGATATCAGGGAGTAAACTCACTTGAACACGTTCAAAAGCTGATAGCAAACAAAATACAAATTATTCACACAGGAAAGGAGTATAAGGCTGGACATGGAACTGTCCACATACTCCAGCAATTCGCACATCTTTACATAGTGCTCACGGATCTCGATGAATGTGGATTCGACCACCTCTTCATGCTCCAGCTTGCGTATGCGTGCCGTGATCTGCTCGAAGCGATAGCAGAGTCCTTTGCTGACCATCATAATGAACAGATCCATGTAGTTCCACACAAAAGTGCATACTGCACTGATTAGCTAAGGGAATACTTATTAGTAATAAGATATACATATCTAAATAATACTCTTTAGATGGCATACCAGTAATAAAGCAGCTATGATGTGGCTATATGACAGCCATGCAAACGCATAATCATAGTTCGAATTTATATAGTCTTTGAAGCTTGTCACAGCGGTAATGTTGGCCGCTGCAGAGCACAAATGTACGCGTCGGATGTAGCTCAGAATCGAAGAGATCTGATACATGGCATGTTCACCTAATAAAGGAATTTATCAAGGGAATACTCAAAACAGAGTCTCTTACCAATCGACAGACCAATGATTATCATGCCAGCCAGCTGCACGCGCTTGTAAAGATTCCTTTTGGGCATTTCGTAGGGCGCCCTGGTAAAGACCAGTTCCGTGCGTGTCCAATAGCGGATGAGAGGGGGCCAGCGTCGAGCCAAACGAATAAAGACAACGCAAGCAGATAACACACAGCCAAAGAAAACAAGACCCACTGCAAGATGGAAGTAGATTAGTTATCCTTTCCCATTTGATAAACCTAAATTCTTACCAAAATTCTTGGCATTAATGCCTATCTGCAGTAAGTGCTTAAGCATGGCCAGCAGCAGCGTCAAAGTGGCGGCCATAAACGTGAGCGTAACGATCATGGGCAGCGATTTGTAGACAAAGCGAACTCGTCGCGGATTGGGCTCCCGTATGCCAGTCAAGGGCATCACACCAAAGCATTGAGCCAGGAGCATGACTAGGCGGAAAAATGAAAAAGGAATGACAGGGATGACAGGTGTATACTCACATGGATACACAGCTCGATGAAAGAGGTCCAGTTGGACATACTCTGGCAGCTTTTCGCTGGAAATCACATTGAATTGAAAGTTCGTTTCATCCGCCAGCTTCGGCACAGTGCTCGTCGGCTGTTGCAGAGCCCTCAGTAGTGACTCATGCCTCCTTTTGACTCCTGTTTTGCGCGCATTCAAGGCAGGTCCTTCCATGTCGACGACAGTTTTTGCACTGAACTTTCAGAATAACACGAAGTGTTAAATTTAAACACATACAAAAGATACCCTTACATTGTCAGCCGCTGAATTGCCGCTTTGGTGGTACCTAATTACAGGCTTTAGGCTTTAACCGTGGGTCGCATGTCCGGATCAGGGAGCCGTATTTGTAAACAACAAATTATGAGACACAGCTCTTGGATTAGCCGCTGTTCAGACTTAAGCAAGATGTCAACGGCTCCGGATAGCATCATGAAGCGCCTGAAGGTGCGACGGCAAAAGCAGCGCACTATCCTAGCCATGAGATGGCGCTGTGCCAAGGGTGGCAAGGAATTCAAGGAGCTGGATACCTTCCATCGAGCCATCAGGCCATGTAAGCAATGCACTGCCAGTGATCTTTATTTCATCATCCTGTTTACAGATCTCTGTGCTGCACAATTGTTTGGCATCATGCCCCTTTCGAATGTTCTCAGTCGGGATCCGCAGGATGTAAAGTTTCGCCTCCGTAGCATTGGAATGTGCTTTACCGGCCTGTTCCTGGTTCTAGGAGGCATCAAAACACTAATGGAGGCAAATATTCTCTTTCGAACGGGTCTGAATGCCAAGAATATGAGTGAGTCCGGCGAATCCTCATCAAAAGTCCTCTCATTGTATGTTTGGTTGCAGTGAATTTGGTTTTCTTGATTGTGGGAATCGTCAACTGGTTAAATTTTATTGTCTTCGCTCGGTCCTGGTCGAGGCTCATTCTGCCCTGGAGTTCCTTGGACATTCTGATGCAGTTTCCTCCCTATGCACCGTGCAAGCACAGCCTTCAATCCAAGCTACGCCTCATTGGCTGTGTCGTGGGTTCTATGGCAGTGGGTGAGTTCTGTTTCCGTTCCTCATTCTTCATTCATTGTCCCTTTTTTCTAGTGGATCACTTGCTGTACTATGCCTCTGGTTACTATAGCTATCACATGCACATCTTTCACTGTCACACGAATCACTCGCGTCCGTCGTTTGGTTCCTATTTGAAGCAGGACTTCCCAGACATCTTTGAGCTGTTGCCCAACAACATATTCTCCATTTGCTATGCCTTTGTAAGGGAGCTTATTTTGATGTTATAATGTTTCCCACAGCTAATTGTAGTCTGTTTTTAATGACAGTGGCTAAACGCAGCCTTTACTTTTCTGTGGAATTTTATGGACATCTTTATAGTGCTCACGAGCATTGGTCTGGCGCAGCGGTTTCAGCAGTTTGCCGATCGGGTTTTCGCGTTGAGTGATCGTGTAAGACAATCAAGTATACCTTTTCGTACACCTGCTCTTATATAGCTTACCATTGCAGCAAGTTCCGGATACCCTGTGGTACGATATACGCCGAGATCACATACGTCTCTGTGAGCTGGCGAGCCTCTTGGAAGCCAGCATGTCCAATATTGTGTTTGTGTCCTGTGCAAACAATGTCTATGTCATTTGCAATCAGGCGCTGGCCATTTTCACGTGAGTTCTACTACCAACATTTAAATTTTAGGCCATTCCTGATCTCCTTACTGATGCTGCAGCAAACTTCATCATCCCATTAATTATGTGTACTTCTGGTACTCGCTGCTCTTCCTGCTGGCACGCACTAGCCTTGTCTTCATGTCCGCCTCCAAGATACACGATGTCTCGCTACTGCCCCTTCGAACGCTATATCTGGTGCCCAGCACTCACTGGACAGAGGAGGTGCAGCGGTTTGTCAGTCAATTAACTGCAGAGTTCGTTGGACTCTCTGGCTATCGTTTGTTTTACCTCACACGCAAGAGCCTCTTTGGGGTAAGTTTGAAGATTTTTGTTTAATAATTTCATTCATTAGTGGCTATAACTTCTTTCAGATGATGGCTACACTCGTAACCTACGAGCTAATGCTGCTCCAAATGAATGCCAAGAGCCTCAAGGCCTCCGGTCTCCCCGATTTGTGTGCCTGAAAAATTGAATTTCAATTATTTTATGATTATTAATTTGTGCAACAGGAAGGGCGTTATAGGGACTGGGGCTGGGGGATTCAGTCAGTTTAAATAAAGAGCCAAAATTGGTAATTGGAAACTTGAAATATCATTTCAATTTTCGGCCCATGCAGCTAACAACTGCAGTCGTTCACGGCGAGTACATATAAAGAGATTGCCACAAATGGGAGGGTAACCAAAGTCGTTTTCCATTAGTTTCAATTATTCTTGCAAATGTACGTAAATGGCTGACGAAAATTGGGAGGCCTGACAAGCAACGCCTTCAACGAGCTGTCTAAAAGAGGTGCTAGGAGGAGGAGCAGCAGTAGCTGCCAGCAGGAACAGCATTACTTTGAAATGGCTTTTCAATTTCAGAGCAGCCTTCTCCCCTTTTTGTACTTTGACACTTTACCAATTAACACTTTCCTGGTTACCGATTGCCATTTTGTTTATGGAGGAGCACCAAGCCAACTCCTTACCCGCATCAATTATGGAAGGAGTACGTGGAGGAGCCACCTAGCCAGCGAGCATTCGCCTCTTTTGGGCAATTATCCTGTCAGGAAACGTGGACGCAACGCAACGTAACGCCACCGAACGCAGGTAGCAAAACAAAATGCCAGCAAAAACAAACGGTGGGTCACTAACAGGCACCAGAAGCAGCAACCCCGTTTCCGGAGCACACAGAACATGTGAGTCAACCCCCTTTGGAGCGGCGCGGCGTTTGTTTTGACATACCTGTCACCTAGCAACCGAAAAAAAAAGACAAACAAGCAGCAGCGCTTTTCAGCAGAGAGCATTAGCAGCCTAAAATATCAGGGGGAAAATTTTGCACTTCAGAACGAGAATAGCGGCCAAAGCGCGAGGCCATGAGCCAGCACCAGCATGGACATACCGGAGTCTGTATCTGTGCGCAAGTTCCGCGACTTTACGGCGCGCCAGAAGCAGGAGCTGTACGAGACGCTGCTAGAGCTGGCCGAGACGCTCGAGGAGCTGCCCAGAAAGTCCTTACGCAAGACACTAGAATTGACGCTGGCCGTTCTGGAGTACAAGGGCGAGCAGGCGGCCCAGCGGCTGGAACAAGGCGGTGCCGCTGGCGGCCGCCTCCAGGGCGAGAACGAAAAGCTCAAGCGGATGCTGCAAAGGCTGGAGGATGAACGCGATGGCCTGAAAAACAAGACAAAGGAGGTGAGAATTCAAGGACAATCCACGGATTTTTTTGAATGAAAATTTGAACCATTTTTAATCGCAGTTGGGGGAGGAAATCCGGCATCTGGAGCTGCGTCTCAGGGAGGCCGCCCAGCAAGCGGAGGCCAGCGACAAGGACTCCTCCGATCCGCTTTCCGAGTTGGACAAACAGAATGCACTGCTGCAGAACATCGACACCAAGAACAAGCACATCAAGCGGCTGCTAAAAGAGATTGAGGTTAGTGGGGTGAAGGGTGGAAACACCAGACAGTGGATGCTCGAACTCTATTTATTTTCAGACGCTCCAGAACCAGAACATTAGCCAATCCAAAACGATAGTCGTCCAGGAGCGAGAGCTCCAGAACATCAAGGCCAATCTGCTGCAGCTGAGTGAGGACATCACAGAAGTGGAGCAGGAGCGCAAATCCCTCAGGGAAAAGGAGCAAAAGCAGTGCCTGGAGATCACACGACTCGACGGCAATGTCACCTTCCTCGAATTGGATCGCGAGAAGCATAATGTGGAGATGCGTCAGTTCCTGGACAAGTACGAGATCAAGTGCATCAGCTGGAAGAAACTTCTGCAGGACAAAGACAAGGAGGTGGAGCGGCTGACGAAACTGTTGGCCACGGGCAAGAACACGCTCCTTGCCAGCCCAAAGATCAGCCACAGCAAGCCGGATGAGGAGCAAATGCAGCTGCGAAATGTAAGCACATCGCTTCCCCTTCTGATTTAAGATTATATCCTTTGCCCTACAGATCCTTGAGACCCGCGAGAAGCACATTGAAAAGCTGGAAGCAAGGCTCAAGTCCATGGCCGAAGAAATGATTAGCACCACGAAGGTGATGAAGCAGCTTAGCGCAGAACAAGAGCGCTCCCAGAATCCCGAACTGCCGCGTGCCTGCTGCCAGATGATCGAGGAACGCCTTGCGGTGACGCAAGCCCGTGGCCAACAGCTCTCCGAGATGCTAGACGCCTCCGAACAGGACAATCTGGTGAAGTCAAAGCAGGCAATGCATGCCTTGAGTGCCCTCGAATCGTACAAGCGTGGAGAGGATGGCCTTGTGCCGGCCCTGCGTCGCTGCTCGGCCCTCGAACAGAAACTGGCGGAGCGCGAAAAGCAGCTGCGAACCTATGTCCAGGAGCTCAATTCCCTCAACGAAGTGGTGCAGGAGAACGAGCTGTTGCGTCGTCGACTGAACATACCCGAGGACGTGGTCATGCTGGCCAAGAATACGCGCTCCAAGCAGCGCAACAAGGACAAGCAGATCGAGAGACTGACGCTGAAGCTGCGCACCTCAGAGGAGCTGCGTCTGCAGCTGAAGCTGGAAAAGAGCGAGCTCAGGTGGGTGCGAAGATTCCTTCTTTGATCCTTCCTTCTCACTTGGGAATCCTTCTAGGCGAAAGCTATCGGAGCTACAAAGCGGAGAGCAACCTGCGCTGGATGATTCCCTGCCACAGCCAGCCAGTGAGGTGGGGGAAGTTCCCTCGCGTACGCCCCTGGAGAAATCGCCACGACGCGGACAGGGAGACGGTGCAGCCAGCACGGAGATGCAGAGCAGATACGATGAAGTTCTGGCCGAGAACGAAACGCTGCGCATGGGCATGTACGAGATCCTGGAGAAGCTGCGCGAGTACGATGGTAAGAGCTCGGATCACTCTCTAAATTTTCCCTTTTCAATGCGTTTCTTTGGCAGCCACTTCCGAGCATATAACCATCGATTCGGAACTGCTGCGACGCCTCATTGAAGCTCTGCCCAGTGGCACATCCACGCCCCAACGTTTGCAGGGTCAGCTGTTGGAGCTAAAGGCACGCGAGGAGGCACTGCGTGAGTTGCTGCTGATGCACAATGGCAGCGACTCGGAAACGGGAGAGCTATCCACAGTCCAAAGTTTATGCGATGTCCCAGAGATGCCCGAGGAGGAGCACCAGGAGGAGGCTCTTCCAGTTATCAACACTGCCACACGTCCCAGCACGCCCACAGAGGCAACCATTGGACTCCAACGTCCCATCATCACGGACATGGAAGAGGTTGCTGCCAAGTCAGAGCAGCTGCTGGAACTCTCCCTGCTGCGCAAGCATTACGAAGAGCTGCGCCTTCACATGTCCGCCGACGGCAACCAGCTGCTGAACCACAATCAGCAGCTGCATGAGCAATTGCTCAGCCTGGAGCTACAGCTGGAGAAGAATAGCAGTTCCTATGGTTACATGCGACAGGAATACGATCAACTACTCACTGAAACACGACGGCAGGAGCTGCGTTTCATCGAACATAAGTCCGAACTGCTGCGGCAACTGGATAAAACACAGGCCGAATTAGCCGCCTGCCGGGATCAATTGGATGATGTGCATCGCCGCCACTTGTACACAGCCGAGGAGTACCAGCAGCTGGAGCAACGGAATGCCATTCTGTGCATGCAGCTGGGCCAGGCGACGGAGCAGCTGCTGGGCGAATTAAAGCTGCCAGACATCTGCGCGGAGTATGGCATAATTGGGGACAACTATCAACTGGACCACGTGACAGCCAAGGAGTACGAAGAGCAGCGGCAGGAACTGGCCACCTGGCGTTGCAAGCAAGCGGAACTGCAGCGGGAGACAAAGCAACTGGAAGGTCTCCTATCCGTGGCCAATGGGCAGATACATTCGCAGCAAAAACTTCTGAATGATATCACCGACAATCATATCAGTCTGCGCCATTTGGTGGCCGATTTCCAGAGCAGCTCCAACGAAAAGCTAATGCTGGCCAAAGTCCAAAGAGATTTAGATAGCGGTAAGTGGGGGCATGCACATTATCCTCCAATATTTTTTTCATCTGTATTTTGTGCAGTCAAAGCAGAGGTCTCCCGCTTGGAGGCAGAGCGAGAGCAAATCCAGCTAAGGGCAGACAGGCTGCAATCGCAACTGGCAGCCACTGAGCGTTCGTTGGCGCAGGCACAACAAGACTGCCAACAAGAGCGCAGCAATAGTGACATCAAACAAAAGTAGAAACCATCATAATCATAATTTAGAATGAAATACCAGTCTAATCCTTTATTCCTGCAGATTCCTACAGCATTCGTTGTTTGCACTGAAAGAGAAATATGCTAAATTTACACCATTGATCTTCCTCACCAACTTTGTGTTTGCCTACCATAAGTTCCAGCGGCGTTTGGAGGAGCACCAGCAGCAGCAGAAGGTAGACCACACAGCAGTTATCCAAGAGGTCCTAGAGGCAGTGCAATCGAAGGTTAAGCCCCACGAGGACAGCGCCCAGCAGCTGATTAAGCTTATCAAGTCTGAAACCCAAGCGAGACTCCTTGAACAGCGTTGCGAGAGCCAGCAAACTAAGCTGGAGGAGCTTCAGCGTGAGCTGTCTGAGCTGAGAGAGCGCCAGGCCACTGATTCGGAGCACTGGCAGACCATACAGGCACTGTTTGGGGGGCAGGACACGGGAGAGACGACTTCCTGCGCCACAGTGGATGCTGCAACGAATACGGAGACAAAGGATCCAGCAGCAAATACGGAAGCAGCTATGGCACCCGTGCCAGCCCTGCGAAGGACAGCCCAGCTGATAGACAGGCAATCCTCACCCATTGGCTCGCCATTCAGATGCCAACCGCACTCTGACACGTCCACCCAAACACAGGAGGAGTCTGTGAAGCTGCTGGAGACAGCAGTCCAGACGAATGGCATACTCAGGCAGCAAAATCAATCGGTTCAAACAGCAGGGGAGAGTAGTAGGGGCTCTCGTGAGGATCTGTTGCAAATGCAAGCGTCGTAAGTAATGGATACTCTTACATTTCTTTCCGATTTACTTACATTTCTCCATCCACGCACACAGACTCCTGGAGGCAAACGAACGCTGCGAGCTGCTGCGCAAGCAATTGGAGGCATATAGGGCGGAGAGCCGCGAGTCCGAAAGTCCCCACAGCGGTGTGGTGGAGAAGACCATTCTTTCGTTCCACACTCTGCTCCTGGAAAAGGATCAGTCCATTCAGAAATACCAGGATCTGCTACAGACGGAGCGGGAACAGAACCAGCAGCTGATCAGCAGACAGACAGCCGACAACGAATCCCTCAGGGCCACAGTAAACCATCTGAACTTCAACATTAAGGCAAAGGATGTGGAGCTGCAGGAGCTGCGAAAAAAGCTGGAGCAGAGGCCCAACCAGCCAGTGGCAGCAGCTGCCGTGCATAGTGCAGAGCCCTCGATCCATGACATTACGGACGAGAAAATCGAAGAAATGTTCGAGCACAGCAGCTCCCCAGAGAGGCCAGTGGCGGAGGAAGCCACCGACGAAGAAGACGAGGTGGAGGTTGCGGAAGTAGCAGACGACGAGCCAGAAGGAGAGCAGGAGAAACAGGACACCGAGGAGCTCAAGGAACTACCGACTCTACACAAGCAGATCAAGGAGCTAAAGGACAAGCTGGAGTACATCCAAAAGAGTCTGAAAACAAAAGAAGAGGAAGTGGAAATATTAAAGGAGAAGTGAGTGATAGCCAAAGAGTCAGTTAGGTATCTAAACCTATCCTTTTTCCAGATTAAAACTCTTCCAGGATCGCGAAAAGTCCATGGAGACGCAAGCAAGTCCCGAAATCGATCAGTTACGCGGCTTCCTGGAGGAGAAGGATAAGCACATAAAAGATCTAATGGATACACTGAAAAACTTCCATGTAAGTAGCATACCAGCATTGAGTCCCGCAGAGATAAATGAGAACTTTTCTCTATATTTCAGGACGATCAGCAAAGGTACATCAATGACACTTCGAACTACTCGGAGGAGCAGATTGGCAAGCTGGCTGCCGATCTCAATCGGACAGAGGCCACCAACAAGATCTACCACACGCAAATGGAGGCACTGCGCCGACAGCTTACGAATCTCACGCAGCGCGAGAAGCAGGCCCGAGAACTCACCCAGTCGCTGCGCCAGCAGCTGCTCAAGCGGCCAGTGGTCTCCATTAAGACGGAGCTCAATGCGCGAGTGAAGAACGAGAACCAGCAAAAGCGCATCCAGCAGCTGGAAACGGAGCTGGAAGATACTCGCGACCAACTGCAGCGCCAGCAAAGGGTGCTGGAAGCGAAGCGTACTCGAACCGCCAACGAGGTGGGCCTCTGGGAAAAGCAAAAGCGCTGGCAGCAACAGGCCGACAAGTACAAGGCGAAGCTGGACGAAACGGAGATGGCGCTGGACAAGACGCGAGCCCTGTTGCAGGCGGCGCGCACCACGATTGCCAGGCTGGAGAAGGACAAGCATCTGCTTGAGACCAAAGTGGCGCGCGGAGGAGCAACCACTGCTCCGAATAATCCTCTCAAGTGCTGTCGAACTCCTTCCTGTCCCAATCTGCAGCACGTGGGCGTGAACAAGTTCTCGTGTTCTCCGTCGGAGAGCCCCGAGACATACACGGGTCCCAGCAGCGAGTGCAGTTCGCCAGCTCATCATACGCAGCCACGGGGTAACCACGACTTCTACGACAGGAGCCAGAGCCAGTTGGACCTTATCGAGGCCCTGAAGAACCGCATTGAGCTTCAGCAGCGCAAGATTATTGCCATGGAACTGGAGGGGCGAGGCAGTAACGCCCTCACCACCGAATTGGAGAAACTTCAGGAGCGGTTCCAGGGAGTAGAGGCTCAGAACATACGGATGGAGGCAAAGAATCTCCAACTGCAGCTGGAATCGGATCTTCTGCGGCAGAACGACAGCAGCGATAGATTGCAGAAGCGCATCAAACACTTGGAGGAGTAAGTACAGCCTAAAAGAAGTCCAAGGGAAGGTATCACTAGTCCCTAATGAATCCTTTTTCAGTTACATTATCGCCCTCAAGGAGGAAATGGCACGGAACGAGTCGCGTCGGGAGCTCTGCAAGTGCAGTGGCCTTAAGTTGAATACCCAACAGGGCCAGTCGGCAGAGCACACGATTCTCTCGTTGCGCAATCTCGTGGAAAAGCTGCGATCTGAGAACAAATTCCTTAAGGACGGAAGACGTTCGACCGATTCACGTAGCTCAACAGAGTCTTCGGCCGCACCAGATTTGGCACAGTTGCAGCAGCAGCATGCGGCGTCCCTGAAGAAGATTGCAAGCCTTGAGCAAGAGCTTCAGAGGCGGACCAAGTGTAGCCAATGCGGCGGACGCAGTAAGGTTAGTCGGGAATACTAAATCGTGCAAATTGGCATTAGTAATTAGTGTTTTACGAATTTTTTTTAAGGACGCCACCAACGGGGAACTAAAATTCATCAAAGAACAACTTACGAAGAAGACGCAACTGCTGCAAAAGGCCAAAATTTTGCTTACGCGAGCAGCCGCCAAAGAAAAGGTGCTGCGGGAACAGCTCGCACAGTGGAAGCGCAAATGCTCCGAGCTGGCGAATGTGCCCGTCATCGATGAGATTAGCGAATAATTAACGTCGTATAAGTTGAATGTTGTATATACAGCGAAAAATAAAATCCAAAATCCTTTCCAATCTTCTAGAAAATGTATGTATCTATGGGATAAAATTATTTGCTTAGGGTTGAGAGGGCCAACTAGCTAGTAATATTAAACGGAATATAAAAATCGAGGAATATCATGTCACAAAATATCATGGTATGGCAGCCCGCAGCAACTACGAATTGCACGAGTCTGGCAACGCCACAAAACGACGTCACATTCGTTTTATGTTGTTTTTGTTTGAACCTTAATATGTAAATAATCCAATAAAAAGTACTTCTGAAAACTTACCAGTCTTGTAGAAAATGTATGTATCTATCGGATAAAATTATTTGTTTATGGCTGAGATTCCCAGCTAGCTAGTAATATTAAACGGAATATCAAATTCGAGGAATATCAACGTTGAATGTTTTGAAAAAAACAATCGATACTATCGTAATAGTATCGGGCTCAAATAATAATTTAAAAACCATTGAAACCTTTTAGGTTATGTTTACAAATTTATTTTATAGAAGCCAAATTTGGAGCAAAAAAAAAAAAGAGAAAAGTTAATTTAACCAAATATATGCAAGACTTAATCCCACACTTTCGCCAGTATTTAAGTGTTTGTGATAAAACAAAATGAGTGACGAAAAAAGGTAAGTAAAAATTGTAAATTAGGCCATGCAAATTTTTTTTGTTTTTGGTTATGTCTCTGCGTGTGTGTACGTTAATTTCTTGCGTTTCCTTCGAAACAGTCTTGAATCCAGCAATAATAGTGAATCAGAGGAGCACCGAGCTAAGCTCAAGAAACAAAAGAAGCATAAGAAACACAAAAAGTCCACATCCAGTAAGAGTGATAGAGATAAACATGTTCACAAAAGGCAAAAAAAGTCCAAGAAGCGTCACCACCGCCATAGCGACTCTCCCCATGACTCCGACGGAACAACAGAACATCCAAGCGCCAAACAACAGAAGAGCTATGACAAGTTCTCCGAAATCATGCAGAAGACAAGCCGTAATGGCGTCGAGTTCTGTATCTCTAGCTCCAAATTGCAAACAGACCCGTGTAGTCTCGTGGAGGAAATTACAAAGACCATACAGAACAAGGTTCTCCCAGTTTTGGAGGTGGGCAGTTCAAGCAGCGAGAGTGATGTGTAAGTTTACTGAATTTCACAAAAAAAATTTCGTATTGCTTGTATTGCGCCGGTTCTTACTACAATTCTGATATATGTATGTATTTACACATTTCAGCCCCATGGACGTTGCTAGTCCGATTATTGCTTCCATTATAGAAGATGAGTTAAATTTAGAGGATCTGATGAAGCAGAAAGCATTGCTACAGGCTCGCCTGGGTGCGTACATGTCGGACCCCGACGCTGATGAAAGAAGTGAACCCAACTCACGACCACAGTCGGTGCAGTCCAAGCAAATAGCCATCAAGGGCCAATCGCAGCCTTTATTCCAACCGCAGCCGATGGTCCTCAGCAAGTCTGCAGCGCCGCTGGCTACTGCAACTAGTAAAAATGTTAATAATAAACAGTCTAGCATCCATAACTCAAATGAATCCGATGTTATATTATTGGATGATTCTAGTGGAGGCCAACGTACGCCGTCGCCTACGCCAGAGAAGCGAAGACGACACGCACCACCATCCCCAGCAGCGCCTAGAAGTCGAGTACGCGACGATCCGGTTCATGGACGACGTGATCTCCGCTCTAGAGACCGGGACCAGGTGCGTAGCCGCACTCCCCCTCGCCGGCGTTTGGAGGAACAGACTCGGCCCCGCAGTCTAAGCTCCCAACGACGGAATCATCAGCATAACAATCGTAACATGGAAGACTTGCGCCAGGAGATAAATCGCGATAAACAGCGGGAAAGGCACGAGCATAGCCGAGATCGAGAGCGCCGTGGAGCAGGAACAGACAGACCACAAGCCACAGTCGAACCACGTGCTGGTCGTCCACGGGAGAGAGAAGGTCGCTTTAGTCGGCAGCGGTCCCACAGTCGCAGTAAGTTTGAGTCGGACAGGCGCCGTGAGCGTGAGCGCTTCCTAGACCGGGATCGTTGTGGCTTTGGTGGTAATAATCGTCTTGGAGCACGTGGCGGTACCGACAACGACCGAGACCGCTACAAAGGTTCATTGAGCGAAGGGCAGAAGATGCACGACAAGGAGTCTAGTGACGATGACGTCAATCTGGATATAGACATTAACGAGGATGAAGATGATGAGGAACGTATCATTGAGCAGCGTCGGAAGAAGCGCGAGGAGCTTCTCAAGGTAAGTCATCCTCTTAGTCATTGCTATATAGTGTATGCTTAAGTTGAACCTTTGCAACAGAAACTGGGAACAGGGCAGGATTCGCCCACTCCTCAAAATTCAAACTCTTATGAGTCTCGTAGCACCTCAGCAGGCTCGTCGCAACGCGATCGCCTACAAAGAACTCCCACGCCCACCCTGATGATCAATGACTTGGAGCACCCCAAGGTGCAGCAGCAGTTGGACAATTCCAACAGCCAAAAGAATAGTTCGGGAAAAGAGAAACGCAATGAGTGGGACATGTTTGCGGATCAGGATGTTGATTCCAATTTCGATGTGAGTCACAGGCTTGTAAATTACTATCCCCAATTCCCTCATTGGCCTAACTAATCCTATGTTACATCTCCTAGTCGCCCAGCACAATTATTCACAACAAGCATCAGCATGAGAATCCTGCCCTTACCGACAACTGGGATGACGCCGAAGGATATTATCGTGTACGGATTGGAGAAGTTCTAGACAATCGCTACTTGGTTAGTGGCTATACGGGTCAAGGAGTGTTCAGCAATGTAGTGCGTGGGCGGGATCAGGCTCGGGGACAGGCGAATGTAGCAATCAAGATCATTCGCAACAACGAAATTATGTAAGCATAATACTAATGTTATATCTTGCTCTGTTTTAGCCAATTTTCAAATGTTCTACCCTTTGAATAGGCACAAAACTGGCTTGCGAGAGCTGGAAATCCTCAAGAAACTGAACGACGCCGATCCCGAAGATCGTTTCCACTGCCTGCGATTGAATCGCCATTTTTTCCACAAACAGGTAATATACACATATACACCTCTTATAAAATGGTTTTTTCTTACTCTTATTATTTTACTTCGTTTAGCATCTCTGCATGGTGTTCGAGCCACTGGCCATGAATTTGCGTGAGGTGTTAAAGAAGTACGGCAAAAATGTCGGTTTGCACATCAAAGCAGTGCGCAGCTACACTCAGCAACTGTTTTTAGCCCTCAAGCTGCTGAAAAAGACAGGTATTCTGCATGCGGACATTAAGCCGGATAATATTTTAGTCAACGAGAATAATTTAATACTGAAGTTGTGCGACTTTGGATCTGCTTCGGCAATAAGTGACAATGAAATTACTCCGTACTTGGTGTCACGGTTCTATCGATCGCCCGAGATTATTTTGGGAATACCATATGACTATGGAATTGACACTTGGTCTGCTGGTTGCACTATCTATGAATTATACACGGGCAAGATTTTGTTCAGCGGAAAGAGTAATAATCAGATGCTAAAGTTTTTCATGGACGTGAAGGGCAAGATACCGAACCGTATTGTAAGAAAGGGTCAATTCAGAGAGCAGCACTTCGATCAGAACTGCAATTTCCTCTATCACGAGATAGACAAGCTTACGGAAAGGGTAAGTGGAGGACACTTCGCAACTTTTGCAACAGCACATGATTACTAACGTCTTTCATCTGCAGGAGAAGGTTGTTGTGATGCCAGTCGTAAAGCCATCGCGAAGCCTGCAGCAGGAACTAATTGCTGATCAAAATTTGCCCGATGATCAGCATCGCAAGGTCACCCAGCTCAAGGACCTGCTAGAGAACATGTTTGCCCTTGATCCAGCGAAGCGGATCTCCCTCAATCAATCACTAATGCATCCATTTATACAGGAGAAAATGTAGAGATGAACAACGACATCGAATAAACGTAATTCTTTTTACTAGCCCGTAAGAAAACCGATACGCCCAACTCGCGTTAGTTACTAGTTTTCATTTGCTATCAGACAAACAGTTCGCCTAGATATCACCCGTGCCATACATTTACATTTACCCAAACGATGTAAATATATATGACCTTTGGCTTGTACAGCTTTTAGCTGGATGGCTGTAAGGCGTGTGGTTTTGGTGAACGAATTAAACAAAATATGCTTTCGATTAAAAATTGTTCCGGAAATTGTTATGCGTGTGTTTAAAGCGTATAATTAATTATTCTAATACTTTGTATGAAAATGCATGTAACCGATTTCCTTCACAATATATATATATATATATTTATATATACATACATATATAGCGTTCCCGATCTGTCCATCTGTCTTAAGAATACATATTAATGTGTACTACAATTTCAGTGTGCCGCTGATCATGGAAGAGCGCTCCTTGGCCGTGTGGCTGACACAACTGGTAATATTTATATATACGACCCTGCAGAGGATACCCTTTAAGTTTATGGAGATAGTCAGTCGACAGCATTTAAGAGTTAGTAATAAAATACATGTTTAGTTTTTTTTTATTACATATGATGATTTAGTCTTTTTGTTTGGCTTAGTTTGCATACTTCTTCGTACACTATAAACTACAACTACAGCTTAAGTTTATTTTGTAGAAAGAAACTTTATTTTGACATAGATTAAATATTAAAACGTTCTCCCTAGTCTCTTGTGTACTAAAAACACCGACATAGTTGTTAGCTAAAACGTACCCGTACCACAGGTACTGTACTTATTCAAAACTATCACTGCTGGGTATGGGGGAGCTTCGAAGAAACAATCCACACTAAAAACCTATGACTGCGACTACTCTATTGTAAACAAAATTCTCTCTGGATTAACACTCAAAATTTAATCATTTCTAACGCCTACATTCTCTTTAAATTCCAGGTGGGTTGACTTCACAAGTCTATACGGAGACCTCTTCGATCTTCGGCTTTTACTGACCATTCGAAAAGTTAAATCGTAAGTTCATACAAGAACACATTCCACATTTTTAAGCTAAGGGTAAGTAAAGATGTCCAACAAATAGTAATGCGTGACATGCTATGGTGGACGGGCACCTGAGCTATCGAAAGGTTAGTTCATTTCGCATTTAATTGTTTTATAATAGTCCACCGCTAATCCAGGTCTTCGTTAGGCATCGGCAGGGCCAGTACTGTCTGCAGAGTCTCGCAATCTCTTAGACTGTGGAGGATGCGGGGCTGAAGCTCGCTTTTTAGCAAGCATTTGAATCGCTTGGGCTTCCAATTGTTTTCCGAATAGGGATCACGCAACAGTGCAAAGACGCATTCAAAAACGCCAACACAGGACTCGGTTGTGTGAAGAGTACCACAGGAGAGCACCAAGACTTGACCATAGGAATCCATGCGCCCTTGTATTCCACCGTGGGTTAAGTTTGGATTAAATAGGAAGCCAAATTTCTTTTTTGTGCCTATAAGTACTGAAAGTACCTCTGGAGCCGTCTCACACTCCTGCACATTGATACCATCACTTGCACTGATAGTCAAGTGCAAGGCCGCATCGTTCCACAAATCTATGAGGCTAAGTCGGTCAGAATTAATGCGTTCAAAAAACCACTGGCCGAATTTGCGAGCCATTGTGTGAATGGGATACTCCTCTACTTCTACGTTGTTCGGTTTGCTAATGGGCTCTACAGGTTGCTCCCAATATTTGATCACTTTCGTTACCAAATCCGCCTTGGTAAAGTTTGTGGCTATGCCCGGTAAGCGTCTCTTCACATACATAAACAGAAGTTCACGCGTGACGAGACGTTTGGACAATAAAACGTGTATGTCCTCCACATGCGATATGAGGTAGTCAAGAGCTTCTGTAAGTAATATAAATATATATTATATATTAAAAACAAAGCTCAGAGCTTCTTACCCTCAGGATCTTCGATTTTACACACATTTTTGGTCGTACTCTTGGCCAACTGCATCAATATAGCTGTGTTTTTCTCATTCACCAAGAAGTCTCGGAGACCGTTCTTGTAGACTTCCAAAATGGGCATGGTTATTAAAAACTTGTATACCGATATGTGCTTAATTGCTCTGCGTATGATATACATTTATCCATAATTTGTCTGAAAAAATCAAACCAAATCAGCTGTTTGCTATGAAGATATGGTCACACTTAACCCGCAGTGTTGTCAAATGGTGGAAAAAGAAAAAGTGCAGCTTCTTTCTGATTCTTCAATTATATTGAAGTGGAAGGTTATTGCTTGAACACCTCCTTCTGTTTAATAAAGAAATTTTACACAAATTAACTTGAACGAACTTTATTTTTGTTACACGATTCATGTGCTTAGGGGCAAGAAAGCAGAGACAACGGGGCTAGTCAGTCCTAACAGATCTTTCGATAATGCTTATTAAATAACTCGAATTTCAGGGCGCTTCAATGAATGTTTATAAAGCTGTCGAGAATTGGGACTCCATGGAGGCTCCCCTTTCTAAATCAGGTCCCCGAGAACCTATAAACCCACAATAGGTTCAACTGAACGCAATCTTCGATACCAAAAATGGAAAATGGCAATTGATCGATCCTTAAACTGGGAGTCCTTCCATTCTGCTACGCTACCGGTTGAACGCCAGTCCTTTGACTCGACTCGATTTAACCACTGATACTAATGAAGAATATAAAATTTTTTCAATCGTTTTATATTATTACTTGAATCTGGCTTAAAGTAAGTAGTTATTTTTTCGGCTTTTGAATTTAATTGCATATTAAAATGTTGATGAAAAACGTAGAAAGGGGTTTCTGTGCGTCGCTGCTTTCTGGCAGTGTTTTATACTTCGGCTACCAGCATTCGGTCCGTCCCCTCACACGTTCTCCACGATGCCAGCAGCACCAGCAACCGCTGCGGCCGCTTGTTCCAATTCGTTGATCACAACCCCACCGACTGCCTCGTCGACGGCGACCACTGCAGCGACACCGGCTGCAGGCACGGCTGCAAGCTCTGCATTATTAGGGTTCGGATTGACCAAAGCAATTGGCGGAATAGGATTGCCACCTGCAAAGGAAGTGGAGCTATAGAAAGCGGACACTTTCCTCTGTGAGTGTTACGAACTTGCATCCAATTCTAAGGGAGGATCGGCGTTTGCTTCGGCGAGATTCGTAACGGATTTCGATTTGACGCACTGAAAATCGACATGACGACTCTTGGCTTCCTCCTTCTCCCAGGACATGTGGATAAAAGGGGCGTTGGACATAGCTATAAATGACCTCGGCTCGCCCGCCTGGACGTCTCCGAATTTTCTCCTTATGTGTAGGATAACCTTCTATGCCGCACCGGATCTTCTTCAGGCCGCGATCCTTCATGACCTGCTTAGCCACATCCCGGTTCTCGATGTACTTAAAGAATCGATGCATGGCTGTGCTGTGAACGGCTGAAGTAGGAAAGTTTGTGTATTAGTGATACGCATTTCGAAACTTTAATGTCAGTTAAAAGCGAAAAGTGGATTTGGGACCAGCCCCCAACTAAGCGAGACATACTTTGGCAATACTCTTCGCCCATTTGAGGTGGAAATTCCTCATCCCAGTCCACCATGTCATCTTCAAGGAGCACAACCACATGGCACTCGCGATCGCCGCGCTGTGCTGAGGCCACCATCAACGGCAGAATAAGATCCTCGAGAAACAGCTCAAACTGCTGGCGCGCTCCTTCATTGCTGAGCTCGTGAAGAAGACCTCCTTTTTGTCGAACATAACAGAAGGCATGTTAGAGAGAAATGGAGCAAAGAGCAGAGATGGCCACAACTGAGGTTTCACCCGTGGAGGAGCATTTCGCCTATGACATACTCACTCAGGTTCTGGCAGCGTACGGTAGTGGCGTCGAAGGGTATCAGCAGATAATCACAGGCTTCCTTCAGCTCGGGAACAGATACAGTTGGGGGACAGCGGATCACGCCACTTTTGTAGTATTCCAATATTGCTCGAAACACTAAATGCGAGATGCCGTCTGCAACGTCGTATTCGCCCCGCTCATTGGGATGGACAAACTGGAAGCCTGAACCGAACATGGTGCCCAGCATGGTAGTGGGATGGGCATTTAGCAGAGATTGCTCCACCGTAAAGCGGATTCCATCCACTAGCATGGAAATCCGTTCTGGCGGCAGGCGCCCACCGACTCCACCCGACGCAGCCGCTTGGCTTGTTGAGGCTCCCCCTGGAGACTTGCTATCTTGCTTTGGTACGGCTCCTCCGCTGGACATTTTGTGTTGAGATTTATTCAGGGGGCGCTGCAGGCGGGAGCGATTCTTCGAGATGCGTCTTCTCCGCTCCTCGTCCGAGTTCTCTCCAACGCTGCTGCTGTCACTGCTGTATGTGTCTTGTTGCTGAAGCTGGTGTTGGTGCTGTTGTTGCTGTGGCTGCTTGTTGTTGCTGTTGCTACTACTACTATTGGAATTGGGAGTTGTTGACATTTTTGTCGTGTTTCTTTTGCGGCTCTGTCGCAAAAGTTGGCTCCGATTAACCGCACCGCTTCGATACACTTTAAATGGAGACAAAGAAGGGAAGGGCTTTCGTTCTATGGAGCAAATGCAAAAAATTTGAATGTCATTACGGGTACAGTGGAGCCCCGTAAACAAAAACAGCTCCAGAATTGTCTAGTCTTGCTTATCAGCATTAATTCAATAGTCCTGTCCTCTAAATTACCTCCAGATCCGAAGTTAGATATGTGCGATTATTGCCCTTTTACACATATGCTATACGTATGCATACATATATAACAATATATATGTACATAATATACACTTATGGACTTAAGTATTGGTACGGCAATAGCTTTGCTGTTTACTGTTGCTTTTAAAGCTTTTCCATCGCGATTTAAAGGGAAAAATAGTTTGATACGATCAATCAATCAATTTTCTTTAAGATTGGCCAATTAAAAGAATGAATGTCATGATTTTTATAAAGTTATTTAAGAAAAATGTCGAATTGAATTTAGCTAACTGGCCACCAGTGTGACCGCGGATTTATCAATAGCCTGACCCTCCAAAATATACCTTCTCTTTTTTTTAAATATACCGTAAATATACCAAGGAAAAAACTAACTTAACCCAGTTAACCCCGCTTTATTTAAACGTATGAGTATCATGGGTATCTCTGCCTCTCTGCCCTGAATATACAAAGGTTAGCAAAAGTGGTTAGCATACCCATAACCACTGATTTTCATCGCTTTTCTACTGCGGGCTTAATTTAATAATTAAAGAAAGTAAAGCATTAAGAAGAGGAAGGGAATAAGTGGTAGATATATGTATATAAAAATACAGTCCTACAGCATAAGGCTCCAAAATCAGTGAAATTCAACTCTTTTAGCGAGTAATTTTTATATAATTATTTTCATTATTAACCGTCTTTTATCTCTTCCCTATATATGACAGTGCATACTTTTTCCATATGAACGGTGAGGGTAGCCTACAGCCGGTGCCATTCCCGAATTATAAATAAAAAGATATACACTCTTAATTTGTACCATATATTAATATAAATATCAATTGAAAGTTTAGTATTAATATTTCGAAGCAGCATGGAAAACAAATTTAACATAAGTTAGAGGGTGTAATAGGGTGTACAAATGTCCCATACTCATAGCAGAAACTTGGTTGACCAGCAACAATGACGTTACATTCCGTACACACTGACGTATTATGTTTTCACTTGTATCCTATTTTGTAAAGAAGTCAATAAAAAGGAGTACTTCAAATTAACTATTCCTGTTAAAAATTAATTTATCAATCGGATAAAATTATGTTTGTATTGCTGAGGGTTCTAGCTAGCTAGTAGTACTAAATCGAATAGCAAAATCGGGGAATATGATACATAAATATGTAGTTAATATGATGCAAATGTGTAGTTACCATGTAAAACATCAATTCTGCCATCAAAAAACCATTAATTAAACCGTATTTTATAAATAATCAAATAGAAATGTGTACCTAACATAAGCGAATCTCTTAGGAAATGAATCAATTTCTCGTAGAAAATTATATGATCAGTGCTGAGGGCTCCAGTAATTAGTATTTCACTAATCCGAAAATCAAAATCGGGGAAACGGATCCATTTTGGCCCATTTTCTTCGGTATATTTACGGTATTTTTTGAAATGATACGGTATATTTGGGTATTTTTCTGCTAGGCTGACGGTATATTTTTTCGATAAATCCGCGGTCACACTGGTAGAAAATTTATAATGGCGACAAATCTGTGAAAATCTTGTAAATAATCATAAAAATTGCATTGTCCCCAAAAATGCAAATGCAATTACGTGAAACGTGAGTGTGAAATAAATGCTACGCAAAATTGATTAATACTGTGCTATTTTCGCACAGTAACAAGTGCCACCAGCGTGTGTGTCTGCGGCGGCAAAAAACGCAAATGTAAAAATATATAACAAAATTGCATTCACTTGGGCCAATACAAAAGTAGTGATACATGTGTTTAATTAATTTTATCAGCAACATTGCTACAAAATATCCCTTCTAAATCAATAACAAATGCTTTTATTACAATAAAAGGGGGAAAAAGTGCAAAAAAAAAACCTATGATTATTAGTAGGCTGAAGAGAGGAAGAGGAGGATGGTTGGCTGACAAGTAGAAGCTGATAAATGCAACACGCGCACCACCTGCTTGCCTCCCGCTCGCACTTATAGACATAGTAATCGCGCCCTTAAAACGAGCGTGCTGTGTGGGAGCGAGAAGGCTTGAGAAGTCGTGTCATAGCAGCTAAACAATATCCGAAAGCTAAAGAGTTTTTCCATATTTTTTGTGTATTTTTGGTGTGAAAACCCAAGGATGGATAAAAAATAATTAATCCTTATCAAAGACCTAAAATTATAATGTTTTTATATTTCCGAACGTCAAGACGAGCCTCAGAAGCGTGGCAATTATCTGAATAAATTAAGCAAAACACAAACACAGAAACGCACAAAGTGTGTGCAAATCAACGAACAAAACAAACCGTAGAAAAAGAACGTGAGAAGAGGAGCGGAGCGGGAATAAGATAACTCGCCTGGAGAGGAGTGCTGAGCACACAGGACTGCAAAGTGGCGTCGCTACTGAAGATTAGGGCTGGGGCAGCAGCGGCGTCCATGTCCAAGGGTCGGCACAACAATAACCCCTATTGCACCACTACCAGGAGAGCGCATCAGCAGCAGCCGGTGTGGTGTCGCCAATTGTGGCCTTAAGCATGTAGTAAGTGCAGAAAATGCCTTTGCATAGATCGAATTCCAATTGAACTGTCCAATCTCTCTCTATCTCTCTCTGTTGAATTGGAATCACTTAGGTCTTGAAGCAAGAACCCGTTCTCTTACCAAGCACAAGACACGAGGGAGAAGAAGTAAATCAAAACAGCAGAAACACACAAAACCAACTCGACACCAATGAAAAATGTCACAAAGAGGTAAGCGCGGTAATCAACATCATCATCAGTCGCATCATCCGCCGCCGCAGCAGCAACAGCGTAAGGATGTTGAGCCACAGCCGCCCCCCACCAAACGGCGTAAAGGTAGACCGCCCAATGGGGCAACAACAGCCGCGGCAGCAATAGCAGCAGCGGCAGCGGGAACAGCAACAGGAGGAGACCGAGTTCCAATTATACCATCTAGTAAAAGCAAAAATGATATGGAACTGGAGCTTGATATTGGTGGAGGAAGTGGACTACCTGGAGCCGCCAGCAGCAGCAGCATTAGCAAATCCAAGTCAACGAAGCTGGCCAAGTCGTCTAGTAAATCCAAGTCGCAGGGGGCGAGTACGAGTAGCTCATGGCAGGCTCGGTCCGTGGCAGACATTAAAATGTCGAGCATCTACAATCGCAGCTCAACGGAGGCCCCAGCTGAACTTTACCGGTAAGTATTCGACGAAAGGTGAAAGGCAGTGGCTATCTTGCTTCGAGTCTCTATAAACATCTCCGTTCTTCTCCCGTGTCATTTGCAGCAAGGATCTCATTAGCGCAATGAAATTGCCGGACTCGGAGCCATTGGCCAATTATGAGTATTTAGTTGTGGCGGATCAATGGAAGCAGGAGTGGGAGAAGGGCGTACAAGTACCTGTTAACCCCGACTCCCTTCCCGAGCCATGCGTTTACGTTCTGCCTGAGCCAATTGTGTCACCAGCCCACGACTTTAAGCTGTGAGTGTTATGACCTAGTATCCATTAATCCCAGTTTAGCCATGAAATTAACACTCTCCGCATCTCATTTTTAGTCCGAAAAATCGCTATCTGCGCATTACCAAAGACGAGCACTATTCGCCGGAGCTGCATTGCTTGACGAATGTCGTTGCCTTGGCAGAGAACACCTGTGCCTACGACATAGATCCCATTGATGAGGCCTGGCTGCGTCTCTACAATGGCGATCGTGCTCAATGTGGAGCTTTCCCCATTAACGAGACACAGTTCGAGCGCGTCATTGAGGAGCTGGAGGTGAGTGTCCCACAGAACGCTAACTTCTGAAACAGTTCTTCATTTGATGGTGACTTTTCGTCGTCAGGTTCGTTGCTGGGAGCAGATTCAGGCGATTCTTAAGCAAGAGGAAGGCTTGGGCATCGAGTTCGATGAAAACGTCATCTGCGATGTTTGCCGGTCCCCCGACTCGGAGGAGGCCAACGAAATGGTATTCTGTGATAATTGCAATATCTGTGTGCATCAGGCTTGTTACGGAATTACAGCAATCCCATCAGGTAAGCAGCGACAACGAAGAATCCCTCCATTGTCGACAACATTTTAATCTGTTCCCCTTGTTTTGCAGGTCAATGGCTATGTCGCACCTGTTCCATGGGCATAACGCCTGACTGCGTCCTATGTCCGAACAAGGGTGGCGCCATGAAGTCCAACAAATCGGGCAAGCACTGGGCCCACGTTTCCTGCGCCCTGTGGATACCAGAAGTCAGCATTGGATGTGTGGATCGCATGGAGCCGATAACAAAAATCTCAAGCATTCCTCAATCGCGCTGGTCTTTGGTCTGCGTGCTCTGCAGAAAGCGCGTGGGCAGCTGCATCCAATGCTCGGTGAAGCCCTGTAAAACAGCATACCATGTGACCTGCGCATTCCAGCACGGCTTGGAGATGCGGGCCATCATCGAAGAGGGCAATGCCGAAGATGGCGTGAAGTTGCGTTCCTATTGCCAGAAGCACAGCATGAGCAAAGGCAAGAAGGAGAACGCTGCCGTTGCAAGTGGGGGAGGCAGTGCCTCGGTCACGAGTTCCATGCACAAACCGAACAAGTATGGCGCTGTTACAGGCGGCGGAGCAGACGAGGGCAGTAGTGCGTGTGGTAAGACAGGAGAGGATCAACGCAGGCGTAAGAATCATCGAAAGAACGACATGACCTCCGAGGAGCGTAATCAGGCAAGGGCTCAGCGTCTACAGGTATGGCAAATCGATCGATGATTAACTTTAAATGCATAAATTCCATAAATTTGCTTTTTATCCTCAGGAGGTGGAGGCGGAGTTCGACAAGCATGTGAACATTAATGACATCAGTTGTCATTTATTCGATGTGGACGACGATGCCATTGTGGCCATATATAACTACTGGAAGCTGAAGCGAAAGTCGCGCCATAATCGAGAGCTGATACCGCCTAAGTCCGAGGACGTGGAGATGATAGCCCGCAAGCAGGAGCAGCAGGACTTAGAGAACCATAAACTTGTGGTTCACTTGCGGCAGGATCTGGAGCGAGTTCGCAATCTATGCTACATGGTTAGCCGGAGGGAGAAGCTGTCGCGCTCCCTATTCAAGCTACGCGAGCAGGTCTTCTACAAGCAGCTGGGAGTGATCGACGCGATTCGCCTGGACAAGCAGCAGCAAAAACAGGAAGAAAAGCAGCGTCCCGCCCTGGACATGGACACTGTAATATACGCCAACGATGGGCCCACGTTGTACGATCGCTTCTACAGCTCGGCTGGAGGACAAACTGTGCCGGCACAGTACCAGGATCTGGAGTATGTCCTCGAGCAGCTCATGGGCAAGATACAGAGTGGAAAGCAGGGACGTCGACGTGCCTCCCAGTCCCCCAACAAGCGTAAGCAGGTGGCTAAAGCTTCCCCCACCAAGAGGGTCAACAATGGCGCCATTACTTCCCGCACATCTTCTCCAGAGAAGCCTACAGCGATGAGCAAGGTGGCATCCATATCCTCCACTGCTGCAAAGGTGCGGGGGGCACCGCCTGGGAAGCCTCCTACAGGGAGGCGTGCCTCGAAGAGCGGCGCGGCGACGGGGACGTCGACCCACAATAAAACTCAATCGCAATCGCATTCCCTCATCCGAAGCAGTGCGTCCTCCCATACGTCAAGCGGCAGTTCATCATCTGGTGATTCCAGCTCGCCGAATGGCACCAGTAGTTCCGACAGTTCCTCTGCAAGCGATTCAGGAAGTGAAAGCGGTACCTCAAGCGCGGCCAGCGGAATCTCCAGGCGAAAGTCTTTCACCACAGGGAGTCCCCTCAAAAAGCAAAGTTACGCGCGCTCCGTCGAGCAGAGACAGAAGCAGCGCCAGCGGCGTCAAAGTGAGGCGGCTGCAAGTGCGCCTGCGGCGTCTCCGAACTCAAGATCTGCCACCAGCTCTAGCGAAGATGAGGACGATCAGCAGAGGCGGCGGCAAGAGTCAGAGCGTGAGGGCCGCGGACGTGGAGCAATATACAACAAAACAGTACCTAACAGAACCCAGCCAACTAAGTCAAAGCAAAGCAGTCAAGCAGATGCAGGAGCCGCAGTCGGGACGGGAGCGAGAAGAAAAGTGTCAACAACAACACGAGGATTGGCTCAGATGCACAAGGATGCCGAGGAGAGCTTGTGGAGCGATGAAAGTGAAGAATTGCTGCCTATGAAAGGCGAAATGCAACGCGAGGCCATTTCATCGTCTGGGGGACTGGTGCCGTCTGGCCCGATGACCGGTGGCAGGAAGATGGGGCAACATATTTACTCTGACTCGGAGAGCAGTTCCTCTTCCAACGAGAAGGAGCTGGAAGAAATAACCACTGTTGAGAGCAACGTCAGTGATTCGCAGAACCAGCAGACGATACGAACGAAGGCGGCCATGAAGGAGTTTGTGCCAGGCAAAGCTGCTACAACGACCCAATCAGCCACAACAGCCACAGCCGCTGCCAGCAAATCCACAAAATCCACAAAAGATGCAAAAGAAGGAGGCACCAGTTCTAAAGCGAATTCCAACGCGAAGTTGCCATATCAAGCGGATCTACTGGTAGTTCCACAGCGTCAGGCAGCCAAGAAGGCTTCCGAGAACATGCGCTCCACGAATCTCGCCACAGCGCTGCAGCCAGATGCTTCAGATAGAATGCGTGAGCCAGAAACCAACTCGGCTGCTACAAGTGCCAAGAACAAGCCGAAGGACTCCGGCTCGAAGCAAGCGACGGAGGCGGATAAATTCGGTGGCGGAGACAAGGTGCGATCCAAAGAGCAGACGAAGTCTACAGTGAAGTCGGCTGGAGAAGCGATAGTGGAGCGTGGCAAGCGTGGTAGACCGCCCAAGGTGCCGAGAAAGCACCCTGCCGCCTCCACCAGCAGCATTGAAAAAGAGAAACCACCTCCCCCCACCGAAGCAAAGTCTACTGCTCCTGTCACAAATCCTACCGCAGCCAAGACCACTTTTGCTGTCTCCTATGTGCCACAGAGACAAGCAGCTAAGAAGGCGGCGGAACAGCTGAAGAGCAGCAAGCCCATACAGGAAACCGCCTTCTCAACTGCGAATGAATCTGCAGAGAAGGAACTAGCGGCGACGACAACGGGGACGCCGTCGACAGGAACAACAACATCGCCGGTAAAAATCACGAGAAGAACTTCACTAAAGGAAGCACCGAACACTCCAAAGGAAAGCTCACCTAACCGAAGAAAGTCGAAGGAGGAGGCAGTGGTGATAGCAACGAAAACGACAACACCAATCAAGCGTCGGATTGCTGCACCCAATCTTTCCAGCTCCAGCTCCGGGGACAGTGATAGCTCCAGCTCCTCCAGCAGCTCGGGGAGCAGCTCGAGCAGTGGCAGTGGCAGTGATTCAGATAGCGAATCGCAGGCCAGCGATGCAGAGAAGCCAAGGCAAGCAAGCAAGGAGGCAGTTCCAAGCGCTGTAGCACCCTACAGTACCATGTCCTCCAATGTGCCAAAGCGTTCACCGCGCAAGTCTGTGGACAAACCTATAGCATCAACAGCAGCCGTAGTTACGGCGCCGCCCCCGCCACCACCGCCTCAGGCTGCCAGGACTCGTCAGAACTCCACCAACAAATCGCCAAAGAGAGCACCCCAGAAGTCAGTGGCCACGATTGCCATTCAGGACGATGCCCAAAACGCCCCCAAACTGCAATCCTATCGCAGCCAATCCTCTTCAGACGAGGGATCAAAGCAAGTCCAGTCGGAGCAATTCACCAAAAGAGCAACGCGTGCCTCCAAGTCGCGCCCTCCCTCGCCAGAAAAACAGACTCCCCGACGAAAATCTCGAGCCGACGAGTCCCCCAAAAAGTTGCCAAACTTGGAGCACGAAATCAATCAGAGAAAGGCGGCCAGCGGAAAAGCTACCAGCGCGTTGGACAAGATGCTGGATAAAAAGCAACAGCAAATCAACAACTCCACGCCAGTATCACCTCTCAGAAATTCCCCCACACCCATACCTACGCCTATTACAACGCCGCCAGCTTCTTCTCCTCCGCCCGTTAAGCTCCTACATGAGCCCGAGCCAGTCGTCGAACCCGAGGTGGGGATAGAGCCCGACCAAGAGCCGGAACCAACAACAGAGGCAGGGGAATTGCCCATGGATATTGATGAGGAGCTGACCACCGCTCCAACGCATACGCAGCTATCGGCCAATGCCAGCAAACTCGCAGACATCATTGATGACGAGCGTCCGCCTGCCGCTCCACTTCCTGCCTCGCCCACACCCACTCCCACCTCGAACGACGAGTTGTCGGATGCAGGCAGTGATCTCAGCGAGCGGTGTCGCAGTCGCTGGCGCTCGAGGCGGAGGAGAAGGAGACGAAGCCACGAGCCAGACGAAGAGCACACCCATCACACGCAGCACCTCCTGAACGAGATGGAAATGGCCCGCGAGTTGGAGGAGGAAAGGAAGAACGAGCTGCTGGCGAATGCTAGTAAGTATTCGGCGTCAACATCGTCTCCAGCAGTGACCGTCATCCCACCCGATCCCCCGGAAATCATAGAATTGGATTCGAACTCGGCCAACTCGGGAGATCAGCAACAACAGGCGCATCCGCAACTGCAAGATCAACCGTTGCCAAAACAGTTGATGGTACACTCACCCGCAAGCGAGGTTGTCTCTACCATTCAGCAGCAACAGCAGCCCCCGCCTTCGCATCAGACCTTAATCGCGCAGTTGCCTGTGGAGCACATGGCCCCTGTGCTGACAATCGGTCCAGCCGCACCATGTGTCCTAGAGCCGATTGTGGACACCATTCTAGAGATGGAGGACAGCAAGTTTGCGAATAACTTTGCGTCGAGCCTAGCCAGCGTGTTGAATCCACCCAATCCCGGGCAAATGAGTCTCCTCGGATCGAGCCTGGACAGAGGCGAGCAAATCTCTGAAGAGGATAGCATCCAGGCCACCCGAACTCTTCTAGAGAAATTGCGAAAGACGAAGCGGAAGGCCCAGGATGACTGTTGCTCGAAGGAAGCCGTTGACTTGTTGCCCCCCACGCCAGCCATTCCGTCGGTGTTCCCGTTCCACAATGCTGCTGACCCCGAGGATATTATTCACGCCCAAAAGGAGCAGCAGCAGCATCAGCAGAATCAACAACAGCAACAAAAAAGTTGTCTGTATGGGAACTCTTCAGGACCGAACTCTGTGGCTTCTCTAACCATCAAGGACTCGCCAATGACAGCCAACAGTGGAAGTTATACCAATAGCTTGACGAACACTCCGAATGCCACGCCCACGAATGCAACAATGGGAAACAATCTGGGAGCAAGCAGTGGCTACCAGGTGAACTTTGGCAACTCCCAGCAAGTGCCGCCCCTGAGCTGCTTCCTTGAGAAGTCATCCCACCAAAAGGGAGGCTGTCCTCTTTCCAAAAATGGAGGAGGAGTTGCTGGACTAGCGGGGGCCACTCCAGACTTTGTGGACCTCGCTGCGGCGGCTGTGAAAAATAGTATCGATAGCTACCAAGTCGTAGCAGCAATTCCGGGCTCCCAGTCCGGGGCAGGAAGCAACAACAACAAGCTCAGCGACTACGACGAGAACACACGAATGCAGTCGCCCTTCGGCAGGATGCAGCGCTGGAACGAAAACGATCTAATAGCAGCGCGGCGCAGTAGCTCCCCCAGCTCTGTATCGGAGTCTAACGATCAGCCCCCAGAATCGGTGGCTGCCCGCAACATATCCCAGCTGGAGGGCTGCAAGACCTTCTTCAACAGCTACGCCAGTGGTAATGGTGGAGGCGGGAGTGCAGTCAATCCCACTGCTCCCTACAGTCATGCTCCTCTGGTCAATGGCATTGACGGAATATCCATGTTCAGCAGCGCAGCAGCGCCACAGCAACAAACGACGCCGACCCACCAGCAGCAGCAACAGCAGCGGACGCCGAATAGTCAGTACAACGGAAGAATCTATCCCCAACTGGCGTCGATGATGCACACCCAGTCAACGCCAACGGAACCGAATCCGAGTTTGTACGGCAATGGTGGAGTGGGTGTGGTGTCTGGTGTGAGTGTGGGACCTGTACCGACAGCTCTGCCACCGCCACCACAAGCACACCAGTACTCCGGGACGCCGTACACCACGCCCAGCCTGGGAATGCTTCCCGTTCAGCAGCAGCCTGTCGTTCCGCCCGTTCAAGTCACGACTACCTCGAATCATCAGTTTGCCCTGGCCCCGCCGGTAGATGGAAAGATTCCCGCCTACCCTGCTCATTCAGCTCAACTGCTTAGCAGTTGCGTGGAGGCAGCAGTAGTGTCGATGATGCCCCCAACGACGCCAGGTACCGTTGCAGTCAAAGAGTCGCCGAACAAGAGGAGCAGCGTCAATAGCGGGATCGCAGCTAAGAAGCAGGCAAACAAATCTCCACAACTGCCGCAGGGCAAATCTCCGGGAAAGTCTCCCAGGCAACCCCTGCAGCCGCCTACGCCTCCTACACCCACTCCGGCTGTGACTGTACCACCATCCAAGTACGATCCGCTAACACACACGATTCAGGGTAAGCCCCGCCAACGCGCGCCGAGGGGAAGTGTTGGCTCCGGGGCTCCAGGTAGAGGCAGGGGACGTGGCAGGGGACGGGGTCGTGGAGCAGGAACTGCCAGTGGAATGGCCATGTCGCTCCCGCCGCCCATGTCAGATTACGGAAGCAACACGCATATAGTCAACAACCTGGTGGGAACGCCCTTTGAGTTCAATAATTACGACGATGACATGGCGGGACCAGGAGTGGAGAATCTGCAGTCGTTGAGGAATCGGCGCAGAAGCTTTGAGCTGCGAACACCGCGAGGACAGGCCAAGCCCACACCAACGGCCAGTGCTGCGACAACAACGAATCCGTTACTGCATCCTGTGCTGCCAGGGCCAGTGGACATGAGGACCTACAATCTCGGCTTCGAGGCTCCACATAGCACGGCTTCCCAGGAGGCCTACCAGAACAACCTCCTGGGAGCCTTTGACTCTGGAACCGCAGATCAAACGCTGAGCGAGTTCGACGAGGAAGACGAACGCCAGTTCCAGTCGGCTCTTAGGGCGACAGGTACTGGAACCTCGCCCAGCAAGCAGCCAGCGGTGGCAGCAGCGCCAGTTGCTCCAGCTCCTAATGCGAACTCTCAACCCACCGCAAATCTTCTCCTGCACTCAACAGAGGCCAATCAAATGGCACTTAGTGTCGCTGCCACAGGCGGCGCAACCCACTTGATGGAGGGATCGCTGGTTGAGGCTTCCTTAGAGGCAACATCGGAGGAGGTCTCAATAGACTCGGACACAACAATTCTGAACAGCAAAACGTCCATCTGCGATGCCCGGAATCAGCTGAAGCTGAAGATCAAGAGCCCCCTGGCTTACTCTGGGGAGCACTACAGCACAATGACAAACAGCCTGAGCAGCAGCCTGAGTCTCTCCAGCAGCACTCTGGTTCAGTCTTCGAGTGCTGTGCAAACCACGATGTCCACCTCCACGGTGGTCAGTGCTTCCTCCGTGGGCAGCGGCAACTCGCGACGAATGCGAAAGAAGGAGCTGCTCAGTTTGTATGTGGTGCAGAAGGACAACCTCAACGACGACAGCTCTTGCGGACTTCCAGCGGCGTCCGACAACCTTCCCCTGGAGAACCTCCTGCGCAAGTCTGAGGAGGAGGAGGATGTGGCCACCGGCAATGGAAATGGGAATGGGTCTAAGAGATTCAAGAAGAACTCCAGCAGCAGGGAACTGCGCGCTCTCGACGCTAATTCAGTGCTAGCGGAGGACCAACTGCTCTCGGGCGTTTCGGGCGGCGGAGCAGGAACGGTATCTGGCGATGGAAGACGTCGCAGCGCTTGCAGCTCGGGAAGTAATAACGACAACAACGGCAAGACCGGTGCGGCCAGCAGTGCAGGTAAGCGTCGGGGACGGAGCAAGACTCTCGAGAGCAGCGAAGACGATCATCAGACCCCCAAGTTGAAGATTAAAATCCGGGGCTTGTCGGGTAGCGAGGCAGTCGGTTCTGTAGGAATTCCCAATGCGGGCGATAGCAAGAGCTACAGCTATGAGATGACCCGAAGAGCTTGTCCTCCAAAGAAGCGCTTGACAAGCAACTACAGCACTCCCACGCTGGAGGAGATTAAGAGGGATTCCATGAACTATCGTAAAAAAGTCATGCAGGACTTTGACAAAGGCGAGGAACATAATAAGCGGGATAAATCTGGCATAGCTCTGGATGGCGAAACTCTGATGCCTCAGCCTCCCAGCAAGCGACCAAAGTCGTCAAAGCCGAAAAAGGACAAGAAGGAGAAGAAACGCCAAAAGCAGAAGCAGCTCATCCTGAACAGTAGCACAACCACAACCACAATGACTACCACGTTGATTGAGAACACAGCCAGTGCCTCACCAGGCGATAAGCCAAAGCTGATCCTTCGAATTAACAAGCGCAAAACTGAGACTTCGACAAAAATCACGTGCTTGGAGCAGCCGCCGGTGAACGAGGCACCGCTGCGCCTAAAGATAGCCAGAAACTCCTCAGGAGGAGGGTATATAATCGGCGCTAAAGCTGAAAAGAAGGAAGATCCGCCACGTGATCCGCCAAATGTGTCCCCCCATCAGCTACCGATGATGGCTCCCCACGGGGAGACATCGCCCCAAGGGCGGCTTCTCAACAGCTTTACACCGCACTCCCAGAATGCGAATGCCTCTCCAGCACTGCTAGGCAAAGACACCGGAACGCCATCGCCGCCCTGTTTGGTAATAGACTCCAGCAAGAGTGCTGATGTGCATGACTCCACTTCGCTGCCGGAGAGCGGCGTGGCTGCCATGGGTGTTCCTGACTCCCTGGTTGGCGCCACTACCCCACTTTGCGTGAACGTAGGTAATTATGAGAATAGCAACAACTCGTTGCCATCGGCCAGCGGCACTGGGTCTGCATCCAGTAATTCCTGCAACAGCAATTCGAACAACAATAACAATAACGGCAGCGGAGGGGGCGCAGCCAGCGGGGGTGGCAGTTTGCTTCCATTGAAAAAAGACTGTGAGGTTAGATGATAATCATAAAAAGCGAGACAATCGCTAACATGTGTGTTTTCTATCACTTCATTCATTTCATTTTCCCTTTGTGTGATTTCTCTGTCCTTGCCCCTTTAGGTGTAAATGAGCATTAGTCGCCTCCCCTCCCATTCCCTTCCATATCCCTCGCGAACTTTAAATTGTACAGCTAGTTTGTAAGCCTCCTTCCTACCTTCTACCCTACTCCTTTGTCTGTAACATGTTTGTTGTAATCGCATGAGCGTAAACAAGATATTATCAATATATAGAGAACCGTCTATATATACATATATATGTATAGATCATTATGTATAGTAAGGCCTCACTGCAAGAAACAAGTAAATCTAATTGTACATTTTTAGTAAAAGCTGATTATACTTTTAAGGTTTTGTAAAATACTGTATTAAAGTTAAAAAACAAAACGCAATTGAATGTGTAACCCAAAAAATCCAAAAATGCTCTCGGTCTAGGTTTACGAATGCCTCCATTCACCCAAAAATCCTTCCACTCCTACTCACTCAAATGATCGATAAAACCAAGCATATGCATAAACTAAAAACTATTTATTAATATATATTTAATTCAAAAATGCGTATAATAATCGTAAAATATTAGCAAAAAAAAACTGTTAAATGCGTGCAAAAGAAACAAAAAAAAAACACAAAAAATGTAGCCTATAGTCATTAATTGTAGTTCTTAGCGAAAATCAAAGTCGGTAGGTACTCCCTGACCGCAATCTAAGTGCATATAACTCCCCTTCCTCATCTCCAGCCTATACCTATACCTAGAGAGATTAACAAGAAATCAACATCTTATTATCCTACCCAATTCATGGGTAATGTTTGTATTTTAGAATGTAAGAGTGCGACGAGTCGTATCGAAAAGAAACTCCAAATGAAATAGTTTCGTTTTATTTTTTTTTTAGCGTTTTTTAAAGTGTAAAAGCAATAGAAACATACGCAAAAGTCCACTGGTTTTCTATAAGCAAAGATCTGTTGCTCGATCCAAGTCATGAACACACATACACCCAAAACACAAAACAAAAAAATCGCTTTTAAACCCGAGGCACTCTAGCCATCTTAGAGATATTCACCCAATGTGATTACATTCCAGATTCCAGTTCAGGTCCTCAAAGACTTTTAATTCCCCAAAGACTTTTAGAAAATCCTAACCGCCATAAGGTCGTTGTGCATGCTATTTCTCTTCACTAAATTAGTTATTGACTTAATCACATTGGGCGTGGAGCCTCCATTAAAAGGTAAAAGCTATCCAGAATACATTAAATAAACAAATGCAACAAATATTAATTCCAGAATATTAAACACCCAAAAGAAGGCATAGGGAATAATTCAAGTTGTGCGAAGAATAAATTGTATACAGTAATTTCAAGAGTAAATTTAAAAGTTTTCGATAATTGTGTAATTGTAAATAAGTGTGTGCGAGAAATGTTTTTAATTATTATTATTACGTTTAATCTAATTATTAATTAATGATTATGATTATTAATTTTAATTCTAGTTCTTAGCAAAAATTTAATAAAAGCAAAAAAGCCTTATTTAAAAACAAAACTAATAAACGCTGCACAATATTTTTTTCTATTTCTATATATCTAGTGGGATAATCAATTTACTGAAAATTGAAGTAAACGCTGTATATAAGTGACAGTTAAGTATTACACTTAGTTGTATTATAAATACGAAAATATAGAAGAAATTATTCATAAACTATTGAGAAAGAGATCTGTTTATGATATTCTTCCGATCAAAAGGAGCCCAGGCCCACGCACCGTACGGAAAAAGAACTATTTTAGTTAGGGGCAAAGTCGATTGGGCAAGGTCCAGATCTGCCAAGGACCTACTTTCCCAGGATCGTGATGATCCACATTGTCGTGCGGCATTAGAATCTGACAAGGAATATAATAGTTATAGCTTTATATATAGCGGTTTTATTTAAAACGTAATTGCAAATATCCTACATCCTTGATATTTGATAAGGACTTTCTATAAAATCAAGAATGTTTTCCCGATCACAAGAAGCCCACAAATAATGAGAGCATGTTGCATTGTTATGCATATCTCGACTATTAATGGTGCGATCTGGGTGTTGCATATCCATTTATTAGCCGGACCTGAAATAGCAGAGTTAATAGGAGAGATAACCGATTTATTGCGTGATTTTTTCACTGATTCATCCATTCACTGATTTATTCATTGATTCATTCACTGATCTATTCATTGATTTATTGAGAACATTTATGATACTTTAATGTTCAATAATGTTCACACATGTCCGTTCATGTCCATTCATGTTAATCCATGATCGGATAAAAAACAGCAAAAATATAGCCTAATAGGGACTTCATTCACAAATAAATTTATAATGGCAGTATCCTTTATGTCCAGGAATCCAAAGAGATTGCAAACGATGCAGGATTTTTTCCCGATGGCGAGGAGACACGAGCCGACGGACAGCAAGCATGTATGTGTGTACGTGAAACACTCCCAAATATATGATTGTATGCATAGAATAATTTTTAGCTGCCAAAACCGATTTTGCTTGAGATGTCAGCTTACGTAAATATGTGTGTGCCATGTGTCTTCAGTCAGCCGAAGACCTGGGAACGTACGCTAAAAACACAGCTGCGCAACTTTCGTTGTATGAACTGGCACATCTATATGGCTCGACTATCAAAGAAAATAAGAAAACAAAAATGGTCTAATGTTGTCAATTGTTGTACAAAAAAAATTGTGGCTATTGTTGTTGTACAACAAAAGATTTTGATGGTGCAACAACCACCCTCCATTTTTTTATGCCCAAGAGTATGCTCTGATTTCAAATCCAATTGCAATATAAAGTATGCAATGAAAATTTTCACATAGGTAATTTTGCTTTCTACTGATTTCTGTTCGCCTGTTCGCAGATTTGAAATCTCCGTTTTGAGCGCCACCAAATTGAGGGTGGTGTGGTTGTACAACATTTACAAAAAATATAAAAATTGACAACACCACTCACTTCGTGTCCATCAGTCCATCATAATAAACACATACTTCAGTATCCACTCAATTCACTTAAGCTATTAAATACCAAAAATCGTGGTTTCTCCTTTATTTCTTGGCTGATCGGGGCATGCAGGCTTATTCCTTATCACGGCTCGGCTCCCTACAACGCTAAACCTATGGTCTTTATTGTCGGATGGCTATCAAGACCCACAATAAAACAAATTTTTTTTTGTATATATTTTTTTTGTGTGTTGTAATTCCAAAGAACTTTATTTAGTTTGAAAGCATTTTCCTTACCATTCATTATCTTCGTCTCTTTCTTATTTTTTTTTTTTTTTTAGGTTTTTATATTATTTTGTTAGTCTAGTGCTGGTTTCCTGTTTAGTTATTTCAATGGTTAGTATGTGTTTATCGTATCTGTATATATAACGTAGCCTTTCGGTTTTTGGAAAATGGTTTCGCTTTTTAAAATGTACAAATCTTGTAGGATTGCTTCTCGCTACACAAATAATTTTTTGGTTTAGTTGCGTTAGTTAGTACATATCTGGTTAATGTGTCGAGTGGTTGAGTACACACACAAACATCCATTTATAATTACATATGTACAGTTAAACAGTAAGGGTTTTTTAAATTTATATTTGCGAGTCTAGGAAACCAAATTGGGTGTCGAGTATGTGAGAGGGAACTTTGTTGTGTGATTCATACGAGTACGGGATGATGCTTCCTATAAGAGAAGAAAATAGTTCATAGAGCTACATACATATATAATTGCGTAATACACTTTTTACAACATTTAGCCAAGTACCCATACGCATAAAATAGATACGAGTATCAAAATTTTTTTTAAAGTTTTTTTTTGAGATTTCCGAGCTATTGATTATACATACAGTATTATTATTCCGTTTTTGTTAACTCCTTTTTGTTGTGTATTACAATTTTCTTTTACCCTTTCCTTTTTCGGTTGAGTATTTTTACAGGCCGCCTTTAAGAAAAAATGTCCCACCTTCTTCCCTTCTACCTTAATCATCAATGTCACCATCAATGAGAAGCAATCACAAAGTTTTCTCTTAATATATGCCACAAATATTATGTCCATTCTTTAGAACGCTATTCTTGAGTAAGTTTCCTCATGTATTCACACGATTTCTTAGATATCATGCAATGCACAATATAGCCAGCGTTTCTGGCTTTTAGCAACTCTACAACTACGATTAATTTTATGTCGAAAATGTTTACGGTTTTCCTTTCCTTTACACATTGAGGTGGTATATATTTTCTTGGGGTATTTTGGTTAAAAAAACTGTGTCACAATTTTTACAAACAGCCATTTGTTAAACGTACAATTATGTGTGTCTGTTATGCAAATAAGTGTTGTGCTATATAATCGTATAAGAATTACATTTTATAACCTGAGCGCAATCTTTTTATGGTTTCTACTTCTTGTCGAATTCGCATTTCAACAGCTTTTTCATTTTACCAATTTGTGTATATACTACTTCCACACATATACATAAAGTTTAATAAGATGGAGATGTTTTCTATCCAATTTCCAAATATGGATTACTTTTTTACCTGTTTTTTAATATATTCTGGATTCGGTTTATAGTTTGTTAATCTCAAATATTGTCCACACATATACATACACAAATATATATAGTATATTGTATCATATCAGATATAGTAGGTGTGTGTTTTTATAGCTATAAATTCTAATTAGCAAATGCATTGGGTTGGTTGGATCCACTGTTAAATAATGGCTGAAAAAATAAAACAAAAATGTATTCGTTTTCTTTTTTGTTTTCTTATTATTTTATACAAACAGTTTACACAAGGTTTTTTGTTTTATCTACCAGTTAAAGTAATACGTAGCCAATATACATATACATACATATATATGCAGTTAAGAATGATTATTAGCGGGCTCCGTTAATATTTTATAATTCAAATACTAATTCAGTTTACATTTAAAGTTGCTCCTTACACACATATGAACAGAAAACAGGAGTCTCCAAAATCGTATACATATATCATTCAATATATATGTATATGTATATGTATATATATATATGTATATATATATATATGTATAATGCTTCAATAGTTTTCTCCTCTTTCCAATTAATAGTTGTGCTATGTGTTTATAATATACATGTCCATTACTCATCGTAGATATGGGCTATTTATTGGTGGGGTATGGAAATAATTCTATGTACATGGTGCATTAGCTGAGCGAAATATAATATTTCATATATATCGCTTAATTCTATACGGTGCTTAATACCTCTATCTAGAGATGCGGTATAAGCTGTTTGTTTATTGATCGATTGAGTCACATTAACTTGCACTCGAATTTCGACTCTGATCAAAATAAATCTGTACTTTATATATACATACATATATAGTAAAAGATATATATTTAAGAAAGACTTTAGGTATGAACAAAGTTTTTAAGGGATCCTAGTTTTTGTTTTGTTTTTGCTATGAGATCTCCGTGAAAGTTTTGAAAGTTCTTATTTTTTTCATTTTTTTCCTTTAAGCTAATCCATTTATGTATACTCTATACTCATGATCATATTTATATTGCTATAATCAATAACTACATACATAATCGTACTCATATTCGTATTTATATAGCTATAATTATTTCCTACATACATACATAAGAAAGCAGCACGGTTAAAAAGCAATCGAGATGGAAATTTGTGGTTTCAAGAGTTTCTTTCTACTTCTCTATTATACTTGTAGTTTATCATTTGAACGTACTTCGGTAATATTTGTATATGCTTGTGTGTTTTCTCTAAACATTGAATACAAAAGACATTCAAAATCCACACAGACATTTTCCTTATACATTGTGTTTATTTAAATCGAAATTTCGTCTCTGGCAGAAACAATAGAACTCAATTTCATGTTGCATATTCTCAATTAAGTAAGTAAACTCAGTCTTAAGCATATATAATGTCCTGGGACACCCAAGGAGGCCGTAGAAAATTGATCCTTTATAACCGGTCATATCCTGTACCATAGCTAACCATAGCATTAGGGCATTAAGAGAGACAGAACGTTAGTCAGACGAAAATTAAACTATATTACATGATAATTAACTAAAGACAAAAGTATATATACATATATGTAAGTATATCAACTAAAATTGAATTGGTTCGGGCAGTCAAAGTACGGGTGCCCCAGGCAGGACTGCCCATCTTGTCTGGGACCGCCCAGAACCATTCCTTCACTGGGGGCAGTGTGTCGTCGTCCACTTTTTGTTATTAATTATTATTTAAATTGTGAAAAGTATGTTTAAAAAGTATTATCAAAGTGGAAATTGTCATAACTAAATAAAATTAAAATTGTTTAGTATATCTTTATGTATATTTGTTTAAATGGTAATTTGTTGTTCAGTCGACAGTTGAAACTAATTTAAACTAATTTCATCAAATTTTCTGGTTTTTTCTTTTGTTATTATCATAGTTTAATCGTACTCGTACTTTTATAAGCACATCATACACTTGTCGTACTATATAGTATAAATAGTTGTGGAAACTCCGACTCTAGTCAGATATTAAGTGTATATCTAGAAACCAGTTTCAAAATTGAAGCTTCAAATTTAAGTTTAAATCAAAATAGTTGCATAATTTGAATGCGTTTTCGTTTAGCTTTTACTACATAACTACACATAATTAGGTTTTAGGATTAGTTGAATTTTGATGGATTTTCCCTTGTTGCACTCGATTACATTTCGCTCGCTCTGAGGTAAATTTTGGCAAACAAACTTTAGTTCTGCGTGCATTTTGAGTTTACAATTTTATTTTAAATATATGTATATGTGGGTATATTTAATCGTTAGGCATATCTAAATATATATATACTCGTATATATGCTGTATAATAATCATGAATACGATGCCTGTGTGTTCTGCTAATAACTTACATATATAAACATCCTTTCTATGAGCTTAACATAAAACAGTATTTTTTTTGCATTGAATTTGAGGGTTCGATCAGGGTTCCAATTCTTGTCAAGCACAACAATATTTTCCTCCCTTTTTTCCGGAAACTTATTGTTTTCATTTTTTTTTTGTTTTGTTTATAATACGCTATGCTTTTGCATGTAGTTCGTAAAACTTTAGCTTGTTTGCGTATCTGCTGCTACTTTAACTACAGTGGTTTTTTATTTTATTTGTTTTAGACTAGTTTCAGTTGAGTTACGTTACGTTATTTGTTTGTTTGTTTTTCTACAGTATTCTTAATTATTTGTTTTGCTTTTTTGTAGTTAATTTCGGTGGTGGAATGCTTTAAACAGACGAACGCCCTCTTAAAAGTTGTTTGGCCTACACAACTTTTTGAATCGTTGTTCCTGGCTGAATTTTCTCTTGGGGTTGGGTCCATGTTCTACGACTCCGACTGATAGCTCCTCCCTGATGTTTCGCCTGTTGGTTTGCTTTTGCTTTTATTTCGATTTTAGGCAGCAATGGCCTCATTTTGCCGTCATTCCCATTGATGCGGTGATGGCGGCAATTCCGAAGGATGTGCCACTGTCGAACTGGATTTTTGAAAAGAAATACATTAGTCTCATATTTCAGTAAAATATGTATCTGTCAGCAATATAGTTGTATGACTAAACACCTAGATTAGTGCTCATGCTACAAAAATTAATTACATTTACAGTTAAATACTTTAATGTAGATGTATGTATATATGTACAATAAAAGAAAACGACAAATAGACAGAAGCTCCCATAAAATAACAAACTTAAAATTAAATGAAGGTGTACATAAAATGAACAACAACGTTTCTTGGTTGGAAAAGGGGATGTGGGCAGAGGGGGCAGATATAAACAAAAAAAAATTCGAATGGTTAACATTTAAAAATTGTTTAATGAAGGTTTTTCAAGCTCTTTTTTTGTGGTTTGTCACTGCTGCTCGTCTGCACTGTACTGCGACTATTATTAAAAATTCTTTTTTATAAATATATTTATGCACTTGTTTTTTTTTTCATTTAAATTTAGTTCAAGCTTGGGGATACGAATTTTGTTAAGGGTGTGGGGTGTGGTGTAGGTCAAGGATTATGATGATCTGACTTGGTTAAACACCAAGGTGGGTGAGTGATGTCTGTCTAAAGAAAAATAGATATTTCATGGACGTGAAAATTGTAAAAAATGACAACAATAGATATTTATAATTATAAGATTAATGATCATTTGCATGTGTTTCCATAAGAAATTCATTCTTCATCCCAAATAAATGATGTCAATCTTGATGAAACAGGGAATAAATTGTGTATAAATATTTCATGATTTTTTTTTGCTGTACACAAATAGAAGTAATATATGTATATATTTGTATAAGATTATGAATGGGAAGGGGGATGTGAGCACAAAAGAAAAATGTAAATTGATTATGGGGTTGGATTATAGATACATTTATGTACGATATATATTCGGTATATATGCTTGAAATTTATTCGGATTTGGTCTTTGGTTTTTATAAAATAGTTGGATATGTCTGACAAAATGTTTTTATTTTTCATTTAATGTTCATTCTTTTTCCAGGCCAATATAGCGACATTTAAACAATTTTATAGAATTTTCAGTTTGAGTTAGATTTTCCTTGGAACACACATTTATGTATACAAAAGAGTTACGCAAAAATACCCATTGAAAAAACGAGATTTGAAAGTTAAAAATAGAAATTAAAAAACATTGGTAAGGAAAGATTAAAACTAAAACAAAATTTTGTTTTATTATTTTTTGAAATTTTTGTAAATTTGCTTTTGGTTTTATACACATTTGCAGAGGGTAGAAAATAGGAGAGACAATAAAGAGATGAACAAAAAAGGTGATAAACTAAATAAATAAATATTTAGTAAATTTTCTTGCAGTTTTTTAACAGACCTAAGAGGAGTCGAGAGACAGCTGCTGCCCGGCCCTTGGCCTCTGTATCTCTTTCTGAATTTGTATTGTATCTCTGTATATTGGTATCTTGGTATATGTATCTTTGCTTGGCTTGGTTTTCATTTGCTTCGATCATTCGGCAGATAAAGTATGTCGAGTATATCTTGTGACTTCTGCATTGCTATTTCGATTCGTTTTAGTGGGAGATCGCGCGCCTAGGATCTTGGACTCTCGAGATGTGGTCTTGTTTCGATTGCGGTTCTTTGAGGGCAGCGAAGAAGTAGGCGGCGGCGGAGTGGAGCAGCGGCAGGAGCAGCAGTGCAACTTGTGGTGGTGGTAGTAGTGGTATTGGTAGTAGTAGATATTCTCATTCTCATTGGCTTAACAACGCAAATATAACGATTCGATTTAATAGAAATTTCAAGATTAATATCCATGTTGAACAACAGAAATAAAAGAACAAACAAAATCAAAATCATTTCAAAATCAGTTTACAAATCATAATCAGAGAGAGAGAAAGAGAGTATAGTAGATAGAGAGAGTTATATATATGTAGAGAGAGCGTTACTAAAGCAGGACATTTGTGGAGTTTGGGAACAGGATAAGAGGGGAAGCCATGATTAATCAATTTTGTGTAAACAAAAATCGAAAAAACAAAAGGAAGAACTAAACAAAAATATATTTAGGATTACAAAATTTTGACTAAAGGTTGAGGAAACGATCCCAAAAATGTTTTCAACAAATAGAGTAGCTGTACTGTACTGGAATGGACTGGACGGCGTGCAAATACTGGAAAACTCTTCTCTTTTTGGGAAGGTGAAGGCACAGATAGGGGGTTGAGGTTGGGTCTTAAAATGGAGAAAATGGAAATCTCGCCCACTCACCTGGCAAAGCTTTTGAAGGCCGCACTCTGCGGGTTGATGCAGAGCGGCACCCGACCCGTCTGCAGTTGCTCGGCAATGAACTTGTGCATCTCCTCTGAAAGTTTCAAATGGACATTGGATTGAGTTTAAAAGATTCACAAATTTTTGCTGGAGACTCACCCTTGACCTGCTGCACGGATGTGAGCTTACGTTCCCATAGATCGTCAAAGGGCTGGCCGGCGGATGGCTCGAAGTCGGCTGTGTATTGCCGCATTCCAGCTGAGGTAGTAAAGCAGCATTTGCACATGCACGAGTGGTAGCGCAGTCGTCCTTCGTCCAGATATGGATGCGCCAGGGCATCTGTGACGGAAATTCGTTTGTCCTGGCAGAGCATACATACATATATACAAAGTTAGCTACAAATAACATTAGAGGAACAAATATTTAACCACAAACCGGATCAAACACCAGCATCTGGCAGAGCAGGTGCACCGCCTCGTGTGTGGCATGGGAGCTGAGGGTGTACAGCACCGAAAAGGAGGGCGGCTTGGGGGCGCGGCGCAGCATGTGTGTGCGTGCCCCCTCGCAGGCGTGCCGCATGTCCTCCATGGTAGGGGTGCCCAGCAGCTCCGTGATCAGCTCCAGCTGCTGGACGGGATTCTGCGCCTGGAACAGGATGCGCCGGCCAAGCAGCTCCCCGAATATGCACCCCACTGACCACACGTCCACCGCCGACGAGTAGTGCCGCGCCCCCATGAGGATCTCCGGGGCGCGGTAGTACTGTGTGACCACCTCCTGGGTCATGTGCTTCGCCTGATCTGGCTCCTCCACGCGGGCCAGGCCGAAATCGCAAATTTTGAGCACGCAGTTCGAGTTGACCAGGAGGTTGCCTGGCTTGATGTCGCGATGTAGGATGCGGGCCGAGTGCAGATACTTGAGGCCGCGCAGGATCTGGTACAGGAACACCTTAATGTGGTCGGCGGATAGGTGCTGCGGCGACACGATTATCTTGTGCAGATCCGATTGCAGCAGCTCCGTTATCACATATCTATAAATCGATCGGGAGTTAAGACCAAAACCAATATACTCGTAGGAGTACTCGTAATAGAAAAGGAAACAAAAAAAGGTGAAAGCAGGCTCTTTTCGTGCTTCTTGAAAATAGCTCTGGGCCAAAGACTTTCCTCTGCGACACCACAAAGCAGGCAGTCGAGTAATCGAGTATGGTATTGGGTATAGGAGGTTTGAGGCGTCATGCATTCGAAATTTTAATACACTCGTTTTAAGAATTCTACTACAATCATCAATCAAGTCATTCATTTTAAACGGTTAGAGCTTAAAGGCATTAGCATTGGCTTTTATATGTTTTTCTTTTAAAAAGGATACATTTCTTGAAAGAAATCCAAATGTGGGGGCTGCAAGATGTCCAGGGCCGAAAGAACCTGAAAAAAGAATGTTAAAAACAAGCGTTAATCAATCAGTTTGCATGTTCATGTTGCAATGAAAAGAAACGAGGGAAACGTTTCTTGATGCTGATCAAGAATATATATACTTTATGGGGTCGGAAACGTTTCCTTCTCTGCGTTACACACATCCACTTTTACCACAAATCTAATATACCCCTTAACTCTTTTTTGAGTACGGGTATAAAAAAGTGCCAACAACTTTGGCTCCTTTGCCGCCCGGCTAAGACGTCTCCGTTGCCATCGTCTTTAAGATTCCGCTCCGTGTCTTGAGTGCCAAAGTTTTTTGCGCTCTACAGAAGCGAGGTGAGCTTCTGCAACCCCAACCCAACCGCTGGTCCTTTAATTTGCTAAGGCCTTTGTTTTGTATATGTGCATAATATACACATATAGGTATGCACATACGTACATTTGTTCGTTCTGTAATATTTATCTCTTGTCGGTCGCTGCTGTAATTTAGCGACTGCATTTGTTGCGTTTGCGGTTTGGAATAAAAAATATGGTAAGCGAAACGCAAAAGTCGAAGATTGTATACACTTTGTGTATACTCGTACCTCCGCTAGGTGCTATCTGTACACAGATGTATTTTGGGTCTCGTTTTGGGTTCAATATTTGTGGATTTTCGTATAAAATGCACATTCTTTAGCCGGCTCTTTCGTCGTGTGTTTAGTCAGATAAGGATTTCGCAACCTCTTAATAAAAAGCCTCGTCTTGCTAGATCTCCGGTTTGGGTACTGTTCCCGTCTTACTCAAAGCATAACCCGCATTATCGATACTCATCTCTCTCTAGCCATATTAAAGCAAGCTCAAAGTTTGTTTGCTGTTAGGTTATATGTTCATACATATGTACATATATACACATACTCGTACAATATTGTTACATTACGCGACGCTCAAGTCTTTTGCTTTTCGGTTAACTTCATTTCTGCACTTCCATTCTGCGCAGGAGCAAATTTTATTGCTGCTGCTGCTTTTTTGGCTCTGTCGAAATATTTGTTGGGGTCCACGTACAACGCAACGCTGCAACGCGGCTGTGGCTTGCATCTAATTTAAATTTTGACTTTGGCTTGCAATCAGAAACCCAATTTATGCACTCTGTAGCTTTAAGTGTCCTTGAAGCTGAGTACAGTACTTAGTAGTAACACCGTGTCAGAGAAAGAGTGTGAGAGATATGGGGAGAGGGGGCAGCGAAAGCTAAACAACTCTGGCGGGACAACAACAACAACTAACTAGGTTGAGCAAGAGCAAACATTTTCTAGTTAAATACAAAAAGAGAAACAAGTAAAACTTTTGTTCAGAAACTTACAGCAAGCGAGCAGCTGTGAAAAGTTGCTGTTATACCCCCGTGCCCCTACCCCTGTCTAACCCAGTCCGGACAGGCCAGATCTTGTCCACAACTACCTCTGCTCTCCAGCTCTTCCTCCTCCTGGTCACAACCCCTTCCACCCTTCCCTTCGCCACCGCGTAAGCGGGAACTTTTCATTTCCTTTCCAAGCTGGGGGGGACAAATTTTAATCTAAAAAATTATCCGACATGCAGCAACAGCCATACGTTTACCTCCAGATATCTGAATGGGAAAAAATTGAAGAGCGAATAATACCCAAATTTGCATGCCATTTCTCGATGCCTCGAAGCTCATTTATTTTACTGGCAAGAAAGGGTATCCGCTAGGAGGAGAGCAACAGCGAGCGGGGAATAAGTTGAAAGCGTGAAGCTGTGCTGAAAAGAAATCCAAAATCCTCGACTGCCTACATGTGAGAAATGCTTTTGAAATGTTCGCAACGTAATACGTTGCAATATAAAATGTGGGGCAGGGGGGAAAATACACAGGAAAGATTCGTTTTTGTTAAAATTTCCCTTCGTATTTTTGCAGCGTAATAGGCAACAACAGCAACAACAAGCGCAAATAAGTTTCAACGATTTTATAAACTGCAAATGAATAAACAGCACGATACGAAGGGTAAGTCTTCAGAGCAGACACTCTTTTCCAAGTGTTCTATTTATCCCAAAAAAAAGGACAGACAAATGAAATGCCATATTTTAATTTGGTTTTCAGAGATGGAACCATGAAAAACACCTGCACCCTCTCCTTTTGTGTAACTTTTCAATGGAGGACATCAATTGATTGAGTTATAAATAGGTAAGCTGCATAGTACATACAAATATATAGAAAAAAACCTAATATGTTGTAAAATGCAATGCAGCGACGTGCCAATCCTCTGTCGCTGTTCCTCCCCGTCTACTCATTTACTTGGTCACACTGGAAACCACTTGTCTTGAGTCGCTCTCCCTCCCACACCCACCACCATCCGTGCGGTGAGGGGCGCTCTGCGAGTTTATTGCACTTGTTTGCCATTCTCTGAATGATGACTGTCATGTAGGAAATGAAAAAGCAAGCACAAAAAGAAAAGGACACAGGAAGTCAGACACGGACACGTTAACTTATACGCATCTCTAGTGATGACAACAAAGTCGCTCCTCCTTTAATATAAAAGCATATGTCTGTACAGTGTGCACTCCTCTACCTCCCTCCCACATTGATCAGAGCAATTTATGCATATAAATAAAAAATTTGCCTATTGGAGAAAGTGCTGTTCTCGACACATACGGCATATACCTTCGGGTTCGAGGGGTGCGGGTTTTTTTGCCTGCTCTACTTTACGCCTACTGATTCTTCATTTCATCGTCATCGTATAACGTCTCCTTCTTCATTTATGCATTACGAAATTCACACGCAGGTAAGAGAAGAAATAAAGGCCTACTACCTCTACCGAAGCTTTGGATACCCTTCAGGTTATTAGATATAGTAATCTGCATCAAAACTCAAAGACTCTCCCTCTCTGTCTGAAAGGGTATAACATTAGGTAGGCTGTAGGGGATAATTATGGTGATGATGAATACACTACAATCGAGTAGATAATCATTGGAGACAGCCCATTTACTGACTAATGATGTTGAACCAATTTCTGTATCTGTATCTGGAAAATATTGCGAATCAAAAGAGCAAAGATGGAGACTATTTACAGGGAGAGACCGTGACATTTAATAGCGAAGCCCACAACTAATCGTATGTGACAATAAACCCCATGCTCTAATAACCCCTCTCTCATACCCATGATCGTTTACTACACTCGTAATCCTCCTCCACTTCTCTCTATGACATTTTGCTTTGAATGCAAATGTCAACTGTCCCAAATATGGAAACAAGCACTAAAGGTTCTACTTTTTAAGCACGTGCAGCAGCAGACAGCACATGCAACAGTCGCCATGAATATGGAGATGAATATAATTTATGAGCGCTGTCCAATCGGATAATATAAAAAAGTGGAAACAAGGCCAACTATTGTGACAGCGTTTAAGTACATACATACATATATTTGAATTAATTCTTGTTTTCTTCTGTCTGTAATGAACCTCCTAGGCTGGTGCCTGTCACACGATCTTGAACAATTTACAATGTGTGTTACCTTTCTGCTTTCCATTTGCATTTATTTTGCGATGAGGGAGCATGTATTTCATTTTGGGAAAAGCGTTTTTACAGTGCTTTTTATTAATAAAACATAAATTAATACTAATACAGAATCCTTAGAATTAAACAGGACGGAACAGAGGCTTAACCCTTGAAGAGCTCTTTAAATACCATAAATAAACATGACATTTAAAGCATTTAATAAATAACAACAATGTCAGTGAAACATAATTTCCCCTGGAACTCAAACGAGCAAAAAGAGACAGAAATGCGAAATGCCTCCTTCCCCGCTTTTTCGCCACCCCTTTGCAATCTTTCCTGTTTGAGTTGTAAATATTATGAAAAAGAGCCCCGGACTAAAGTGAAAAAAATATATAATTGTTAATAAATTCTCTGGGAAACGGCGACTGAGAAGAGGCAGAGACGCAAGCTCTGCCACGTCTCCAGGCCGTATGTGTGATATTTTTATTTTTCAAGAAATAAAGGATAAATATCGCTCTCACAGAGAAGTAGCGAGAAAATAATCCAATTGCAAACGTACATACATATATGCACATACATATGTATTTTTGTCCTGCAATCAATAAAACGCAATGTTTTTTTATAAAGATAGTTGCAGCTTTGGGTCACGAGAGAGTGTTATTTTATCCATCTGTGGATGGATATCTTCGGCTACCTATGGATTGTTTACTCACATTTTCATGCTTGAAAAAGCAGAGCATTTTCAGCTCACGGAACACGCGCTTCGAGGAGACCAAAGACTGAAACACATTTGGCAGCTTCTTCAGGGCCACGCGTCTTCCATCTCGCGGATCTGTGACAGCCCTAAAAACGATTTAAAAAGAGAGCATGATTAGTTGTTTAAGGAATATATGTATGTATGAACGAATATTTTAAAGGAAGTATATATAATCTTAAACTAGAGTTCTCTCATTTACTTCCAAGTCAGTTTTACAGAATTTAATTTTAATAATCTGTCTGTATCTTCTGTTTTGGGTTTTTAGCATAATCGTTTCTCATTATCATAAACACTTCTGACATTCTGCCTAGATATCGTATAGTTATCCAATCAGACCTGCACACACATACAAATGTACATACATACGTATGTATGTCAACGGAAACAGAAAGAGAGAGGCGGGAGTCAAAGACAGGGGAATCTAGAATGGAGAAAGAAGCTGCGAAATGTTTGGGATAGAAAGCAAAAACCATATACCACTATACCACTTTCAGCACAGACGCCGGAGAGAATGAGAGAAAAAGGGGGCAGGAGGATAATCAAAGAGAAATATATAGGATGAGTCGAGCCAGACAGACAACAACGATGACGACGGGGTTCCAGACCAGACAGCGACTCCACACAGTAAGTCCAATGGCCAATGGCATCTAATAAAAGTTATTTCTATAAGCTGCCCGTCCTGACGCCTCAGTGTCGTCGTTGTTTCTGCAACACGCTGGACTCCCCTCTAGATCCCCCAACAACTCAGTATGTTGGTCTGTTGTTTGTCCTTTTTTCGTGCTTATTTCTTTGCTAATTTTCTGTCAGACTTTTATCAATTGAGAGACAATGCACTCTTGCCTTCTTCTGGGCTTAATTTTGCTGAGAATCTATTGTAGGCCTCTCATGTAGGCCTCAAATGGATATTAGGGATGGGATGGGAGAGGGTTGGGTTTGAACGAACTTTTCAACTCCATCGAATTTTTGTTTGTTTTGTCTTCTTGTCTGATTCCGACTGGTCTTTGTCTGTAGGACTGGAGTACACTGCAGAATGACATAAATTCTTGGGGGAAAAGGAAGGCAAGGGAAGGTCTTTAATGAGAATACCGGAGAGCAGAAAAAAAATTTGCATCTGCACATAATGCGACGTTTGAAAAGAGAAGTTGGAGATTAACTTTGGAAACCTGAAAATATGGAGGTACAGTATGTCAACTAATTGTTTGCAAAATGAAATAAGTCAGACAATTTCAACTTTAGCATTCAAAATATAAATACAGGCATTATTTGGGAAAATTTTGTTTATTAATTATATTATATATATGTATAAGCTATAGGTAGGACAAAAACAAATTGCGAAATTCCAAGCAAATTGTAAAAGAAATATATATGTATGTACCTAATATTCCTAATATTGATTCGATTTTGATTCTTCGACAGCTTCACATTCCCAAACAACATGGGGCTAAGGCTACGAAAAAAAGGAACAATCACACACAATAATGTTTTTGTAGTCATCTATCAAATTCTCCAGCCAGAAAAAAAAACGAGAATTAGGTTTTGAGATTGAAATGGGTTAAAATCAAAAATATTTACAGACGAACCCCCAAAGAAGATGAAAAGATAAGAGCACATATTGGTGGACAAATAAGGCGAAATGATAAAAAAAGTGTTTAAGTTATTTATTGAGTAGGATAATAATGTGTACAGAAAAATGTATGGAGACGTGCTCACGAGAATTATATAGGCACACGACACACGAAAAACTCGTATCGATAGATCCTCGGAGCATCAGTGTACATGCGCAGTGTTGCTTTGAGATCGATAACTTATATATCGTGGCGGTCACTTTGAACACTCCTCCCAACACAACGCATGCTACAACTTTAAACATACTTAATGCTACTAAACTAGCATTCGAATACATGTCAGGCAAATTATAAACGTTCTTTAAGCCAAAGGCGAATACAAATTTATGATGTTTAACTTTGGCTAAGTTCTTTGTAAGACATCTGCTATCATTTCATCGGTTGGTAGATACGCAATGTGGACTTCACCTCTCTTGAGAACCCTCGAACATGATGAACCTTGACGTCGATGTGTTTTGTACGTGCATGAAACATAGGGTTTCTAGCCAGCTGCTGTGCTCCTATGTTGTCACCGTACATCTGAATAGCTGACTCTTGGACATCAGCTTCAAGTCGATGAGTAGGTTTCGAAAGTATATCGCCTCCTTTGCTGCAGATGATAAGGCGATGTACTCAGCCTCCGTGGAACTAAGCGCGACTGTCGATTGCTTTCTTGACTCCCAAGAATCGCTCCTCCTGCCAAGGTGCATACATAGCCAGTGAATGACTTGCGGTTTGTCATATCACTTGCCCAATCTGCATCGAAAAACACTCAATTGCCTTGCCTTGTTTTGTGTAGCAATTTCCCAGTCGATAGTTTGGCTAGATATCGAAGGATATGCTTAGCTGCCGCTTCATGCTCGGAATGGGGATCCTGTTGCGTTGTGCCAACTTGTTCACTGAATGAGCAATGTCCGGACGAGTCATAACTGCAAGTAAGATAACTCCCCAATTAGCTTTTGAAACGATGTCATGTCGACCTTGCGGCAGTCCTCTCTGTTGCATGACACCTGGTAACCAGCTTCCAGCGGCGTGGGCGTCTGTCGACAATCGTTCATGTTGTACTGTTCGAGCAATCCAATGTACTTCCGTTGGCTGATTGAAATTGCTCCAGTACTGCCTTCACGTTTCACTTCAATACCTAGGAAGTACTCATAGGCCCGATGTCAACTACGTCAAATTCTGCTGCGATCTTTGTTTTGATATCAGATAGATCGTCCAGGTCGTTGCACGCCAAAATAATGTCATCTACGTAGACAGCTAATAGACACATATTATTACCTGGTCATAATAGGGCATGGTTCATTGGCAGTCGGCACAAATCCAATGCGTCGCAGCGTTGCATCTAACATAGAGTTCCAAACTCTTCCTGACTGTTTAAGCCCATATATGCTCTTGTGAAGCCTCAAAACGTGATTTGGATAATCAACGCTGACGAAGCCTTTGGGTTGCCTCATAAAGACCTCATCTTGCAGTTCTCCGTTTAGATATGCGGTTGCAACATCCATTTGATGTAGGTGGAGGCCATGTTCGACTGCAAGTGCAATTATCAACCTGATAGTTGCATGGCGAACAACCGGTGCGAATGTCTCCTTGTAGTCGATCCCGTAGCGTTGGCTACAACCTTTTGCTACCAAACGTGATTTCAGTCTGTTCACGCTTCCATCCGGATTTGACTTGACAGCGTAAACCCATCTGCATCCAATAGCCCTCATGTCGCTAGGCAATTCAGTAAGCGACCACGTGCCATTCTTGACGGGGATTCGTACTCGTCCTTCATGGATGCTTTCCATAGCTCACCTTCAGTTGACCGTTCAGCTTCTTCGTAGTTTTGAGGAACTTGTACGTCTGCTGCTAGTATCGCATTGAGCATATGATACTCTTTCCTCGGTCTTCCTGGTTTGCCCGTACGTACGATGGATGGACGACCTGGTCCTCTCTTGGGTTCTGGAAATGCAATAATTTCGTTATCGGACCTATTCTCCTCCTGAATCTCTGGTGCATTTTCTGGATCTGTAGATGACTCGTTTTCTATATCGTATTCAGAGTCCTGGTTTTGTTGAACCTCAACTGATGCCATGTCATTAGAATCTGATGGCTCTAGTCTGTCCCCTTCAGGTTCTACAAAAATGACATCCCTACCTCTACGAGTTTTCTGTTTTCTTTACTGACCAATCGATATGCTTTGGCCGATCGGAGTATCCCACCATTACATACTCAAAACCTTTTTGTGCGAACTTTGATTTCTTAGTTTATCTAAAGCAATTGCTACTGAGCCAAAAACTCTCAAGTGCGATACCACTGGCTTTCTACCTGTCCAGATTTCAAATGGTGTAACACCATTCAGGGAACTTGTTGCCACTCTATTCGCAATACGCGGCAGTTCGAATCGCTTCAGCCCAATAGCATTCACTCAACCCAGAATGCAACAGCATACTCTTGCCATTTCAACCAATGTTCTGTTCGCCCTTTCTGCAACTCCGTTTTGTTGCGGTGTATATGGCACTGTTAAGTTTCTTATTATTCCATTTCTTTCAGATACTTATCAAAAACGTTTGAAATGTATTCTCGGCCATTGTCGCTTCGTAGAACTTTAACTTGTTTCCCAGTTTGGCACTCAACTTGACTTTTAAACACTTTAAAAGCATCAAAAACCTGATCTTTGGATTTTAGAAAATATACTGATACATATCTGGAACAATCATCAATAAATGTTGCGAAATATCGATTTCCTCCTATCGATTGCTTTTGCATTGGACCGCATACGTCACTATGTATCACGTCTAGTACACCCTTTGACCTGTTTGAGCTCGATTGAAATGGTTGAACGCAAATCTTACTTTTTGCGCATGTTGCACATACCTTTTTTGGGTTGCAAATGCCCTTGAGACCTATTACCATCTCCTTACTAGCCATTTCCTTTAGTGCGTCAAAATGTACATGACCGAACCTGTTGTGCCATTTAAATGTATCTGTCTCAACATTTACAATGTTCATGCACTTTTCCTGATTGTCATTAACCATAAACAATCCATTTTCTAAATGTGCCTTTACTAACACATTTCCGTTTTCAAAAATCATCGCTTGATTTTTCTCAAACAAAACTTGTTTGCCATTGCTTAATGCTTTTGCGACTGATATAAAATTGTACTGTAAATCTGGTACCAAGATAACATTATCCATTGTAACCGCTCTATCACCGAACTTTACTTTTACAGTTCCATGCCCTTCAGCAATAAGTGATTTCCCGCCGGCTAAAAATACTTTTTGATTATCTTCCGTGAACGACACAAAGCGATCCCTGTCGCAACATAAATGCGCCGTTGCGCCACTGTCTATGCACCATGCATTTACCATCCGGTCATCAGACTTAGCAACATTTAAAATTGGTACATATTTTTCAGGTTCCACTTTGGTATCTTTGGTTACACAAAGCAATGTACCCAATTTTTCTCCACTTTTGTAGCTTACGCCCTTATTGT